GGGCCATGGAAGCTGAGTTAAAGTGGCCTGCAGAAAGAAGGTGGGTGAGCCGAGTCTTGGAACCATCTTGTTCCTGTTGTGGGCCCCTCCTTGGCCAGGCCTTGAGAGTGGGGTCTTTCTGGTGGCCCAGGGACCCCCACCTCTTTTAAGTCGGCCTAGCGCTGGTATGGCAGGGGGTGGCCTGTGAACTCTGGGATGGGATGATGCCCCCGTGAACCCGCCCCAATATGAAGACCCGCTGGGGTGGCTTCTCCTGTTGCGACTTCGTTTCACCACCCCCAGATGGTGCCCCTCACTGCTGATCCGAGATTGCAGCATCCTTGGCCTTCAGGAGAGGGTCAGGGTGGGGAAGCGCTTTTCTCCTTTGCTTCCGGGCCTAACCATCCCTGTGGGTGGGAACTGCATTTACCGAGAGTGTGTGTGTGTATGTGTTTGTCTGTCCATCCGTCCCAGAGACTGTGCTAAAGCGGGCATGTTATATCCACTCCGTCCTATAGTCCTTACTCCTGTGAGTCAAACGGTGAAATTCCTATCGGACAGACAAGAAAACTGAGGCACAGGAGCGGTTAAGCAGCCTGGCCTGGCCGAGCAGCTCGGCCATGGAGCAGAGTCTGTGTGACTCAGAACCATCCTCCCATGTGAATTCTAACATCTAGCATCCTCAGAGCCTGTGATGGGGGCAATGATATCAGCTGGGCCCCCCTACCCCGCTGCCTCCCCTCCACCGCCCCCTTGAGGGATCACGGCTGGCCTTTTATCTCACTCTCTGGCGTCCGGCCAGCTCTAGGCCTCTGATCTTGATAGTCATTATCGCATTCTAAGAAGTGGCCAGGCTTGGGTAGGGGGAAGGCAGGCTTGCGAAAGAGGCCTGGCTTGTCTTTAGACTCCACTTGGGGGTGGAGGTGCTTAATGGCTTCTCTTTAACTTCTTATTGGGTTAGCCCAGGCCCCAGGAGCTGCAGCCTGGGGGAGAGATCCCCTATGTTGGGGGTGTCAGGGGGTCCTCCCATCATCCACACGTGTCTGAGCTGGTTGGGGAATGTGAGTGGCGCTGGAATGCAGGCAGACCGGCCCCTGGGTCTCCTCCCTCCCAGGGCAGAGAGCCTGGACCCCTGAGTGTTAACCCCCTCGGGGCGGCGGGCCCAGCGGCTCCCACTCTGTCCTCAGGATTGTGCTGAGCGGGTGGTTACTGCAGCCCGCCGGGAGAAGGGCCTGACCTTGGCCTGGCTCTGGTGCGCTGTGCCCACCTAGACGCTTCCCTGCCCCGGGGCAGCTCTCAGCCGAAGCCACCACCTCTCCGAGCCGCTGCTTAGGTGCAGCCACCGGGCCCTGGAAGCCAGGGCTTGTGCCTGTCTCTTTTGGGTCCCCGCGGGCTCTTGTGGCACTTTTGAGTCTCACCTTCAAGTGATATGTGTGCCTGCAGGCTTGGCACACAGGCCCCGTTGTGCTCTTCCTTGCAGCCTGCTCCGTCCTTCCAGCTCAGTTAGGCCTTCCTGGCACTGAAACTTTCCCGGTGTGCCTGCTTGTGGCCGACCAGGGGCTCCCGGGTCTTCCTCTGGCTCCAAAATTCCATGATTGCAGCGCGGCTACCTTCGGTTACTCCCGGCCGTGGAGAGCCGACGGGTGAGTAGCGCCCCCTGGCGGGAAGTGGGTGACAGTGCACACCCTCTGCCGCCAGGGCGCTGCTGGCTGGCCTTTGCCTCTGGTGGGTGGGCTGGAGACTTAGCATTAACATCCTCCACCCACAGTGTCAAAAGGAGAGACCCAGAGAGCCTGCATCAACTGATCCTCGAGGCAAAGCGCCTGCAGAATCTGGGGAGGTTTCCTCCAGAAGGGGACTGGAAAGCCCCCAAGAGAACTCCTTCCCCAGGGTGGCCGGGGGCCCTCCTGGTGGCTCTGACTTGTCCCAGAGTGCTCGGGCCTGGACCCAGAAGCTTAGTGGAGTTTGAGGCCTTCCTCAGCCCGAACTGCTTCAGATGCCGCCTCTGTGTGGATGAAAGGCAGCCTTCGAACACGTGGGAGGGAGGGTATCTTCTCTGACACCCTCTCCAGGGCATTTGTTAAGCAATCTCTGAGCCTACCCCTAGGGGATCCAGAACTGGTGCCAGGCAGTAACTCTCGCTGAAAACTGGGGACCCCTGCCCAGACACCTTGTGGCGCTGCCTGCAGGCGGACTCCCTTGTCCCATCCTCCACCTGCTTCCTCTGTTTATTCAGGCAAGGGAGGAGTTTGCTGAACCTGCAAGAAGACTTTGGCCCAGCACCCTTGTGCAGCCTCTGGGGAGATAGCAACCCCCAGGAACCCAAAGTAGAGGCCAGCGAGTACCCCTCCACGCCTCTTGTGTTCCCCGATCTTCCTTGAGGTGGCTGTGGGGGGTTTGGTGGAATCGGCGGCCACACGTGTCCCGTCCCTCCCTCAGACGCAAGTTTGGACAACGATGGGGCTCTTCTCTCTGACATCCACACATTTCACTTTGAGTGTTACTTTATTACTTTGCTTTTCTCTTCAAGGACGCCCTTTTCTTGACCTGATCCTACCTTGTCCAGATCCTACCCATAGAGGACTTAGGAGGAGGAGTCAGCACTTGGCAGCCTCACCTGGCCTTCTTGGAGGAAAATCTTTTTTTTTTTTTTTTTTAATTTCTGAAGCAGATGACACGTGATGTTTGCAGCCCCCTCCCATCTCCTGTAGCATCTGCTCTCCCATGTAAACCTCGCACCAGTGCTGTGAGGTGGGGGCCAGGTGATCTGCCCTGTGGCCGTGGGTAGTGTAGACAGAGGCCCAGGGACTGACCTCAGGTCTGGCTCGGCTCCACGACCTGTGATCTTCCATCTCAATCCCCCAGGACTGCGCCTTCCAGCCCGCAGACGTAGCTGTGTTGAAAAGAGCCTGTTTAAATCATAAACCAATCAGCCAGACTCGAAGTCAGCTCATGAACAAGGCAGGGGAAGGCATTTGGTGCAGGGGCGGCAGTGTCCCTGGCTCAGAAGCTTTGACAGGGAAGGTTCACCATCTGTCTTTGATTGAGTGGAGCCTGAGAGACCGCATTCAGGTCCAAGTGGCGTCCCTTTGGTCAGCTCAGACAGCACGGGGGTGTGCCTCTACCTCTCTCAGCCTCAGTTTTGCCATCCGCGCTAGTGGTGGTGTGAGGGGCAGGAGCGGTGACCCAGGTGGCGCTCCTAGCATGCAGTGGGCCTTCGAGCACGGCAGCTGCTCCCATTACTTTTACCAGACTTGCTCCTGTTGCCAGCTCTGGCGGGGGCTGGCTCTGTCCGTGGTGGAGACGGAGGGACCCCTACCCCGCTGCCAGCTTGGGCCCAGAGGAAGCCAGGACGCCTTATGGAGCCAAGGCACCAGGTGTGGCCGTGGAGAGGCCACTGGGATTGGCCCTGGAGGCTGGTTCCTTTTCCTTTGTTACCTTAGACACACATTGACTCCCTCTAGTTCCGGTTTGCTACAAACAGGAAGTCAGGCGTCTTCCAAAGGACCTGGAGGGGGAGGGGGACCTGCAGGACCTGACCTTCCTTGGAACAAGCTTCTGATCAACGGGGGCAGGAGCCTGGGGTAGGTGGGGCCAGGCCAGCCTTGGGCATCGGAGACCAGGGCAGACAGCTGGGAGGCGGTGTGGGCCGCAGACCCAGGCCCTGGGCGAGGCCCTTGCTTCCTCCTCACGGCCTCTGAGCAGGGGTAGGGTTGGGGACGGGGTCACCAGGAAGGACCAGACTGGCGGCCCTGGAGCTCGGGCCCTGTCATTCAGGAAGCTGTGCCGTTTGAACCCAGCATGGTCCTGTGATCACCGCAGCCTCTTGCAGGGCAGATTTTTGGGGGGGTCTCCGAGGAGTCATTCCTGTGATGCACTGGACTTCTTTATGCCGGCGACGGCCAGGGAGGCAGTCCTCTCACCTCTTGAAGTCGGTTTCCCATCTGTAAAGGGAGGGTGGGAATTCTAGCCTCATTAGAAGGGTTAATGGAGACCGTGGGTGCAGTGTGCCCAGCACCAGGCCTGTTATTAGTAAAAGGCCGTGAGCCAGCCATTGCTTTCCGAGGATGGTTATCACCAGGCCCCGACCCCAGCGGGTCAGCACTGGGGTGAAAGTGAGCTGGTCGGTGAGCACAGGGCAGGGCATGAGTGAGGACATGGCACGTTGGGCCAGGCTGGGGGCGGTTGAGGGTCGCAGGAAGGGAGGATCCCCCCTCCGCAGCTGTACCCTTCTTATCTCAGGAATGGGGAGATGCAGACCCCCCCCCCCCCCCCGTTGGCTGCCTGGTGCCTGGGTAATGGAAGCTCACCCTCAAGGCCAATCCGGCTCCCTAGCTGCTGTTAAAAGCAGAGTAGTGGGGCCCTGGAGCCTCTGGGGCCAGGCTGCCTGCCAGGCTTCTGCAGAAACAGCCTACAGAGCAGTCCTGTCTGCTCCTCTCTGCTGAGGGGGTGGGGAGCAGCGTGCCAGCCTCGTCCCGGCCCCCACCTCCCCGGTAGCCCTGAGACTCGGGAGGAGCTTGGAGCCCGAGGTTCGGCTTCTACCTGGTCGGGAAGGCAGGTACTACCTCTCCAGGCTGTGGGCTGAGCCGGCTGAAGCTGCTGGGCATTTAAGTGGGGACCTGGCCCCTCCCTCTGACGTGGGGCCCCTCCCGCCTGGTCTCTCCACCTTGCCCTGCCGAGTCAGGCAGGCATTTCTAACTCCCGGCCAGCCAACCACACAAGCCCTGTCGGGGAGGGAGCCCCAGTGCCCGGCTCCCAGAGGTAGGAGAGCCCCGGGGGGCGGCCCTGGAGCCCCCAGAGCGCCGCCTCCTTGGCCAGGAGCTGAGCTCTGGGCACTGTCCTAGCCAGGTTGGTCCGGGCTCGCACCTTCCTGCCCCGGGGCTGGTCTTTTCTCCCATGGGTGGGGCCAGTGCTCAGAAGTTGCTCGTTAACTCTCAGGTGCAGGCCAGGAAGGTGCCGGCCCTGGAGGCTGAGTTCCCAGGATCCCTCTCCCTCACCCACTCCCCACTCGCTCTCTGCAGACGCCCTGCTGGCGGACCTGGAGTCCACAACCTCCCACATCTCCAAGCGGCCCGTTTTCTTGTCCGAGGAGACCCCCTACTCCTACCCAACTGGGAACCACACGTACCAGGAGATCGCCGTGCCGCCCCCCGTTCCACCGCCCCCATCCAGTGAGGCCCTCAACGGCACGGTCCTCGACCCCTTAGACCCCTGGCCACCCAGCACCTCCCGATTCACCCACCAGCAGGTAAGGTGGGGGATGGGGCGCTCAGAAGTCAGCTTCGGGGCCAGTGGAGTGGGTCTGGCAGGGGCTCGGGGAGCCCAGGAAGTTGGGGGGGGCTGCGGCAGAGGCAGGAAGCATCTGGCCCTCCCCACCCAATGCCACGTGAAGGGACAGTGACCAAGCGTTAATCACCTGTCTCCTGGCCAGAGTGTGGAAACTCCCTGGTGAGGCTGGCCGTGAGTGGGAGGCTCCTGGGGGTGACGCGGGCTGTTCCTTCTCCGCCCTCCCGCCCCCGGGGAGGCGCTGAGCACCGTCCTCCCCACAGCCTCAGTCCTCATCCCCCGTTTACGGCTCCCGTGCCAAGACTTCCAGTGCCTCCAGCCCCCAGGACGGTGGCGGGCCCCCGTGTCCCCGAGCCGGCGAGGAAGACCACGTGTACAGGTGCCAGCCCCTCCCCCTGCCCGGGGATCCCACACACCATGCTGGGCTGAGTCAGCTGAGGCTGGGCCAGGGCGCTGGAGGAGGGCGGGGGCTCCTCCCCGGGTCCTTGGGTTACCGCGGGAGGCCCGGTGTGGCCTTATCTGCCGTTCCCGGGCACCCGCTGGGCTGGGTGTCATACCGCCCTGCGTGGAGGAAGGTTCAGGAACTGAAGCAACGCTTCCTTCCTCCTCTGTTCTCGCCACATCCCTTCCCCACTCTCTCTCCTTGAGCTGCTGGAGACGTCGGAATCCTCCCCCCGACCCTGCCTGGTTCTCCTGGAGGATTTGGGGAGCTTCTCTCACCGCAGCCTTCCCTTTGCTTCTTGAAGCTTCCCCAATAAGCAGAAGTCAGCCGAGCCTTCGCCCACCGTCATGAGCTCCTCCTTGGGCAGCAACCTCTCCGAGCTCGACCGCCTGCTGCTAGAGCTGAACGCCGTGCAGCATAACCCCCCAGGCTTCCCCGCAGGTAGGATCGGGCTGGGGGGCCCCCTTGCTGCTCCAAGCCCCCCTGCCGGCCTTGGGTCCCCGCGGGGCTCAAGGCTGAGCAGCTCTTCCCTTTCCTTCTCCCAAGATGAGGCCAATTCCAGCCCGCCGCTGCCGGGGGCTCTGAGCAGCCACTACGGTGTCCCGGAGAATAGCAGCCCGCTGGGGGGTAAAGCCGGACCACTGACCAAAGAGAAGCCCAAGCGGAACGGCGGCCGGGGCCTGGAGGACTTGCGGCCCAGCGTGGAGAACCTCTTGGATGAGCTGGAGAGCTCTGTGCCCAGCCCCGTGTGAGTCTCCACCGGGCCCTCCCGGGCTGAAGCCCCTGCTGTTTGCCGGGCCCCGCACCAGGCCCTGGGGGACGGCAGTGAGTCACCCGGACACAAGCCTGCCTTCAGCGAGCCACCGTCCCTCAGGGAGGACAGACCCTGGGCGCCCGAGGGCACCCCAGCCCAGGGGCTGTCAGTGCAGGCTTTTTATTTGTTTCTGGCTACACGTCAGTGCAGGCTTTTTATTTGTTTCTGGCTACACGTGTGTCTTGTGGGATCTTAGTTCCCCGACCAGGGCTGGAACCTGTGGCCCCTGCAGTGGAACCCCAGGGAAGTCCCCCAGTGTAGCTTCGGAGCCACGCAGTCGGGGCCACATCTTGGCTCTGCACTTACCGAGTGTCGTCTCTCAAGCCTTTGTTTTTCCATCTGTAGAAGGGAATAAAGGGAAGTGAGGTCGTGGGGATAAGACCGCCCGCCTCAGTGGACTGAGACCTGATAAGACCCTTAGAACACATGTACCGAGTCCAGGTGGTAAGCGCCTCCCCAGGGTCAGCTCTTCTCGGTGTTTCTGCGTGGCTGGAACAGCCTCACGTGTGCCTCCAGCGTCGTGCAGGCTGCACAGGATGCCAGGCTTGTTGCATAGGCCGGCTTGAGCTTGGGCTTCTGGGAAAGGTGCCGTTTGAGCTGCCTTCTCCTCTCCCCCATCAGCTCCGCTTGGCACTCTGTCCCCCTGGCTGACAGAAGCCCTCCCCAGCCAGCAACCGGTCCCCAGGAGAGACTGGGAGCTGGTGAGCTTCCCCAGGGTTGGGTAGCGGCAGGAGCCCAGTGTTGGAGCCGAGGTGTTGACCCTGGGGAGGGGAGGGCCATTCTGGGGGTGCTCGGGCTGGCCCCGGGGGTCCCCGCTGATGCCTCCTTGCCTACCCGCAGCCCTGCCATCACTGTGAACCAGGGCGAGATGAGCAGTCCCCAGCGAGTCACCTCCAGCCAGCAGCAGACGCGCATCTCGGCCTCCTCCGCCACCAGGGAGTTGGATGAGCTGATGGCCTCGCTGTCGGATTTTAAGGTGCCCTGAGGTTCCCCCCACTACCTTGCCCTGCCTGCTTAGAACCCCCCGGTCTTCCCCTCCCGTACCCCAGCATGAGTGGCTGGGACTTGGCCACTCAGGGTTTGGGTGCCTCGCCCCAAGCCCAGGACGCGTGGGCACCCAGCAGCCTGTGAAGGCTGGGGACGTGCTCAGTGGGACATTCCTTCCTGCCTGGGTGCTCCTGGCTCCCTGCCACCCAGGCAAGGGATCAGGAGGCTGAGACAAAGGGCCCAGTGTTGGTGGCTGCTCTTGGTGGGGGAGGGCGGGCTCCGCTGGGCTGGGTGGGATCCTCCACCCAGAGGTCATTTGTCCCAGAGCCGCATCTCCCACGCCGCTGGCTGTCCCTGCATGTCCTCTTTCTTTTCTGCCTTTGGCTCCTTCGCCAGTCTTCTTCCAGCCTCCACCGGCCCCTGAGGCCCACAGGCTCTTGTCTGGGAAACCGCATCCATCAGGCTCTTGGGCCACACCTGCTGGAGGTGCCCTGTCCCCTACCCACTGCCTGCCAGACCCCCGAGGAGTTTTGTGTAGAGGAGGCGCTGCCTCGATGGGTCCTGATCGTGACTAAACTCTAGTTCGTGACCATTGCTGACTCCACCCTTCCCAGGGTGGGGGGAGCATGGTTAGGGAACTGGAGGAGGGGCGCCTCTGAGCCTCTGGGGCTTCATCTGGGGCAGGCGTAGCAGCCTGTGCCCGTGAGCCTCCTGAGCGGCCGCAGTCAGGAGCGTGTGCTGGACTCAGGCGGGAGCCCCGCCCCAGCGCCCTTTGCACCTTGGCATTTTCAAACCCCCTTGAGACCCCCTTGAGAAGCTGCACTGGTTCTCATTGCGCCCCAGGAACGAGGTCTTGGGGTGATGTAGGAGAACTGGGATCGTCAGGGAGAGACAGAGCTGGGAACTGCCTGTGGCTGCCTGTCTCCCGATCGTGCCTGGGCTGACCTCCCTGTGGTCTGCCCCACCTTAATCTCTTCTCTCTTGTCCCTACTCAGACTAGGAGCCCCACAGGTGTGGGTCAGAGGCTGCTTTCTGCTGCCTGGGTTCTTTTTTTTTTTCCCCAAAAAGACAAAAATCTTTATTTGGCTACGCCGGATCCCAGATGCAACATGCGGGGTCTTCAGTTGCAGCATGTGGGATCTGGCTCCCCCACCAGGAGTCGGACCCGGGCTCCCTGGATGGGGAACGTGGGGTCCCAGCCACTGGACCACCAGAGAAGTGCCCCCACCCCGCTGCCTGGCTTGGATGGCAGCCAGGGAGGTGGGGCCCAGGAAGACCCTTCTGGGGCCTGAGTCTTCTTCCAGGGCCAGTCCTGCTTCAGCTTTGCTGCCACCTTGGTCTGGTCAGCGCCGACGGCCTGGCCAGTGTAGATGGGTCAGCTCAGGCGGCCTGGCCAGCGTAGCCGGGGGCTGTCAGAGCCCGAGGCTGGCCCGCCCCCAGTGTGCGCCCCTCCTCACCTCCCCTGTCTCTCTCCTCCCCCTGTCTCTTGTCTCTCTCCTCCTCCAGACCAGCTCCTCCTCTGCTGTGGCCTTGAGCTCCTCGGGGCTGCCACCTGGCTCAGCTCCATCCTCACACCACAGCCTCCCCCCTCCACCTCCTCCCGGGCCCTCTGGAGGCCTGCCACCCCCTTGGAAGCCCTCCTCTCAAGGCCACAGCCACACCCGGGGAGTCCTCTGCGCCGAGGACAACGTGGCCCCTGGCCAGCTCGATTTGGCTGGCCTTGGGCTGATGCCTGACACCCCCAACTCAAGGTCGCCCTCCACAGAGGGTTGGCCGGGGCCGCTGGTTGTAGAGAGCCAGGCTTGCGTTTGGAGGGACCCACCAGACCAGGTCGGGGAGCTCTGCAGGGCGCCTCCCAGCCACACTCTACCTAATGCTGGGGGCACAGGTCCCCAGAAGCCTGGGGCTCCCCAAGCGCCGTCGGCCAACACTGTGTGCCCGGAGGAGGCAGTGGCTGCCAGTTGGCAGGGGCCGTGGGCTCTGGGGGCGCTCAGGCCTGAGCCCCCGCGGGGAGCTGTGCCCAGCTTCCACGAGGTCACCGAGCCAGCCGTTGTGGCTGTGGACCGTCAGGCCGTCTTCCCGGATACCTGGAGCCTCACGGAGGAACGTGGATGGCAGGAGAGCGCAAGGCCTGAGCCAGGGGCGCCGGAGAGCAGCCGCCGCACCCCCGTTGAGGATGAGCAGCTAGGTGGAGAGACGCCGCCCACGGCGGGCGGCCTGGTCAGGCCAGCCCGGGGACCTGAGACCCCCAGGAGGCCAGAGGGTGCCACTGAAGCCGCCACCGAGGCCAGGACGGGCCAGGCAGAACTCCCACGGGCTGTGGCCGTGGACACAACCAGCACCACAGAGAGGATTTCCACGGCTGGCCAGGCAGGCGCGCGCTCGCCTGGCTGCTCGGCGTGGCCCCGCCTGGCTGACTGCATGCACTCCCTGTCTGCGCATGTCTGCTTGGGTGGCTGGTTGCAAGAGGCTGCGGCCTGAGACCCCGACGGCCAGCGCTGGGCAGTGGGCTCTGTGGAGCTGGCAGAGCTCCCTGGGCCCCGGAATTTCTCCTAGTGACAGCCAGCCTCTTGCTCGATGAAGGCTTTTTCCTTTAGATGAGCTTTGCCGACATCCTGATGGGATGTGTGTGGAATGGTTAAAAGCATGGGCTTTGGAACCAGCAAGAAGTGAATGAATACAAACCACGCCTCCAACACGTGTGCCCCGTGTGGCCTTGGGCAACCCCCCTGCCACCAGCCTCAGTCTTCTCATCTTTAAAATGAGGGAAAATAGACCATTTCCCCCAAGGTTGTCCAAAGGATTAAATGAAACAATGCCTGGAAAGTGCTTCAGAAGAACACAACATGCCATCCCCAATAAGCTATGGCTGACGTTATGTTATTATCTGCTTTTTGCTTGATTGAAATTTTTAGGCCCTTTTCAAAAGCAACAACAAAATGAAACCAAACTACTAGAAACAAGTAGGTTATAATCCTGCTTATATAAACGAGGAAAAAAAAACTGGTTAAAGGATTTACTGGAAGAAAAGACCATTTTTTTGTTTCTATTAAGAAACAAAAAAAAAAGGAAGGAAAAGTCTCAAGCCCGTTTGAGACTGTCCACTTAATGTTCTTTCACATCATTCTTGTAATAACCCCTTAAAGCAGTTGAAGAAAAAAAATACCATTACCACATGTCAAGGATGGAGAAGCTGAGGCCCTGGAAGTTCAGGGTCTTACCCAAGGTCAGGGCCCCCTGCCTTTGCCCTAGCGGCTCGGCTCATCTCTGATAGTTGGGTTTTGCCCTCCCCTCCTGGGTGCCCCCCCACCCCCCACCCCCCGAGTGTGGACTGAGCTGCCTCTACTGAGCCCAGAGTGGCCTGTGACAGCGTGCCTCCCCCCTAGATTCGCTCGGTGATCAGGAGGAGCCGGGAGACCGGCCACGCTCACCCCATGTCCCGGGAGCCCTCCCCTCGCCGCCGGCTGGACCCCGCCACCCTAAGCAGGACCCCGTCCCAGGAGCGGCTCATCGCCGAGCTGCAGGGTCGGCTGGGCATCCGGCCGGAGGCAGAGGAGACCACGGGGGCCACAGGGGCCTCCGCCGAGGACTGGCTGACCGAGGGCATCGTCATCACCGTGCAGCCGCGTGGGAGGCGGGCTGGGGGGCAGCTGGTGGAGAAGGTAGTGAGCAGATGCCCCCGGGCTGGGCCGGGGCAGAGAGGTCCTCCGGTTCTTCCCCAGCCCTGGCCAGAGGGCAGGCGGCGGGGTGGGGAGGTGGGGGGGCGGTCCTGTGTCCTCGCGAGACCGGCCTCACCCCTGATGCCAAGAGTGAGAGGCCCCGGGAGCCCCTGCCTGCCAAGATGCTGTCTCCTCCACCATCATCGTCCTCATCTCTGTCCCTCTTCTCTCCCTCCCAGGTCGTCTTTCCTCCTGGCTCTCCTATTCCCCTGCGGAGAACTTTCTCTGTTCTGCCTTCTCCTCCTCCTCCCAGCCCTCTGCTCCAGCACCGCAAAGACGCCTCCTCAGTCAGCAGCTCTCCTTCCCCGCCCAGCCCACCCACCCCCTCCGCCCTGGGGCCCCCCGCTATCCCCTGCGGCCCCTCCGGGGTCCAGAGCACTGGGATGGGGTCTCGGGGAGTCGGCGTGCAGGGCCCCGCCCCGCGCATAGCTGCATCCTGCTCCGTGAGGTCCATAGGCTGCCAGACGGATGAGGATCCGCTCTTCCCCCTGATGCAGGCAGGCCTCCCGGGGCCCCGGCCCCACCTGTCCTGTCCTTATGCTCCAGCGGCGTCCCCACTCTGCACACACACGTGCATACGGCCCTGTGTCCCTCCATCCACAAAGTACCATGTCCATCCATCCACAAGGTACCTGCGAGGTACCACAGCCCTTCCTTGGACTTGGCCTTGACCCTGGACCCTCGCTTCACCTGATGTCCACGCTCGCTCCCTCCCCTGAGGTGTCAGCCGCTCCTCAGTCCCGCCCCTGGCTCCCTCTGAGGATGCCAAACCTGTTTCCCCTGCAGCCCCAGGCCTGGTACCTGGCGAGGCTCTCTGGCCTGCGCCTTTGGTGGGCTTACCTCTCTCTTCCTCTTTATCTCTCCCGGGCCACTCTCTCTCATGGTTGTTTTTCCGTAGGCTTTTTTTCCCTGATTTTGGTTACTGCCAGTAGGGGGTAAAAGAAATCCATTCTCTTATTTCATCCTAAAGTCCCTTTTGTGACACGGTCTAGTAACAAGTTCTCTTATTCTTTCTTCCTTAATTTGAAAAAAAATCCTTCTCGTTTCCTCCCCTAAGATCCAGGGCCTGGAACAGAGAGCGGATGGTGAGCTGTGCTGGGCAGCCGGCTGGCCTCTGAACTGCAGGCAGAGCGGCCCTGAAGGGCAGGACGCGGGAGGGGTCAGTGCTGAGGCTGGGGCTGCAGGTCCTGCTTGTGGTGTGTTCCGGGGCCCAGTCAGGCCCACCATGAGCCCCTGGGGCCCCTGGATGCGTTGTGGAGACTGTTCCCACCTGAGGGCTTCCAAGGCCCCTGGAGGGGCTACACTTCCGCCTCAACCTGCCTGTCCAGGAGGGAGAGACGCCCTCATGCGGCAGCAAGTCCCCGCCCCCCAGGCCCTGGTGTGCTGACCCGCCTGCTCTCCCTGTCTCCGCAGTTCATGGCCCAGGGGAAGACGGGGAGCAGCTCTCCCCCAGGCGGCCCCCCGAAGCCCGGGAGTCAGCTGGACAGCATGCTGGGGAGTCTGCAGTCTGACCTGAACAAACTGGGGGTCGCTACGGTCGCCAAGGGAGTCTGTGGGGCCTGCAAAAAGCCGATCGCGGGGCAGGTGATGAGGGGTGGGGCCGGGCAGGGGGGCGGGAGGCAGGGTGCCCAGGGGGCGGGGCCGGTCCCAAGCCACATCCTCACGCCCCTCGTCAGGTGGTGACGGCCATGGGGAGGACCTGGCACCCGGAGCACTTCGTCTGCACCCACTGCCAGGAGGAGATTGGCTCCCGGAACTTCTTCGAGCGGGATGGACAGCCCTACTGTGAAAAGGACTATCACAACCTCTTCTCTCCGCGCTGCTACTACTGCAACGGGCCCATTCTGGATGTGAGTGCCCGGGTGCAGGGCAGGGGCCAGGCAAGGCCCAGAGAGTCACGCAGCAGGCCGGAGCACACACAGCCGGGAAACTGGGATTTACCCTCTAGCCTGAAGCGCAGCCTGTCCTAATGCCCATCAAGCAGCCATCCCCGACTCACTTCTGCTGAGGATAGGTGGAGTGGAGTGCGGGCTCCCTCGCTCTTCTGCTGTGTGACGTCAGAGAAATGCCTAGCCTCTCTGGGCCTCCGTGTCTACACTTACAAGATGGGTGGCCCAGTAGAACCTATGACCTCAACTGCCTGTGAGGATTACAGGAGATAGAGCGTGTCTGGCACGTCACATCCTTTTCAATAAATCGGAATTCTCAGTGGTGTTCAAAGCACAGCTAGGAGAGACCCCTGTCTGGGGAGCGTCACGCTCCTTCCTTGGCCGGCGGTGGGGGTGGAGGGGGGCGGGGAGGACTGCCTGGCCTCCGGGTCTGTCTCAGCTGGGGCTGGGGGGGTCTGTCCCGCGGGCCAGTCACTCAGCTGGGGCCGCACACTTGGCTTCCACAGAAAGTGGTGACGGCCCTCGACCGGACGTGGCACCCGGAGCACTTCTTCTGTGCCCAGTGTGGCGCCTTCTTCGGGCCTGAAGGTACTGAGCCTCGGGGGGCGGGCTGGGGCGGGAGTCAGGGTGGCCTCTCCCCGAAGCCTGACTGCCCCCCAACCCCCGCCCCTCAGGGTTCCACGAGAAGGACGGCAAGGCCTACTGCCGGAAGGATTACTTCGACATGTTCGCGCCCAAGTGCGGCGGCTGCGCCCGGGCCATCCTGGAGAACTACATCTCGGCCCTCAACACCCTCTGGCATCCTGAGTGCTTCGTGTGTCGGGTAAGGGCCCCCGTCGCTTCCTCTGGAGGGCCCGAGGGCGGGCGGCTGCGGGAGAAGCGGCTGCCTCCCCGTGCCTTCTGAATCCAACTTACAGGGCCCGCTGGAGGTTCTTGATCAGGTGGGAAGGCAGGCGGCGCACTCCCTCAAGCGTAGTCGGTCCTGGGCTAGGGCTTGTGCAGGGGCTGCGAGAAACGAGAGCAAGGCAGACAGACCTGCGCAGCCGCCCCCGGTCAGGCCATGTCCAGGAGAAGGGGGTGTGAGAGTGACATGAGGCAACAAGCCTTCAGCTGCCTCGGCGGACAATGGACGATGGTTTCCAGACTGCATTCTGGGGGGTGATGGCCCCCAGATGTTATGAGGGTTCCGGCAGGGGTCCCCTAATTAAGTAAGTTTGGGAAACACTGTTCATTGCAGGACTTCTCAGAGTCTTTAATACCTGAGTGTGCCTGTGGCGCTCTATAAACGGGAATCTAGGTTGCAAAGTTTGACCTTGGAACCCTTTTTGTTTTGACACAAGGGTTTCTGGGCACATGTGCTGCAGTGCCCAGAAGTCAGACCTGTGTTTGAATCCAGGCAGTGCAACTTAGCAGGCTTCCCTGGTGGCTCAGTGGTAAACAATCTGCCTCCAATGCAGGAGGTGTGGGTTCGAACCCCGGGCCAGGAAGATCCCCTGGAGAAGGAAATGGCACCCCACTCCAGTATTCTTGCCTGGAGAATCCCATGGACAGAGGAGCCTGGCGGGCTACAGTCTGTGGGGTCACAAAAAAGTTAGACATGACTTAAGTTAGACATGACTCAAACAAGAAACACAGGAGTGCAACTCGGCAGCAGCGGGTCAAGGTCATTGTTGGGAGAACGGAGTGAGGGTTAGCGCCACGCTGGGCACGTGGAGAATGCTTGTCGAGGGGGAATCGCTTCCAGTGTGACCGCCCTGACGGTCCCCTGCCCGGCACCCGGGAGCTGCCTCGGCCCCCAGCCGCCCAGCCTGAGCAGCCCCCGCCCGTCCTCTCTGCAGGAGTGCTTCACGCCGTTTGTCCACGGCAGCTTCTTCGAGCACGAGGGGCAGCCCTACTGCGAGGCGCACTACCACGAGCGGCGGGGCTCCCTGTGCTCGGGCTGCCAGAAGCCCATCACGGGCCGCTGCATCACTGCCATGGCCAAGAAGTTCCACCCAGAGCACTTCGTCTGCGCCTTCTGCCTCAAGCAGCTCAACAAGGGCACGTTCAAGGAGCAGAACGACAAGCCTTACTGCCAGAACTGCTTCCTCAAGCTCTTCTGCTAGGCGCCCGCCCTCCCCGCCTGCCCCTTCCCCGGCCCAGCCTCCCGATTGCGCTGGGGCCCAGAGGCCTCGTCCGGGGGGCTGGGGTGGGGGGCGGTGGCGAAGGGGCCCGACTGGAACTGGAACCGCATCCTCGGCGATGGCGACGGCTTCTCTTGCCCCCTGCCAGCGCCTCTGGGCCGCCACCCTCCTCCCGAGGCTCCCCTGAGGCGGAGGCTGGAGGATCCCACCTGCGTCCCCACGAGCCTGCCTGGCCAAGCCAGCACCCCACACTGGAGCCATTTCTTACTCGTATCTCGGCAGTGAAGCCGGGTGCGGGGAGGGCAGGCAGGGTCAGACGGGGGCCTCTTTGCATCCTTATCCCCCACCCCAACCTCGTCAGCCCTGTTCTGAGAGTACTGGGGGGATGCCAGCTCCCCCCAGGCAATGCCAGCATCCACCCACCCATCCACCCAAGGGCGGACGTGCCCACGGGGCCACAGAAGGTTCCTCGCGCGCCTCCTGCCCTTCCCATCTCCCCAGGCCTGGGCAGCTGCCCCCAACACCTGCCCCCCCCCCCCCCCCACAGCTGCTCTGGTTCTACTGAGAAAGGCCTCTCCAGCAATAATGTTTTCTAGTCACTTCCTCTATCTCCTGGGATGGAGTGAGGTGGCAAGTGTCTCCCCATTGCCCGGACACTGTACCAACTTTGATAGTTTTCTACACTGAGGTTTGAATTCGTATCATCTGAGTTGCTTTTACTTCTCTATATGAAGATGATTTTGAAGAGGTTTTACCGACGTCTCCTTTTGTACGCCTCCCCCGCGCGCCGCCGCTGGCCCGGTGCACACCGCGGTGGCTGCGGGACGTGCGGGGCTTGCCTTGTACTGAGGGCTCGGGGCGGGGAAGCAATTCATATTTTATTTTTTTCTTAGCACAAGCAGGTGAACGGGTAGTGGCTCTGTTGGCTCTCCATCTGTAACTTCACAGCTCACCAGGACTGGTTTATAAACTGCTGTATTTCGAACCCCCTTCCTTACTCCCCAGGCCAGCAAGCTCTTCACTGAGACCGGCCTGAAGGGTGTCTTGCCCTCTGGGGCCTAGAATTCTGAACCTCATCCGTCCTGTTTCTGAGCGGGGAGAGAGGGGGAAGTCCACTCTGGGGGTGCCGTTAGGGGCGTCCACAGAGAGACTTTCTGGCCACAAAGAAAACATTCTTGGCCTCCCCACTGCTACTCTGGGGCCCTTTCTTCTGCCTCCTCAGGAAAGCTGGGATTTGATTTTGACTGTTAGTCTTGTTGATTCCACTGGGTGTGTCCCTTCCCCAAACTTCTTGCCTTCCCTGGAGACTGGTGGTGGCCCCCGGGGAGAGAGCCCACCCCCGCTGTGTCCTGGGGGCCTGATAGGATTCTGGGCGGAGGGACAGGATCCCGGCGAAGCAACAGGAAGCCCCCTGAGGATGAGTCAGGCAGGGCTGGGGTTCCGGATCAGTGGAACGGAGGCCCCTAAGTGAGGGCAAGCCAGACCCATTCCATTAACCTCATCAGAGGCTGGGTGTGCTGAGCTTCTCAAGAGGAGAAGGGGGTCCCTCCTTGGAGGCGGGGCTGGGAGCAGCCTGGGTCTGGGGAGGTCAGCCAGGCCCCGCCACAGGTCTGATGTCTCCATTTCTACCCATAGGCCTTATTGCTCTGTTTACAGTGACCCACCCCAGACCCCTCCCCTAGAGGATCTGGGACTTCCAGAGGTTCTACCCTCGGGGTCGATGGTTATTTGATGATTTGATTTTTAATTTTCTTTTCCTCTGTAAACTTATAACCTGGCTTTTTCCCATTTTAATTCCTGTGATTTATGCCAATAAAGTTTGCCATTATTTTCACCCGTGCTAGTGCCATTTCTTTGTGGTCCGAGATGAACAAGTCAGCCCCAGAAGAGAGACCAAACCCTCCCAACTCACAAGCACCACAGTTTGAGGGTCAGTCACTGAAGTTCACTTACCCGAGGCCAACGCCCTCCCGGGGCACTTGTGGGCCTCCTGGCTTTCTTACCCACTGCAGTTTGCCATGGGTTGACTCCCGTGGGCGTGGGTGTGTGGCCTCGCACTCACGGATGGGGAAAGAGGTTCAGAGAGACTGTGAGATATCCTGTGAACGAGCACAGAGACAGGCTGTGAACCCAGGGCTTGTCTCTGTTCTTATGTTGACCAGACACACCACCACTGCCCCCCAGTTCTGGCACCACACCTTGGGTGTAGAACCTTCCTTGTTGAAAGTGGATGTGAGAGTTGGACTATAAAGAAAGCTGAGCGCCTAAGAATTGATGCTTTTGAACTGTGGTGTTGGACAAGACTCTTGAGAGTCCCTTGGACTGCAAGGAGATCCAACCCGTCCATCCTAAAGGAAATCAGTCCTGAATATTCATTGGAAGGACTGATGCTGAAGCTGAAACTCCAATACTTTGGCCACCTGATGCGAAGAGCTGACTCATTTGAAAAGACCCTGATGCTGGGAAAGATTGAGGGCAGGAGGAGAAGGGACGACAGAGGATCAGATGGTTGGATGGCATCACCGACTCAATGGACATGAGTTTGAGTAAACTCCGGGAGTTGGTGATGGGCAGGGAGGCCTGGCGTGCTCCAGTCCATGGGGTCGCAAAGAGTCGAACATAGCTGAGCGGCTGAATTGAACTGAACTGACTTAGGAGTCGATGATGGGTCTCGACTGCCCCCTGGCGGTCATGTCTGTATCTGCATGCATGCTGCGGCTTCGGCTCTTTTCAGAGCCGTAACTCTAGTCCTGGGCCTTTGCAAACTTCCTGGACAGTTCTGTAGCTTTGCAGTCTCCCTGTGGTTTGGAATGGTCCTCCAAAAGCTGCATGTCGATTTCAAGTCTGAACCTTGACCATTTCACATTGAGCTCAGAAGTGAAAATTACCTTCACCCCTCACCCAAAGATCATATTTCCAACTCATGTTGGACTTCTGTAAATGAACATGGTCCACTTCATTGTAACTGGCTCACTCAGCTGTACTTTATGTTTTCCCATGTCAATAAATAGAGATGGGCATCATTTTTAATGGCTTCATGGTATCCATTATATTGAGGTACTACAATTAGAGACAATATCATCAGAGGCAGGATGTCCTTGGGAAGTTAATATGTCAGTATGTATATCCTTGCAAAAGTGCATTTGAAGGAAAAGACAGCCTTAGGGTTTGGAAGGGACTGTATAACATAGCGAGACTTGTGGGCTTTGAACTTGCTTTTAGATTTTGGTTCTGAAGCCATCATTTACCGGCTGAGGGACTTGGGTGATTGATTTAACCTCTGTGAATTTTCTTACCAGTAAAATGGTACTAATACTGTATCTCCTTGGGGATTTGTTGCAAAGATGACCAGCGGTAATGTACACAAAGTACTTAGAACAATGCTGAGCGTGCAGTAATACCCTATCACTAAAAAGAGATCTTAGCAGTAATGGACTCCAGCAGTTGTCTATACAGGCTCATCATCAGGAGGCTTGAAAACAAAATACCAGGGTTTCTAACTTAGTCAAGTTAAAAAGGATGGAGTTGGGGAGAACCACCCCCCCTTCCCACTCTAGGATCTAACCTTATTCATTAAAAACGTATTTAATGATATAGCACAATTGTTCAAATAAATGTTTAATGAAAGTGTAATAAAATATGTTGACATTAAGTAATTTCTTCCTACATTCCAGGAACTGTGTTAACACATGCGTCACGTAATCCTCATGGGGTGTGAATACTATTATCCTCATTTTACAGATAGGGAAAGAGAGGGTCAGCAAGGTGAAATCACTTCCTAAGATGACCAACCTAGCAAGTGACAGAATAAGGATATGAATTCAGGTTATCTGACTGCAAACTCTGCATCCATTCATTCAACAAATATTTATTATATGCCATAGGTGCCAGACTCACGGCAGAGAGCGAGAGACAATTTATTTTAGTGTGTTACTAGGTGGAAGTGCTACCAAAAAGTTAAACCGGAGGAAGAGGGAAGTGGGAGTGGTTTTGGGGGTAATTCTGAATAGGGCAATTGGGGTAGACCTCCAGCAGGTGATCATTGAAGCAAGACGCGATGGAGGTGTGGATATCGGCAAGAAGCCTTCTAGGAAGAGGGAATAGAGAGTGCATGGGCCCTGAAATGGGAGCGTCACCCAGTTGGGAGGAACTGAGTCAGTAGGCAAATCGGAGATGAGATGATGGGGTGGAGGTGGGGAACAGATCATGTAGAGCCTTGTAGGCCATTTTCGTTTTAGGTTTTTTACTGGGAGGGAAATGGGGAGACTCGGAAGTATTGCGAGCAGATGAGGAAGTGATCCGACTTAGGTTTAAAGGATCCCTTTGTTTCGATGGGGGGAGAACAAACTGTAGAGGAGACGAGAGACCATCCTGTTTCTGAAGCATGAGAGTTCTTTCTCAACGTCATTCTCTGTAGTTGCGACTTGGCCAGGTGACCAAAGGAAACGTGAGCTCAGCTGGCAAACGTTAACTCTACATGGCAGCGCCTCCAACCCGGCAGAGGGCAGCAACTCTGAGAATGCGCCTCCAGGACACAGCAGTGCCCTCCTTAACTACCTCGTTTAAAAGCAGCTTCCTGTTGGTTGGAGTGGCAGGGATGTCACCCAATGGCTGCCTGCATCTATCCGATTTCTTCAGACAGACGTTGGCATCAGCCAATGGCGGGGGGGGGGGGGGGGGCTCTGCCCGTGGCTTCTGATTGGCTGCTTCGCTCAGCTATAAAAGATGCCCTCCGGCTCGCGGCCCTTCTCTCGCCAGGCGTCCTCGTGTGAGGTTTGTCTGTCTCTCTGCTGTCGCATCGGCAACTGTGGTGGGAAGGATGGGGTCCTTGGGGACTCTTTCAGGGGCTCTTGCGCACTGCGGGGTCCGACCTCTTTGGTTTGGGGGCGCGGCGGCGGCTGCCGCGGCAGGTGCAGCCCCGGCTCGGGGCGGCGGGCGCCCGCGCGTGGCCTACTCCGCGTGTGCCTTGGGCTTGGAGCCCGCCGTGCCGTGGGGACGCTTGTCGGGGTGGCTTGAGCTCCTTTTCTCTCCTCAGTGACATCGTCTTTAAACCCTGCGTGGCAATCCCTGACGCACCGCCGTGATGCCCAGGGAAGACAGGGCGACCTGGAAGTCCAACTACTTCCTTAAGATCATCGTAAGTTTGGTGGTGGGGTAGGCCCCAGCCGCCCACCGTGCTGCTTCGGGCCCAGCTGCCATGTACTGAAGGCCTACTCGCTGGCTACCACATTAGGTCGTTTTAGGCACATTTCATTTAATTTTCACAATTTCCCGAGATCATGCGCTTTCTCCTCCCAGTGTTGCAGATAAACAGGCCCAGGCAGGTGAAGTGGCTCTTAAGGGAAAGAGCATTCAAGCCCAAGTCTGTCGGGTCCAAATAGCACTCGTCCTGATTTTACTGCCCTGTCTCCATCTTTGAGAAGGTCTGAGGTGATGAGTGACTCATAATGGAGCAAGTTGTTGCCTATTTAGAGTGTGTCAGTCAAGAAACTATGTGAGTTCTTTCATTTAGATGGCCTTGAGTTGGGTCTTCCCTGGCCAGAAATGCTAATCACGAGGCTCTTCAAGCCTTAGGATGTGTTGTGGAGTTTAGTTCTTTGCGTTCTTCCTCATTTATCATGCAGGTTTTCAATTTAACAAACAACTTTGTAAAATGATTATATACACACAACCTAGGTCCTACAAGTTACTATTTCGTTGTACTTCCTTTATGTTGTATTTTGATTGCTGTAAATCTGATTTGGAACAGTTTTTTTTCTGTTAAGGCAGTCATTTAGTGAATCAAACATGCCTCATAATAGGGGAAAGAGCAAAAGTTATAATTTTTTTTTTAGTTTACTGTAGAAACGGTCACCGTTTATACTCAACAAGCAAATTTTTGACAAATCTGGTGTTAACTCAGGTGGCCGATAGCAGGAGGAACTGTCCCAATCTCTATGTTATTTCAAAAGCTTAGAGGAGAGGGAGTGAGATAGAAGCTGGTGATTGCGTGATTTGCTTTCTCTTGACCTTTTCCTGTCTTTCCTCCTGTGAAACACTGCCTGTTTTTGGCTTGTTTCTGTAGCAACTTCTGGATGATTATCCAAAATGCTTCATTGTGGGAGCAGACAACGTGGGCTCCAAGCAGATGCAGCAGATCCGCATGTCCCTCCGCGGGAAGGCGGTGGTGCTGATGGGCAAGAACACGATGATGCGCAAGGCCATCCGAGGGCATCTGGAAAACAACCCAGCTCTGGAGAAGTCAGTGTCGTTATCCTCCCTTCTCAGTGTCCTTTTCCTGGAGAGGAGCGGTGCTGAAAAGTGACCTTCTCCCGTAAACTTCTCTTTGCAGGCTGTTGCCTCATATCCGGGGGAACGTGGGCTTCGTGTTCACCAAGGAGGACCTCACTGAGATCAGGGACATGCTGCTGGCCAACAAGGTAAGGGAGAATCAGGTTGACTGGAGTGACCTTATCATTATTTTGGCTCCTGAAAAGCAACAAAACTGACCGATCTCAAGTTGTGTCTGGAGAGAAGACATCTCACTGTTCACATTTTTGCTCAGGTGCCAGCTGCCGCCCGTGCTGGTGCCATAGCGCCGTGCGAAGTCACTGTGCCGGCCCAGAACACTGGTCTGGGGCCAGAGAAGACCTCCTTCTTCCAGGCTTTAGGCATCACCACCAAGATCTCCAGGGGCACCATTGAAATCCTGGTGAGTGGACCTGGCTTGCCAATGCTAGCCAGGCCAGCGGCGGGGGCTCAGTGACCTCAGACCTGCCGGACGTCCAGGGGTTAACTGCCAACTCCCTTGTTCTTCAGAGCGATGTGCAGCTGATTAAGACCGGAGACAAGGTGGGCGCCAGCGAAGCCACACTGCTGAACATGCTGAACATCTCCCCCTTCTCCTTCGGGCTGGTCATCCAGCAGGTGTTTGACAATGGCAGCATCTATAACCCTGAAGTGCTTGACATCACAGAGGAAACTCTGCATTCCCGCTTCCTGGAGGTACTCGAAGGCTCATTCCAGGCCCTTCCCTTCTCATTAATAGTTGAGAGCTCGTCTGGCTTCAGCTGGATCTTGGCAATGCAGCTGACTAGCAGTGTAATAACCAGGAATAGTTGTTTAATCTGTACCTCAGTTTCCTCATCCTTAAAATGGCAATGACAATATAGGATCATTGAAGAGCTAATGAATTAATGAGTGTAAGGCCTTGGAACAGTGCTGGGCACACAGTAAGGGCTGTCATTTTAGGACCTGCAATAAGATGTGAGTTTGAGTGTCAGTGAGTCAAAAGAGGGATGAGGAAAATGAGTTAATTAATACACAAGTGTTGCCAAGTACCCTACTATCTTGGGAGAATGGACTCTCTCAGTCCATCCTTAGTCTTGCTTAGTTTTTGCCACTATTAAACTGTCTTAACAAAGTGATGGGATATATAATTCTTTTTTTCTTGGACAAATAGACAATTGTAATTACATATACTCTTAACTCTGGTTACTTTTGGAAATCTCAGTAGTGGATGAAATTCACATCTGGAACTAACATTTTTCTCAACGCCATGACTATATTTTTACAAAACGGTGGTTTTTGAAGTAAATACCATCGTGATGGTATAGGGAACACCCTTGTTGAGAATAAGGGCAAAAAGCATTTGTAAATTAACCTGGGTCTGAATTTCACTGCCAGAAGCATTTGGTGTGAGGTGAGTGTCCTATGTGAGACTGAGATACTAACTGAGCAAATCTTGTGTGCTGTTGAGCTTTGCTTCATTGTCTCTTAAGACATCACACCTAAAGTCCTAAAAGTGAATTTTTTTCCTTCCTTCCACAGGGTGTCCGCAATGTTGCCAGCGTATGCCTGCAGATTGGTTACCCGACTGTTGCATCTGTACCCCATTCTATCATCAATGGGTACAAGCGGGTCCTGGCCTTGTCTGTGGAGACTGATTACACCTTCCCGCTTGCTGAAAAGGTACAAAGAACCCACTGGGACCACAGCAGGAATACAGTCGTGCCTTCATGGGCACCAAAATCCATGAGTGCTCGAGTCTGTCATACAATAAAACGGTGTTAGTCAGGTTACATCATTTCTAGGTTACTTGCAATACCTAATCCAGTTTGAATGCTATGTAAATGGTTATAAATACAATGTAACTTGAGTGTAAATAATTGCTACAGTACAGCAAATTCAAGTTTTGCGTTCTGGAAATTTTTTTCCCTTTTTTTTTTTGAGTTTTGATCTGCAGTTGGTTCAGTCTTTTAAGTGTGAAACCTTTGGCTACAGAGTGCCAATTGTCTGCTTAAAGTTGGGAGGCAGGGGAGATGATCCTATCCTCGATTTTAGAAATTATAAGAGATTTAAAGCAGGGATAGTTTAATGGGTAAGAGCCGGGCCTGAGCTCACCAGGCTGTACCCAAGCTGTTACCAAGCCTGGTTACTTTAGAGGAAGGCTTCACTGACATGGAAGTGGGCCCTTAAACCTAGAGCTCTGCAGAAGCTGAAGGGTTGTGGGTAGTAGGGGTGGTAAGATGACCCTTTTGACCATGAACTTTCCCCTTGCTTTAGGTCAAGGCCTTCTTGGCTGATCCATCTGCATTTGTGGCTGCTGCCCCCGTGGCTGCTGCCACCACTGCTGCCCCTGCTGCCGCCACCGCAGCCCCAGCCAAGGTTGAAGCAAAGGAAGAGTCGGAAGAGTCGGACGAGGATATGGGATTCGGTCTCTTTGACTGATCACCAGAAAGCAGCCAACTGGGCCAGCATTATTTGTGAAATGAGAAAATAAATGCTTACTTCTCTTACGAGTCTCTTGAGTTTTTCATTTTGTGCATTTGAAGGTTATGTTAGCGCTGTATGCTAGAAACCAAAGGCATGGTAAAATCAGCTTGATTTGAAATTGACATTTGGGTGTCCTCTCTGTAAGTGACACATTGCTCTCCTAGCATCCTATACTTTGCCTCTACCCAGTGTTAACTATATGTTTATTAAACCGAAATTTGTCTCCATGACCATCAGGCCACAAGCCTGGGTCACTCTTAAGATAATATAGGTAGGCTTAGTGTCATAACTGAGACAAGACGTGTGCTGTCAGGGTGTTTCAGACTGGGTGGTGGTCCAGTTTAGTGGCCACCGTTACTTAAGGATAGAAAATGTCCTGTGGGTGTGGGTCATACATATCACTTATTCTGTACTGAGTTAAGTGCTGGCTGTATCCAAGTCTCAGAAGTCCAAAGGGGCTCCCCAGGTGGCTCAGCAGTAAAGAATCTGCCTGCAACTCAGGAGGCTCGGTTTGAATCCCTGGGTCTGGGAGATGCCCTGGGAGGAGGAAATGACAACCCATTCTAGTATTGCCTGGAAAATCCTATGGACAGGAGCTTGGCCTGCTACAAGTCTGCTACAATTCCATCTACCTGCAGAGTTGCTTAGCCACTGAGCATGCATGCACTCAGACATCGCTAACATCAGAGACGGACTGATCTGAGCAGACCATATTAAAGTAGGTAGAGTTGTCAGGTTTGCATACAGAATAAAATTTAAACTAGCCCCAGCCTCCTACCCTGTGGCCTTGGTTTAAGGAGTTGCCCTTGGGCAGCTTCCTCCCACAGCTCCAGAATCTTCTAACGTAGTCTGCTGCTGGGGTACAAACAACAGGATAAGACGAGTTCGCTGCCTGCCTGTTACTGAGTTCAGCCCCTGTCATCAAGGAAACCCCTCTAGCAAACAAGTAGGCCACACTTAAGTAAAACGGTCTTCACATAGGAGAGGCCCACGTGGGGGTACCTGAGCCGGACCTGCCTGCACACACGTGGGTCAGAGCTGTAGGGACCCTCGTCTTCCACGAGGCTGGGCTGAGAAGGGCCTTGGGACCCGGGGGTCTAAAAGCGCGCCCTTGTCAGGCCTTGATAGTCCCCGGTATCCCTCAGATACCCACTCCCGCTGCCTGAGTCAAAGCCCTGCTCGCGGCGACCGCCGTCCCGCCCGGGGGCGCCAGGCCCCGGGCCGGAGAGAGCTCCCGGCCTCGCCCTGCCGCGTGGGCCCGCGCTGTGACCCGGAAGCGCTCCGGAAGCGGTTCCGGAGTCAGCGCCGGCAGGATGGCGGCGGACACGCAGGTAAGGCGGGCGACTGCGAGGCCAACGCGGTCAGCGACTGGGCGCGAACGGCGGCGGTCGGGTCGGACCGCTGGTTCAGCTGCTGTAGGAGGTTAGAGGGCGGCGGCTGCGGAGGGCGCGGTCCCGGGAGCACTTCGGGCCAACCCCTCACGGACCCGGGTTCGTCCTGGTTCCTGGCCCAGGCGGCGCAGACTGGCCGTGGACTCGACGAGTCGGACTCCGGCCTCGGTTCCAGCGGGCCCTTCTTGATCCTGAAGTTGCCACAGTTCCCGTTTCAGAGTTTGCTCCATTTCTCCGAAGTCCTCCAGCATGAACCTCGGCCAGCGCCAACTATGCCTTAAAACTTTATATTCAGCAGATATTTCTAGGATATCTACTATGCGCAGGGACTTAAAGCATAGTGTTTGGATTCGTATAGATCTGAGTTTGAGTGCTGGTTGATTAGTTTCTCTAAGACGCCGGGCACATTTCTTAATCCTGTCAAGTCTCGGTCTTTTCATCCATACAGTGGAGCTAAACTAATAACCTGTCTTGTAGGATCGTTGTGAGGAATCAATGAAATAAAGTAGGGCTTCATGTAAGTTGGTGGTTATTATTAGGTCCAGCGTTAGATAAAAGAGCTGTCATAACTTGGGAAGAGTCTTGTCACCTTGGGTGTTGTGGGGGGAAACTTTTTCCTTCCACCCCAGCCTCCTTTGTAGTTGTGAGTGTTTTAGAGAGAAAAGACAATGTTATGGGAAATGAAACAGGTCTCAAAATGACAGCTTGGCTCACTTGGGTGTCGGGGTAAGGAGCTTTATTGATTTTGATGTGAAGGCCCTGAAACCAGAGAGTGAGCCCTTAACTTCATTATTCAGAATGTGTGTATTGTGAGTTTCCTGTGCAAGGGAGGGACTGGTAATTTGTTCAGAGTTTATTGTGATGGATCCTGGAAAGAAAGGCATAGTCTGTTGGGTATTTTGAAAGGTGTTGGGAGAATACATGCTGAATGTGTAACATTAAAACTCAAATGAAAAAAGCAAACACTTCTTGGGACTTACCTGGTGCTCCAGTGGTTAAATATGCCTGCCAGTGCAGGGGACACGGGTTCAGTCCCTGGTCCGGGAACGAAGATCCCACATGCTATGGGGGAACTGAGCCTGGGTGCTCCCTGTGCCACAACTAAGACCTGACACAGCCAAATAAATAAATATTTAAAAAAAAAATCTATCTAGTGCTGTGTTGTTCAGTATAGTAGCCAGTTAATTAATAGCCAACTAGCTACTTAGGTTAGTTAAAATTAAATGAAATTAAAAATTCAGTTCTTCTGTTGCACTAGCCACATTTCAGTGCCTGCATAGCTGTATGTGACTGGTTACTGCTGCATTGAACAGTGCAAAAGAACATTTCCATCATCACAGAAAGTGCTTCTGGACAGTGTTACCCTAGAGAGAAACCTGTGAACTTTTTAAGCTCTTTGCGTCTGATTTCAACCAACAAATGACTTCTCTGAAGGATATCAGCGTGCTCTTCCTCACTTTTGTTCTGACAGGGTCCCAAGTGGGTGACATTCATTTTCTGATTAAGAAAAAGAAGAGCCTTGTACCTGAAATGCTCTTTCATCTTTGGGGGAGAGACTGTAGCCAGGAATTTAACATTAGCATGGAAAAACAGCTATGTGGGAATTTCAGGTACAGGGTGGATTATATATATAAAGATGCATCTAAATTTGCTATCTCCTCCAGCATTACTGAAACTAGTAAAAAGTTGAAAAAGAAAAGAGAGAATGGGGAGCAGACAACAGCAGCAAACTTGGAAGCTAGAAAGTGAGGAGTGGTAAAGGATCCTAAGCCAGCCGTTCAGAAAGCTGAGAACCAACCTGATTTACATTGTAGAATCTCTGATAGGTGGGAATTGGTGGCATCCGCTAACCCCTGGATGTGAGGGTGAGTGGGGAGGGTCTAAGTTAGGAGGATTGGTTGAAAGCCCTGTTCACATGCCTTCAGAACCCCAGCTTTCTTTCTCCATCTTGGCAAAAGGCTGGAAGTTTTCCTCTGCAGTGTGTAAAACAGGACCACACAAAAGTGTTGGAGGTCAATATCCACGGAAATCATCAACAAAATAATTCAAGATGCTTTCCCTGAACCGAAGCGTGCGTTTTCAAATAAAAAATGCTCAGCACAATGGATGAAAGCAGACTAACGACAGAGCACATTAATGTGAAATCCAATTTTTCTATTTTTAAAAAAATATTTTCTTCTTTATTTTTATATTTTATTTATGGCTGCATCGGGTCTTATTTGCGGCATGTGAGATCTTTTCGTTGTGGCGTGTGGGCTTTCTAGTTGAGGTGCGTGGGCTTAGTTGCCTGCATTGGAAGGCAGATTCTTAACCTCTGGACCTCCGGGAAAGTCCCAGCTTTTAGAACCTTGGATACAAAAAGATCTTAGAAACTTCCGGGGGGAGAAATCAGATCTCAGACAAAGGATCGAGAATCAGAATGGCATGGGGGTTCCCAGCAATACTGAATGCTAGAACTCAGTGGAGACAAGTCTTCAGTGTTCTGAAGGAAAATTTCAATCTAACATTCTGTATTCAGACAAACTTCAGGTAGGAGGTCAGAACATTTTCAAACCTGCAAGGACTTCACAAGATGGAGTATATGGTTCACCCAGACACACAAAAGAGTACATTCTCAGGGTGATAAACTGCATCCCAGCTGTAGTCATCACACACCAAATCAGGACAGCTCAGAAAACTGGGAGAGACCTCTTCGGGAAGGTGGAATTTGGTCAGACTGCATGATCTGCATCAGTGTATTGAGATTTAGACACGGGGCAAACTGTGGGATTGAATGGTTAATTAGAACAGATAAAACAAGGCAAGCTGAGAGTGGAGAGAATGAAGGGCTCATTATTCAACTCCAGGGTTAATTTTAAAAAGCCGTGCAAGAAAGCAAACATAGTTCATTAAACGGAAGTTGAATACTAGTTGCATGTAATGTAAACACTGAATTACTGGACTAGTGTATATTATGAAACTTGAGGAATAATTACCGAAGTAATCAGCCAGTGTTGGTGAAAGAGATTGTGCTTGTGTGTGAGGGCATGGGACTGGTTTTTAGAGCAAACCTCCCAGAACTTTTTGACTCTTTAATTATATGCGTGAATGACTATAAGAGCAGAAGACAGTAAACAGATCCTTTATGTAGAAGATGGAGTTTTGCACATGATTTTATTCATAACTGATAGAATTGTGGCAAAGGTTTAACTATAAGAGGAACTCGGCATTATTTTACTTCTCTATGCACCCTTAAGTCTTACTCTTCTAATACGGCCTGTGTGTCAAATACCCTCAAAAGAAAAAGAGGGCAAGAGTTGGTCACTTGGGTCTTATTGTGCCCTGCTCTACTGCTTGTATCCTTGACCTGCCTGCTTTGTAGCCTGTAGAACAGAGGTCCCCACCCTCTGGTATCTAATGCCTGATGGTCTGAGGTGGAGCTGATGTTATAACAATAGAAATAAAGTGCACAGTAAATATAATGTGCTCAAATCATCCCCAAATCATTCCCCGCTGCCTCCCCAGTCCGTGGAAAAATTGTCTTCCACAAAATCAGTCTCGGGTGCCAGAAACACTGGGGATACCGCTGTGGAATATTGTTCAGGAGCAGATTTTCAGGAGTATTTGCAAACCACCCCTCTTTCCAGGTCTTATGCTCTGTCCCTGTGCAAGGGAGGCAGTTGTAACATGGATGGTGATTGACAGCTTAGGACTTGTTCGCATCAGTTTCTGCACTTGCTGGTTTCAGGTTTAGTTTCAGAAATGCAGGTGCTGTGGCTCTCTACTCCGGTCTGAGCAGTGGCTTCCCCTCTGGGGGTCGGTTTCTTCATCACCCGGAAAATGGGGAATATGATGCCTGTCTTGAAGTCTGGCTGGTTAGTAGTACCTGATTTTGTGCTCGGGGTGCGAGTAATGCTCTATATACACTCTCTCATTTATTCCCCATAACAGTCATGAGGTAGGTGCTGTTTTCTACATTGAATAGATGGGGAACCTGAAGGTCAAGCAGATGATATAATTTGACTGAGTTTCCACAGCCGGTAGGAGACCGAACTGGGATTCAGTTTCTTAACCTTTTACCCTTTAGCCAACTGTGCTTATGACTTGCCAGGATACTCCTCCTTGCAGGAGGCTTATAAGAGATAATATAAAGGGAACATACCAGGCACATAGTAGGCCCTCCCTATATTTTGCTTAGTTTGGAAAGGATATTTTTTCTTTCTTTTTAAAAAAATACTTATTTACTTATTTGACTGAGCTGAATCTTGGTTGTGGCATGTGGGCTCTAGTTCCCTGACCAGGGATTGAACCCAGGGCCCCTGCATTGGGAGCGTGGAGTCTTAGCCATGGGACCACCAGGAAAGTCCCAGAAAGGATGTTTTCTGTCTTGAGGTTTTTGCCTTAGGCCTTGCCTCTTTTTGTCCAAAGTTTAACTGAGTGGCTGACTGGTTGGGTTAAAAGCACTGCATCTCAACTGGGGGTGATTTTGTCCCCCAGGAGGCGTTTGACAATGCCTGGAAGCAGCTGGGATCGCCTCACTGTGGTGGGAGGGTGGTGTGCTGCTACTGGGGTCCAGTGGGTAGAGGCCAGGAGTACTGCTCCCCACAGCCAAGAATTATGCAGCCCCCAAAGTCAGGAGTGAAAGTCAGCCCCCAGAGTGGAGATTGAGAAGCCCTGGGTTAGAGGAGCCTCTCTTGAGTCCTCCCCCAGCACGCCCTCCCTCTCCCTGCCCGCTGACGTGTTGGAGTCTGACTGGCATTTTCTCTGTGGGCTTGGTCTTCGCAGGTTTCTGAGACGCTGAAGCGTTTTGCAGGGAAGGTCACAACAGCCAGCGTGAAGGAACGGAGAGAGATCCTCAGTGAGCTGGGGAAATGTGTTGCCGGAAAAGGTATTTATTTCCATGTCACTGATTTCATTTCAGACTAAATCGGGCTCTCTGTTTAGAACCATGGCCTTTTCCCTGCTTCCAGCAACTTCTGTCTTCACTGTCTATATTTGCTTGTTATAAATGTGCATTGAAGCAATTGGGTTGGTGGAGAGTTTATCCTTCTAGATGCCAAAGCTTTTAACAGTTTTAACCATTTTGACTGGAAGTAATTGTAATAGATGCCAACAGTTTTTCTTAAGTAATTTATTAGATACAAAAACTTTTTTTTTTTTTATGACTGGAGGCACTGTTTTTCCCAGCATTCCATGAAAATCAGCAAAATGGTAACTAGTGATTGGCTAGTGAAGGATTCCAAGATCATCTAAGTTTGGGAGTTGTCACCTTTTAATCCAGTGTTTCCTTGAACCTCTTTTTTGCTGAAATCCTATTCAGAGTCTGGGCAGCACATTTTGGGAAATGCTGAGCACATGTAGTTATTCCGATTCTGTACCATAACTGAGGGCTCTTATGGCAAACTATGGGGGTGTGTATAAGACTAGTTTGCCTTCAACCAATAAATCTTCATTAGTTGGTTTTTTTCTTTTAATTTTGTATTGGGGTATAGCCGATTAACAGTGCTGTGGTAGTTTCAGGTGGACAGTGAAGGGACTCAGCCATGCGTATACACATATCCACTCTCCCCAGAACTACCCCCAATTCAGGCTGCCACATAAAATTGAGTAGCGTTCCCTGTGCTATAAAATCCTCGTTAGTTTTTTAGTTCCCTTTTGGTGTGTTTTTCCTATACAGTGTTGGTTCTCAAATGTGGTCCCCAGACCAGCAGTATCGGCATCACCTGAGAACTTGTTTGAGATACAGAATCTCAGCTGCACCCCGAGAGATGCAGATTCATGAAAACTCTGGGGGTAGAGCCCAGCACCTGTGTTTTAACAAGCTCCCCAGCTTATTCCCATGTTTGCTACAGTTTGAGGACCATGGTGGTATAGAGTTGGGTCTCCGATTCTGTCAGCTTTCACTTCTTGTTAGGAAAGAGCCTTTTTCCTATCACTGTCTCACCCATACTCTCCTTTGCTGCTTCTGATCTACTGTCGCCTGGTTACATACCCAAGCTTGTTAAAGTTGTGTGTAAATTAAGTAAATTGCTGTTCGTGAGCTTCTGAGAGATTCTGCTGTGTATCAAAGCTTTAGTGCATGAGTTTATGGCACCTTCAGAAGTCCTTCTGGTCATTTCTCAGTGGGGTTCTAGTTAAAGAAGGCTGCCACATGACAGACGCTGGCTGTCCGCCCTAACCCTAATGGCTGACTCCGTGTTAAGTAACTGCCAAGTACCACCCTTCCCCCCCCCAGTTTGTGGAGTAAGGAGTTTGACCCGTATAGGTGAAGTTTATGAACTCCTCAGGCCTTTCCAGGTGATTTTACTCCCCAGTCACCCTGAAATTCCACAGTTCAGGGTGAATCATTTTTGTAAAATGTTTGCTAGCCTTTGATGTGCAGGTCTTTTGGGGAAAGCAAACTCCCCACCTGAAATCGTTAGTTCTCACTTTGCTTGTTTACGGAGTCTGTGGAGCCGTTGTGTAGTGATAGTTATTCTTGGCTCTCCTTATGTAGGGTCCCAGGTCCCCAGGTGGGTTCATCCAAGGCGGGACAAGGAGCTGGAAGGCCTCTTCAGAGGCCGTCAGACCCTGCAGGCAGTGCCCAGCCCGGCTCAGCCCTGCCTGGCCCCACAGTCTGGTGCTCTCCTCAGCCCTGCCTCCCTGAACCTGAAGCCTGAGGCCAGCAAGGCGGCTTTGCTGGGCCTGGCCTTGCCAGTCACCGGCCCTCAGTGCAGTGGGAGGTGACGGGCTCTGTGTTCTGGCCACGTTTCTGCTGCCTCCAGGCTGCGGGACCCGGTCCAGGTCCCTTCAGCTGTGAGCCTGCTTCCTTGCGTTTTGAGTGTGGAGATAGTAAGGCCGTGCCTCCCTCAGGGTGAGAGGAAGGAGGGAATGCGACTTGTAGGGATAGTGCCTGGCTCTTAGCAGCCCCAGTGTCTCTTAGCACTTACTAACTGCTGTTCTCCTCTGCTGTGCTTAGTCGCTCGATCATGTCTGACTCTTTGCGACCCATTGGACTACTGCCCCCCAGGCTCCTCTCTCCATGGGATTTTTCTGGGAAGAACACTGGAGTGAGTTGCCATTTCCTTCGCCAGGGGATCTTCCCAACCCAGGGATGAAACCCGCGTCTCCTGTGTCTTCTGCAGTGCAGGCAGACTTTTTACCTGCTGAGCCACTGGGGAAGCTGCTAGCCACAGCCTGCTCCTGGCCCCGGTCACTCTTCCTCAGTTACTGAGACGCTCTCAAATCAGGTGGGCCGGTGCCAGGCTCAGGGCACTGGGGGAGCTGGGGCCGTGCCCCTCCTCCATCGCCGCCCCGTCACTCGGGGGCCCGTGCGAACCCTTCATGAGCCTCCTGCTCGCTGGTCTGTCTGACACTCAGCTTCCATTTCTCCCATCAGACCCTCCTCCCTTCATCCTTGGGCTTCAACCTGGCCTGCAGAACCATCACAGGTTGGCTCTCCATTACTGAGCACCGTTGTTCCACCAGCTTCTCTTTCTCTTGACTGGCCTGCTTCATTTTCTCTGCCTTGGTTTCTTCTTAAAACTGGGCTCAGTCGCAGTACCCACCTTACAGGAACTGAGTTAATGTGTGTCGAGTGCTGAGAGCAGGGCCTGTGCCTCATGAGCTCCGATTCAGTGTTGGGTGTTGTTCCTGGGCCAGTGCCCAGGAAGTGTCGATAGTGCTTATTGACTAACCTCTGTGTGATCTCTGGTTTTAGATCTGCCGGAGGGAGCTGTGAAAGGCCTCTGTAAACTCTTCTGCTTGACCCTGCATCGATACAGGCGAGTCCTGGCCAACAGCCCAGTGTCCAGAGCACTTTGTACGGAGAGGTGGTAGAGGGCAGTGGTTAGAGCCCAGGCTTTGGAGCCAGACTGCCTGTTTCCTGGGCAAGTTACTGAACCTGTCTGTGCCTCAGTTTCCCCCTCTGTGGACTAGGGATCATGCTTTCATGGTGGTTCGTGTGAAGTTCTTGCTCAGTCTGTGCTTTCACTTGTCATGCATGTGAAAGCCACTCGGCTTCATTTGAGCCCTGTAGTAAGTGTTCTGTAAATGTAGATGTTGCCTGTACAGCCTTAAGGTTCCTTGGCCCTGGTTAATTTCTTCCAGAACTCTGGGATGAGGTAGATTTATCCAGTCACTTCCAAATCCCATCGTCTGTGACGGGTTGGAACACAGCGCGATGTAGTTTTCCTGTAAAGACGGGACTTGGCTGAAGCCCCCTGCCCACCCCCTGCCCCGGGTCCACGTGTTCACCTTGGCCTTCGCCCCTTCCCCAGGGATGCAGCCTCGCGCCGGGCCCTGCAGGCAGCCATCCAGCAGCTGGCCGAGGCCCAACCCGAAGCCACTGCCAAGAACCTTCTGCACTCTCTGCAGTCCTCGGGCATCGGCTCCAAAGCGGGCGTCCCCAGGTAAGAGGGGAAGCTGGTGGCGCCCGGGGCTCCGGAGTCCTCGGGAGGAGCCCCTGCAGAGCGGCTGGGGTGGCCACGCCCGCCCCTTTCCCCTTTGCAGCCCTGGGGGGCGCCAGCGGTCTGCCTTCCGGATGGAGGGAGAAGCCAGTATGTCAGGCCCGGCAGAGAGACCGCTTTCCTGGGGAGCAGGGTTGGGAAACCAGGGGCAGCAAGGCCATTTTAAGGAGAAACCAAATGCCGCCTCTGCCACCCCGCCAGGCCCTAAAGGCGGGAAACCATCCTTCGGATTTTATAGTTGTGAGTGCTGAGAGGTGGGGGCTCGGCACGCCTTGTCCTGAGTTGTCACAGGTGGTTTGTGGAGAACCTGTGTCTGGTTCCGTCCAGTCATAGGTCAGCGGAGGGTCCTATATGCTAGGCAGGGCCCTGTGGGGAGCCTTGTCTTCAGGTAGAGGCCGCTGCTCTGACCTCTCGCCTCCCCTCCACTCCCCTCCCAGTAAGAGCAGTGGCTCAGCCGCCTTGCTGGCCCTGTCCTGGACCGGCCTGCTGGTGCGCATTGTCTTTCCCTCGAGAGCCAAGCGGCAAGGAGACATCTGGAACAAACTGGTAGGTTCCCCATGCCTTGGAGTCGGCTCCCTGCACAGAGTTGCGATGTGTTTAAGCACCTTCTCTGACCAGTGCTCTCCTCAGGGCCGGGTGACCGGGCACTTTGAGTTACCCTCCGGTGTGTGACTTTGGTGGATGGGCGTGAGGGCAGCATAACACTCATCTACTTGTCAGATATCTGTGAGCTTTCCTGGATCAGGTGTGGGCTAGACCCAGGGACCTGAAACACAGGGATGAGCAAGAGAGACGCGGTTCCTGCCTTCCTGACAGGCCAGAGTAGGGAAGACAGCCAAAAAACTAGAAAACCAGAAAACACTGTAAATCATTCTGTTTTTTTCTGACTAATCCTTCTTTTCCCTGTGTTTGGATTTCAGTGCTGAACTGGCTAATGGAGTGGGATTCTTGCCATGTGCTTTGATCCTTGAATTCTCTCCTCCCCGTTCTATGCCTGCTCCTTCCATTTTCCCTTCCTCGCCTTTCAGCATGTCTGCTAACCAGAGATGGCCCCACAGGCCAGGTTGAAAGGTTTTCTTGAGTGTCTCGATATGCTTAGTGGAGGGCAAGAGGAAAGGTGTCATGGTTTTAACAAAAAGGAGTCTGAGGATCTTGGTGTGGATTTGATTCTTGGCCTTGAGATTTGCCAAGTACTTAACTTAGTTTCTGAGTCCATTTCCCATTACTGCGAAAATGGGAACAAGTACCACCCACCCATCCACCTCAAAGAGTTATCATGAAGATGGGCCCAGAAGAGGTGTGAAAGGGCTGTGGAAACTTAAGAGAGGGCTGTGCAGGTGAACACATGGCATTAGAAAACCTTCAGCACCTCTGCTGGACACAGCCAGCTCGTAAGACTCATTGAGGCCTCACCCCTGGGAGCTTGTCCTGCACACTTGTGGGGATGACCGTAGATTGGCCATCAGCAGCTGACAGGAGGATAAGAATACTGAAACTTCACAAGTAGTGGATACATTCCAAACCCACCTTTGGAGTGTAGGTTCCATTGTTACCAAAAGGTCTTCTTATAAGATGGTTGATCTCACGGGCCCCCTCATTGGTGCATCTCCAGTGACTTCTCATGACCGTTACCCGAGGTAAGTCAGTGTGCTTGTGGGTTAGTGAGCTGGAGGGGTCAGCCCCGTCATGTTATGTTTATGGGACAGGATGCATCAAGAGCTTGAGACCAGGGTGGTTTTCTCAGGGTCTTGAATCTGGGTTTTTCCTTTGCTTGGTGCTGACGTTGACTCTACATATAGGTGGCAGTTCATTCGGTTGCTGAGGTATTTGTTGAGGCCCCCTGTGTGCCGGGTGCTGTTGACGGAGCTGCGGCTGAAGCAGAGGACGAGGGAGAGGACCTTGCTTTCTCATAGCTTACAGTCCTGGGGAGAGGCTGGACGCAAATGAGTGATAAAAGCAGGCAGGAGGATAGAGGGTGGACGCTAACGGTGGGAGAGAGGCCTCTGGAGGAGGTACACTTTGAGCAGAGACATTACGGACATGAAAGAAGAAGCCATGCCCAGATGAAGGGTTAGAGCATTTCCGGAAGAAGGAACAGCAGTATAGTTCTGAATGAGATGTCAGCAAGCTTAAGAAACTATTTTAATAATAATTTTTTTTTAAAAGCTCAATATTCAACAAATGTCGAACGATACACCAGTTTCCTTCCCACCCCTTCTCTAGGCATCTCAGTCCCCCACTAGAACTAGTTCCTTGTGTAGGTAAAGATATTCCCTGTGTATGTAACTAAGTAGATTTTTTTATACAAATGATAGCATACATATAATCTTTTTCTCTCATGTTGGGTTTTTTTCTTTAACCAGATTTAGAATTTGTTGTAGAGTATTATATAAAGAGCTTCTCATTCTTTATGACTGTTACTAATCCTTTGAGTGGATGTACCATGGTATATAACCAGTCCCCTGTTGATGACCGTTTACGTTGTTTACAGCCTCTCATCATAAAAAGCGTTGCTGTGAATGACCTTGTGCACCTCCCATTTTGTACACATACAGATGGAAGTCGGCCGACTACTTAAGCATGCCCTCTTTCTCAGGGTGGCAGTCCTCAGGTGCTTGTGGCCCATCCGGTCTCTGAGGCTTGTTAACCGAGCACCTGTTATGTGCTGCACTCTGGATTGGACAGTGAGCTCCCTGCAGGCAGGATCAGCCTATCGGTCTTGACTTCTGTATCCACAGTGCCTAGCGTAGTGCCTGCCGTTTCATCAGCGCTCACTGCCTGGGAATTAATGAGGAAATAGTCAGGGCAGATGAAGAAATACATGAAACAAGACTCTTACCCTTTTTCCACATGGCACTTCCTTTGCTGTAATTATGTGTTCATTTGTGTGTTTTATTTGTTTAGTATCTCTCTTTCCCGCTGGACTGTGAGGTACATGAAAGCAAGGACCGTATTTGTCTTATTCTCCCGGTGTTTTCATTGTCTTACTCATAGTAGGTGTTCAGCAGATACTTACTTACGAAGTGCTTGAGTGAACAGATGTAATTCTGGGACAGGGGCTGAGTCGGGGGTTGGGGGGGAGGGAAGAGGGTCTGGCTGGAGTCGAGTGGGAGAGGCCTGGCGGAGATGACCTCAGGTTCCGGCCGGTGGGGCTGACGGAGGCCTTGGGCAGGCTGTGAGGGCCACGGGTGCTTGGCTCCCTTTTTCCGTCCGGACCCAAGCGCCCCTGTCCCCACAGGTGGAGGTGCAGTGCCTGCTCCTGCTGGAGGTGCTGGGCGGCTCCCACAAGCACGCCGTGGACGGTGCCGTGAAGAAGCTCACCAAGCTGTGGAGAGAGGTGACCAGAGGCCGCGGTGGGTGGCGGGCAGCACTTCCTCCGCGCACCCCCACTGCCATCTGATTCCCCTGCCCTCCCCGTTCCTCCTCAGAACCCTGGGCTGGTGGAACAGTACTTGTCAGCCATTCTCAGCCTAGAGCCCAACCAGAGCTATGCGGGCATGCTGGGGCTGCTGGTGCAGTTCTGCACGAGCCACAAGGAGATGGACGTGGTCAGCCAGCACAAGGCAAGTGGGTGCTGGCTGGGCAGGGAGCGGGGGGAATGCGTTTTCCCCTGGTGGCTCCGGCCGCTGGCCTCATCTGAAGGTGGCTGGTTTTCTCTCCCGAGACCCCGGCCTTTCGCAGTGATGTGTGAGGAGCGGGAACGTTTCCTCTCTGGTTCTGGCTGGCGGTGGGCCCTGCTGCAGTTACTGGGATGCTGATTTGCTTGTTTGTGCTGTCGCTGAGTCACTCACCCCCAAGCAGCTGCCTTGTGCCAAGCTCTGTGCCAGGTGTTGTGGGTGCAGCAGTGAGCGAGGGGGCCGTGATCCCTGCCTGGGTGGGGATGAGTCTGAGGAGGCCGCTGTTAGGCAGAGTGGCATTTTGTCATCTCTGTGAAACACGCTACAAAAGGAACTGTGCAAGAGGCTGTGATACTCTGCGGCGGGGACCTGTCTCAGGCTGTGGGTCAGGTAACACATCTCTAAGGAAGGAACTTAAAGGGTAAAGAGATGTTAACAAGGCCAAGAGTCAAGGAAGGGCATTTGGGGCAGAGAGAGCAGTGTGTGGGCCGGAATGTGGGTGGCATGTGGCTGCCTGGGTGAGAGAGGAGCCGGCAGGCCTGTGAGCCATGCCAGGGGCCTGGAAAGCTATGGAGGGCTTTTTGTTGGGGAATGGTGGGGACACTGGCGTTTCCAAGCTTGACTCCGTGACGTTTGGGGCCCTGATTGGTACTGTTCAGAAGCGCTCACACAAGAGGGACCTCAGAGCGTCAGGGTCTGACAGGTCTCTCTCTTCCGCAGAGTGCCCTGCTGGACTTTTACGTGAAGAACATCCTGATGAGCAAAGTGAAGCCTCAGAAGTATCTGTTGGTGAGCGAGCGGTGGCCTTTCCTTGTCTGTCTAGCTAAATCCCCTTTTAAATTCTGTGATTCGGAGCCATCCTTTATTCTCGGTCTGTTGCCGTGAGGGCCAGGCGCCTTACCCTTTTTCTTGGCAGGATAATTGCACCCCTCTGCTCCGGTACATGTCCCACTCGGAGTTTAAGGATCTGGTCCTGCCTACCATACAGAAGTCGTTACTGAGGAGTCCAGAGAATGTCATTGAAAGTAGGTAGCTGCTGGCCAGGATGGTGGGAGGGAGATGACGTCACCCAGTGAGCCAGATCTCGGTTGCTTGGCAACAGGCAGTGTTTATGGGGGGTGTGTAGGGGAGTGTATTCACTGTGTACCTCGTTGGGCCCCTTGAGAAGGAGATTTGGGACCCTTTCGAGAGTATGTTGAAAATAATGGGCCCTCTTGCTGAAAGAGTGCGTAGAAGTGTACCCACTGAAAATGCTGCACATTTAGAGGTCTGAGAACCTTCTGGACACCAGGTTAAGAACCTCTGCTCTAGACAGGTTGACCTTGGTGTGTGGTGGCATTTGAAACCCTAGGATGTGAGAGCTGAGTCTCTGTCGCTTTTTATCTTGGTAAGAGATACAGGCAGAGTGTTGGGGGCGCGGAGTTTTGCTGTTCGGATGGGGCAGCATGCAGCCTTACAGCAGAGCTGAGGACAAAGGTGTGACGGTACAGAGTGAAGAGGGGTCATGTTCCATGTGGCTAGGCAGCGGGCCTGAGCGCTGGCTGGGGAGTCGGGTAGAAACAGGCATTTTCCCTCCGGGGTCAACGTGAGGTGTGCTTTCTGTCCCCCTCAGCTATCTCCAGCCTGCTGGCAGCAGTGACTCTTGATCTCAGCCAGTATGCCCTGGACATCGGGAAAGGACTGGCTGGTGAGTGTCCTGACCCCTCTCCCACCCCTCGAATGACACCTTGGGTTTTTGGTTGCACTTGTCCCAATTGTAGAAGAAGGGGAACGAGACAGCTCCGTTTAGAAATAAACTGCAGTTGTTGGGAGTTTCTTTCCTGAGATCCTTGATCATGAGAACGCAGAGCCAGGATGGATGAGTTGGGAGCCAGGAAGAGAAAGACGAGAGCCTGGCTACTGAGTTCTGAGCAGCGGCTGTCTGTGTCCAGGTCAGCTGAAGTCCAACAGCCCTCGCCTGATGGACGAAGCCGTGCTGGCGCTGCGGAACCTGGCCCGCCAGTGCAGTGACTCCTCGGCGATGGAAGCCCTGGCCAGGCACCTGTTTGCTATCCTCGGAGGTGGGCTCGCCTTTCCGGGCACGGGGGTGGCTAAGGTGTGGTCTCTGGCGCTCCCTGGGTGCCGGGGCCTGATGGGAGCTCAGTGCTCTGAGTTTTCTTGTGTCAGGAGTGTGAATGGAAGCACAGGCAGAGTGGTGTGTTTGGGGGTGATCTCATGTACACCGTATAGATGTTTTTGTGCACATAGGTTAAGTGTAGATGTTTTTGTGCACATAGTTTAAAAAATAGAGAAAAATACACAAAAATATAAGTAATATTTTTAGATGGGTGATTTTTAGATTTTTTTTTTCTGTTTGTCACATTTTCTGCAAGAACATATTTACTCACTTAGGAAAAAAAACAACCCAATAAGTGTGGTTTTAAACCCAACTTCATGATAAAGAGGCTCTGCTTTTGGAATCAGAAACTGTATCTTTCTTTCTCTCTTTTTTCCTTTTTTGGCCACATCACTTGGCCTGTGGGATCTTGTTCCCTGACCGGGGATCGAAGTCAGGGCCCCTGCATTGGGAGCACGGCGTCTTAGCCACTGGACCACCAGTGAAGTCCCTGGTGTGTCTTGATGTCACACACGTGACTACCTTGTTCACCCCTTTGGGAAAGGTGGCAGATGTGAATTCTGAATCTTTGCCCTCTCTCCTCTCAGGCTCGGAGGGGAAGCTAACTATTGTAGCCCAGAAGATGAGCGTTCTCTCAGGTATAGAATTTCTCTGCGGGGTCACGAAGTGTGGTTGTAGGTGAGGGTCACCCCGACCGTTAGGTATGGCGAATCTGTCAGGTCCTAATGTCTCTGACAGTCTTGGATGTCCCAGCCTGGCTTCTGTAAAAGGCAGGACGTCTGATGGGAGATTGAGGGAGGGTCAGTGATGGCCAGAAGAGAGGCGTGGCCACTGGGGAGGGGGGCAGCGACAGGAAGATGGTGCATTAGCAGTTCTGTGCTGAGCAGGGAACCCCTGCCTTCCAGGGATCGGGAGTGTCAGTCATCACGTGGTGTCGGGGCCTTCCAGTCAAATCCTGAGCGGGACCGTGGCTGAGCTCTTCATCCCGTTCCTCCAGCAAGAAGGTAATTCTGGGCAGCATGGTGAGGCTGCAGCCAGGCCCCATGTTTGAGCCCAGTTTTCACGGTTGGAGCCTGCAGTGACCCCTTCTGAAGGCCCTGCTTCCCCTCCCCGAAGCATCACTGCTTTTGCTCCCTTTACCTGGCTTGCTTTCGCGTGCGGCTCGCGGTGATGTGACGTGGTTGTAAGATGTCCGGCTGACTGGGCTCCGACTTTTCTCCCTAGTTCACGAAGGCACCTTGGTGCATGCTGTCTCTGTCTTGGCTCTCTGGTGTCACCGCTTCACCACGGAAGTACCCAAGAAGCTCACCGAATGGTTCAAGAAAGCCTTCAGCCTTAAAACCTCCACCTCTGCTGTGAGGCATGCCTACCTGCAGTGCATGTTGGTCTGCTTCCGAGGTGAGAGGCTCCCCGCAGAGGAGATCCAGTCTTCAGAGTGTCATCGCCCCTCTGGGCTTGCCCTTTCGGTCCAGCCTTTTTTGCATCATTTCCTCCCGAGTCCATGGGAGCATCCAGCTTAGTCATCCACAAAGCCTGGAATCAGAGCCCCATTTGATTTTGATTTCTCCCCCTTATCAGACCTTCAGAGTACAAAGTTTATTCAGAGAAGACCCACAACCAGAACCCGTCGCTCTGTTTTCTGAAATCATGAAGATATGATTCTGATAAGACTGATGTGTGAGGTGTAAATTTATAGTCTTTACCCTGGACCTGTGAGAAACCAGCCCTGCTCTTGCGTCAGGGCTAACAAACCTGTCATCTGGGCACTTGCCTCCTTTCTACGTGCAGTGAGGGGACCCGGCAAATCTGTGTAGGAGCTTGATCCCCAAAGTGAAAATCTCTAACACTGATTTCCACCTCTGAGATGGACTCGTGTTTCACTTATAGTTTAAATGGATGATGACTCTGTCTAAAGAAATGTCTGGGAGATTCCTGAGCGCCCTCTAGAAAGGTGACTCCCTTCTGTTCTATGTCTGAGCTCGTGTATCACTTTGTAGTTTTGCTGCACTGATCAAAGTTGACTTTAGATTGAGTTCTAAATAGCCAAGTCTTGGTTTAACCTCGTCTCTTTAGCTGGAGCTAGTTCTAGTTCTGCTCCAGACTTTAAAAGCAAACATAGAATAAACCTTTAAGATATATATTTCTTGGATTCAAAAGCATGGCATTGTCCAAATGAAATGCGTTTTTGTGTGTGAAACCTTCTGATATACCAGTTTGGTAACTTAAGAGTTTAGCTACAGGTTTTAGTAGGTTTTTACCTTTTTTTTTTTTTTAAACAGACTTTAGTTCATAGGTCAGCAGATTGGTTCTGGTTGGGGGGTTTGGGTCTGGAGGTTGTCTGGTGTGGGGGAAGCACCCCAGAAAGAAATTGGTGGACCTGAGGTTTGCCCTGGTTCTCTTCCCCCAACCAGCTGTGTGGCCGTGGGCAACTCACTTTACCTGTCTGTTTACCCATCAAATGAATAGCCAGACTCTTGGGTTAGTAAGGACCCCTCTAGCTCTAACTAAGGTTGTAGAGTTTGATTTAAGCCCTAGATTCTATTCCACTTCTTCGAGGTATTTGAAAGGTAATCATTAGCCGGTTCGGACAGGGGTGAATGTCCTTTCTCAGATAATCTTGCCCCCTGCCCCCCGCATGATGGAGGCGTTCTGTAAGGCGCCAGTCCTGTCTCCACAGGCGACACGCTGCTACAGGCCCTGGACTTGCTGCCCTTGCTTATCCAGACAGTGGAGAAGGCGGCCTCCCAAGGCACTCAGGTTCCCGTTGTCACCGAAGGGGTCGCCGCTGCCTTGCTGCTCACAAAGCTCTCAATGGCTGACTCGCAGGCTGGTAAGAGTCCGGCGGTGTCCAGGAGGCTGCAGACAAGGGCCTCTTCCAGCGTCCCTGGGAGGAGGGCCAGATGTTCAGGATTTGGCCCCGTCAGCTTGGCCACTCACCCCCTGGGCAGCCACGGGGCCACTTAGCACCTGCCAGGGTGGATTTTGTCCGTAAGCTCCCGTCCCTGAGCGCTGGAGCGACAGAGCGGAAGAGGACGGTGACAGCGCCCCCTGGCTGCCCACCCACCGCTCCGTGCGCCCGAGGCTCACCCCTGCAGGTGCTCAGTGGGCCTTTGGTTTTGATCGGTTATACGTTTTTAGGGTGTAACATGAACAGTGTCCCATGAGTTTAGCCAGCCTGCCTTCCAGCCACGCAGTTTCTCTCCTTGGAGGACATTACCAGTTTGGTGCCCAGAGATGGCTGATGTGTAATTGCCCAAACACGCTGGGTAGTGTACTGTACATGGGCTTCCCTGGCGGCTCAGTGGTAGAGTCCGCCTGCCAATGCAGGAAACTTGGGTTTGATCCTTGGGTTGGGAAGATCCTCCAGGGTAGGAAATGGCAACCCACTCCAGTATTCCTGCCTGGGAAATCCCATGGACAGAGGAGCCTGATAGGTTACAGTCAATGGGGTCGCAAAAGAGTTGGACACGATTTAGCAACTAAACAACAACAACAACAATGTACTACACGTGCCATTTTATGTACTGAACACATCTGGGAAAAGATTCCAAATCAGTGCAACAAAAAGAGCTCTCCTGTTTTTGTGGCTACAAGGTGTTTCATGCTTGTTTAGTCTAACTCCTACTCTGTGCGGACATCGCTGGACATACTCCTGTGGTTAGAAACAAGATTCAGCTCTTTTCACGGATTATTGCATGACATCTGGGTATATGCCAAGGCACTCAGTTACTTCGCCGTGGGAGGAGGCAGAAATGAGCATGACCCCGCTTCAGCAAATTTTAAGCTGCCTTTACTGTAATGGGAGAAGGTATATGCAAACATCATCTGCCGTTAAAGGCAAAACATAGAGCAGGTTTGAAGGATGGATTGCTTTTAGTTTCGGGGTTGGGGGCCAGGAAAGGCTTCCTGAAGGCGGGAGCGTTTGAACTAGGGCCCTGAGGACTAGCAGGAGTTTCACTGACTGGAAGGGAACGGCCCAGTGTGAGTTCGGAGCAGGGAAGGCACCACGTGGGACCTTAAGGAGCTCAGCATGGCACCTGGAGCAGGTGGGCATCCAGGGTGGGAGGCAGGTCATCTGGGCTTCTGCAGGTAGTGGAGGAGCACCAGAGGTTTCCATAAGAGGTGATGCTACCACAAGAGCTAGTTATTCTCAGCATGGGAGGACAGTGAGCCAGGGAGTGACCCCTCCCTGCCGAACGAGGACCCCGGCCCACTGCACCAAGGAAGGTCTGCCAGATGACCCAGCCCCAGCAGCTGCAGCGTGGCGGGGCCAGCCCTGGGCAAGGCAGTGGGCTGTGTGATGGAGTGACCTTTTGTCTCTTGCAGAGGCCAAATTGAGCGGTTTCTGGCAGCTCATTTTGGATGAGAAGAAGCAGGTTTTCACTTCCGAGAAATTCCTGCTCATGGCTTCAGAGGATGGTGAGTTACTACTTGCCTAATTGAAGTTTAGTTTGGGGCGGAGTCTCTCTGGTGGGTCTTCAGTGAGGACCCTTCCCGTACTGCCTGTTGTTTTGACCAGTCAGCTCGGCAAAGACCTGGAGCAGAGCGATCTGACCAACAGCTCAGCTTTCCTGAGAATGAATTTATTCCTGTGGGGCCTGGAAGACTGGGGAGGTGGGAGTGAAGTGGGAGATTTGTGGAGACAGAGCACTAATAGTTGTAGAGCTGTGATATTAGATGTAATTATAGCTGATTGGGTAATTGGTGCTGTCTCAGAGGTTTTCTTATGTTCAGAGGCAGCTGAGAAGCTCTAGTGAAGTGTAGCTGGCTCCACTCCCCCACCGGGAGATAGAAAAACTACTGGTTTCTCTCTTGGCAGAAAAGGAACCGTTGATCTTTAAATGTACGTTTAAAATTCTAGGTTGCCTTAGAAGTATCTGGCTAATTGGTGACTTGAAAAGTCTTTTGACTCACACATCACAACATTCTGTTAATGAGCTACAACTGTTAGTCACTTCCTGATGTTTAAAACACGTTTAGCTAGTCTTTGAACAGGAAATGTATTCACATAATACAAAAATAAAAGCCCCAAGAGGGGCTACACTGAAAGTTACACCGTTGCTTTGATCTCTGCCCAGTGTCCCTAGCCATGGAGAACCAGTTTTATCCACTTGCTGTGTATCTTTGATATTTTATTTTTATACCAATAAATATCCTTATGTGTTAGTTCTCTTCCTTTTTTATACAAATGGTAATATGCATGCTATATGCATTGCGCTGTCTAGATTTGGAAATCATTTCACATCAGTATATGAGTACTCTTATTCTTTAGAACTGCATACGAATTCAATTATGGAAGTACAGTTGAATTTATTAATACATTCGTGTGTTAATTTTTACTGTACAGCAGAATGATTCAGTTATACATATATATATACACATTCCTTTTCATATTCTTTTCCACTATAGTTTATCACAGGGTATTGAATATAGTTCTGTGTGCTATACCCTAGGATCTCATTGTTTTAATTAAAAGAAAGTGTATACTTTTGCTTGTTCCAAAATACACGTGTGCATATGCTAAAAGCATAACTTGCTTTTAGCAGAAAAGCAAGTTCAATAGATAACACATATATATATATAACTGAGTCACTTGGCCATACATCTGAAATTAACACAGCATTGTTAATCAACTATACTCAATATAAAGTTAAAAGTTTAAAAAAAAGAAAATTCAAGTGAAGCTGTAACTTTACGCTTACATTTTGATTTCCAACTTTTCCAGTTCTCTCTGGGTATTTTCTCTATTTAATTTCTTTGTGTATTTGGCTGCTCTGGGCCTTAGTTGCAGCATGTGGGATCTAGTTCCCTGACCAGGGATGGCACCTGGGTCCCCTGCATTGGGAGCACGGAGTCTCAGCCTCTGGACCACCAGGGAAGTCCCCGTTTCCTCTGTTTCAGACGAGATCGGGCACGTTCAGGACGGTTCGGCCACGGCCGTATTCTCTATTTTAAAAACACTTGCGCTGTTTCTCTCTCCTCGCCAGCCCTGGGCACCGTGCTGCAGCTGACAGAGAGACTGTTTCTTGACCATCCACAGCGACTCACAGGCAACAAAGTTCAGTACGTGGGGCTCGTTCACCTTCCCCCTCGGGCCAGACCACCCTGTTCCTGGGAGGAGCCCGAGCCACAGCGGTGTGTGAGGGGCGGGAGGCTGGCCGCAGAGAGCCGCGCCCGGCCGTCCCCAGCGCACCTTGTCGCTCTGCTGCAGGCAGTACCACCGGGCCCTGGCGGCCGTGCTCCTGAGCCGCACCTGGCACGTGCGCAGGCAGGCCCAGCAGACAGCCCGGAAGCTGCTGTCCTCTCTCGGGGGCTTCAAGCTGGCCTACGGACTGCTGGAGGAGCTGAAGACTGTCCTCAGTTCTCACAAGGTCAGGGCCTCTTCTGGGTTCCAGAACTGGGGCTCACAGACCCCTGAGCTGCCCCTGCCTACACTGTGGGATCTCACCTGATATGCTCCCCGGCTGTCCTTACTCAGCATAGGCTCCGTGTGCTGCCAGTCTCCTGCGCTGCCCCACAGCTCAGGGCCCACCTTGTTTCATACCATTTCTTTTCCTTTGCAGATGCCTGTCTTTCTTCCCATGACTTATGATGCATTCTTGAGTAATGGAAAAACACTTTGTTTTTAAAGCATTTTATAAATTTTAAAACATTTTTCTATCCTCCTCTCGGTCCATTTTTCATAATGCCTTTAAAAGGCCAAGAGGCTTACTACGCTTGTTTTATGGGAGTCGTTCATGGTTCTCGCAGCTGAAATGACTTGCTCAGGGTCTCCCGTCAGTGGGTGGTGGCAGGAACCTGGCTCCTGATTTCAGCGCTCTTTGTGTCCCGTTACACTGCTTCCCTCCCTCCCTGGGCAGGCTTAGGGATGTGGGCTGATGACAGACTTGCAGTCTCAGGTTCGTTCCCCCTGGATCGGATTCTGTTGCCTTTTTTCCCCCTGTGGGCTCTTTGAGGCTCAGGACCCTAGGTGCTTCCTTCCAGGCCCATCTCACAGCCTGTGGATCCCAGTGCAGGGCTCCGGGCATTGGTCTCCACGCTGGCAGGGGGCCAAGAGAATAGCCTGAATGACAGGCAGCTGTGTCCCCAGTGTCTTAATCTCCTGGGGGTCAGGCCAGCACGGGGCTCTGATCATTGGGAGCTCACACGTTGTGTCTCCGCAGGTGCTGCCCTTCGAGGCTCTGGTGACCGACACTGGGGAGGTGACTGAGGTGGGCAAGGCCTACGTGCCCCCGCGGGTCCTGCAGGAGGCTCTGTGCGTCATCTCCGGGGTGCCAGGGCTGGAGGGCGGCGTCACCGGCTTGGAACAGCTGGCGCAGGAGATGCTGATCATTTCTCACCACCCGTCCTTAGGTCCGTGGCCCAGGCAGGGGTGGGGGGCCAGGGACTCTGTCAGAAGAGCAGGCAGGCAGAAGGCCTCAAAGAGCTCCCCTTCCCTTCAGTGGCTGTGCAGTCTGGCCTCTGGCCAGCACTTCTTGCCAGGATGAAGATTGATCCAGAAGCCTTCATTACCAGGCACTTGGACCAGATCATCCCCAGGATCACCACACAGAGCCCTCTGAACCAGGTAGTTGGGCCTGTGAGCTGGCTCTGGCCTCAGGTCAGCAGCAGACGGGGAAGATTCAGAGAAACAGAAGACAGGATGATAAGAAGTGGGTTGGACCATTGGGTTGCAAGTGACAGCGCAGACTAGTTTGAGCTTAGCAGGGAGCTTGCTGGTTGCCACGTCTTAACTGGTAAAGCCTGTGGATGTGACGGGGCGGGGACTCAGATGTCCTCAAGAACTCGTAAGTGGTATGTCTTTTCCTTTCTGTCCATCTCCCTTCCTCCTCTGTCTGTGCCTCACTGCTGCTTTCTGTGGCATGGGCTTCTTTCTCAGTCTCCACTTTTCGGTCACGGGATAGCTGTTCTGGGCTTACATCTCGTCCCTCGTTAGCTCCAGTGGGAATAGCTAGCGTTTTCCAGCCATTCCAGCTGGCGGGGGCCTTACTGCCTGGGTTGACCTGACTCGGGTCTGTGCTATCCCAGGGCCCATCCTTCTGGTCTGGGTCATGTGCCCATCTCTAGCGAGGGTGGGTGAAGCTCTGCCTGAACCACAGAGATCGAGAGTGGGAGAGAAGGGTGTCCCCCATGTCAGGATGTGGCATGCCGAGAAGGCAGGCACAACCTGTAGCTGTCCACTCCAGTGGGCGGGGCTCAGAAAGAGCAGAGAGTAGCAAGAAGGGGAGCCAGCTGCCCAGGGTGTGAGACACGGCAGGCCCTCTCTCCTGTGCTAGCCGCGGCAGGCGCTGACCGTATCTGTTTGTCTGGCAGTCTTCCATGAACGCCATGGGCTCCCTCTCGATCCTGTCCCCAGACCGGGTCCTCCCGCAGCTCATCAGCACCGTCACCGCCTCCGTGCAGAACCCAGCGCTGTGCCAGGTGACGCGGGAGGAGTTTGCTATCATGCAGACCCCTGCGGGGGAGCTGTACGACAAGTCCATCATCCAGAGGTGAGCCGCCTGCGCGAGGGCTCAGTGAGGGATACAGTCTGTCTGTTCGTTGGGGGAGTGCTGGCTGTGGTCCACACAGTCTTCGGTCCTGGATACGAGAGCGTGTGGAGGACCCAGCACTTGACTGGTGCCCGTGACTTAAGACCTCGAAGGGATCTCATGGCTGGTGAGAGGCTGAAGGGCCTCGTGGCCGGATGGAACCTGGCTGATCACCTGCTCTGGTGTTTCAGTGCCCAGCAGGACAGCATAAAAAAGGCCAACATGAAGCGAGAGAACAAAGCTTACTCCTTCAAGGAGCAGATCATCGAGCTGGAGCTGAAGGAGGTGGGTGTCCGGAGGCCTCAGGCCAGTTCCTTGGGTCACCCTGACCCGTGGCATGCTCCTCTGACCTCCCCACTCAGCCCGGGTCCTCCTGTCACTTTCTTGATCTGCCCTTTCTCAGCAGCTTTCTCCACCCGCAACTCAAGGAAAAGAGATTTTTCTTTCTGCTGTCAGTAGTTCGTGTATTTCCTCTGCTAAATGGTGTAGCTTGACTACATGCCCATCCGCATGCCCCACTCCTGGATGGCCGGGTCCCTCTGTCCTCCTGACAGTGGGCACGGGCCCTGGCACAGTGTAGCCGCTGGGGCATCGGGGTTCATGGCCGTGTTCAGTGGTGACGGGACTGGTTCTGGTGGAAGCACAGCACACAGGGCTCTTGTTTCAGAGCCTGTGCTCCTCCCTCAGTCTTTCTTCTTCAGTCTTTACAGGCTGAGTTCTTCTTGTCTTCTACATCTCTGCCCCTTCCACAGAGAGGTGACCCCTTCTGCCCACCCTACCCAGAGCTGAGCCGCCCCCTTCTCATTTGTTATGCATCTTATTTATTCCTTTCATGACATTGGTCATGATCTGAAGTCACCTTGTTTATATATCTGTTCACCTGTTCATTGTGTAGCTGCCCCCACTAAGATGGTGAGCTCTGTAAGGGCAGAGACTTGGTCTTGTTCCCATAGTCTCCCCAGCATCTGGCACCTTGTAGGTGCTCAGTAAATATCAGATGAACAAATGCTCTCAGCCTCTGCCAGGCTTTAGCTTACACTGGAGGAGAGTGTAGGGCAGGCTGGTCAGGGATGGGAGAGGCTTAGGCTAGAAATCAAGCTATGTGGCTCCCAGAATACCCTCTTCAGCAACTGGAGGAACTTCCCATTTCTCTTAACACGTAAAGACTTTTTTTGTGTTTTGCTCATGGAGAATCTGGCAAGAAATGGCCACTCTACTGCTTTCTGTTCTGTAGAAACCAGGTGGCCCTGGGCTTGTGGGAGGTGGGGGAGGCCAGCCGGCAGGTTTGGGGCCCAGATCACAGACTCAGAACTGGCCTGGGGCCAATGGTGGCGCCGAGCTCACCTTGCCTGGTGGTGGAAGGGAGGCAGGTCTTTCCCCTGGAGACGAAATTGTGCTTGTTCCTTCAGGAGATAAAGAAGAAGAAAGGCATAAAAGAGGAGGTGCAGCTGACCAGCAAACAGAAGGAGATGCTGCAGGCCCAGCTGGATAAGGAGGCGCAGATCCGGAGGCGGCTGCAGGAGGTGGGCAGCTGCCCCAGTGCCCCTGCCTCACTCACTGTCAGGGCGGGTCCTGCTGACCGGCCCTCTGGGCTGACTCTGCTTACAGCTGGACGGTGAGCTGGAGGCGGCGCTGGGGCTGCTGGACACCATCCTGGTCAAGAACCCATCTGGCCTGACCCAGTATATCCCGGTCCTGGTCGACTCTTTCCTGCCCTTGCTGAAGTCTCCCCTGGCTGCTCCCAGGATCAAGACCCCTTTCCTGTCCTTGGCTGCCTGTGTCATGCCCCCGAGGCTCAAGGCTTTGGGTTAGTCGTCATCGGCTGGCTGTGGGCATGGCCCCGGGGCAGGCGGGAGCGGACAGGGGGAGGCTCACAGTGACCTTGGCTACTGACCTGTGTTCCTGTGGGCGCAGCCTCGGGCAGCCCCAGCTGTCCATCCTGGGGAGCACGTGGTGCCATCTCCTCTCTCCTCTTTTACGTCTACTGTGTCTTCACTCTGAGGACCAAGTTTTAGATGCTAGTCAGTGATCTGTGTGTGTGTGTGTGTGCGCGCGCGCGCACGTGCACGCTGAGTTGCTCAGTCATATCCAGTTCTTTGTGACCCCATGGACTGCAGCCTTCCAGGCCCCTCTGTCCATGGGGTGTCCCAGGAAAGAGTACTGGAGTGGGTTGCCATTTCCTACTTCAGCAGATCTTCCTGACCCAGGGATTGAACCCTCATCTTTTACGTCTCTTGCATTGGCAGGCAGGTTCTTTACCGCTGGGCCACATGGGAAGCCCTTGATCTTTCTGTAGCAGTTTTAAATTCAGTGGCAGTGGGATAGTTGGTGCCACGTGGCCTATCCGTGGAGCCCAGCGCTTCTGAGCAGCCAGGTGTGGATGACCAGGGGTCTCCGTGGCCTTGAAAAGCTTTCTGTTTAGCCACAAAGGCCACGTGGGGTGGCTGGGAATTATGGTAGCCTCACTCTGTGGATTGTATGACACCTTTGAGCCTTAAGGATACGTTCCCATGGTGAGGCTGGAGTCAGGCCGTGCGGGCAGAGCCTATGGGAAGTGTTACCCGACTGGCTGGGCTGCTGCATGGAAGGTGGGAGCGCCCTGTGGCTAGAGCTTCACTCCCAGCTGAGTAACCTTGTGTGGCTCATGCCTCCTTGCCACGTACTTCTGATTCCTTACTGTCAGGATAGCCCCTCGCCGGCTTGCCCACCCTTTTGGGGTGTCATGGAGATGAAATGAGAAACTAGGTTGAGGAGACAGGCAGAGCAGAGCTGATTACTGTTAACTCGGGGACGTGGTGCCCTGGGTCCCTGGTTCACACCTGAGCCAGATTGTGTGTCTTTGAGTGGGTCATACCCAGTGGGTCCCTACTCTTGGACACAGGCACTTTGGTGAGCCACGTGACTCTGCGCCTACTGAAGCCGGAATGTGCCCTGGACAAGTCATGGTGCCAGGAAGAGCTGTCGGTGGCCGTGAAGAGGGCGGTGACCCTGCTGCACAGTCACACCATCACCAGCAGGGCGGGCAAGGGCGAGCCAGGTAAGGGGCAGGATAGGATGGACAAAGGGCGCGAGGCAGTGTGAACTGTGCAGGGGCTGGACTCCCATCCCCCTGGCTTCCTGAGGCCGTGGCTTCCACTGGTCTCTCCTCTTGCTGGCCTTGATTTCCTCACCTCACCCCTTGAACCAAATGGATGATTTTTGAGTCCAGTCCCTGGTACTGAGTCACTGTGACCCCCCACCCTTGAGGGTTTAGTTCTTGCTGTTGGAATCTACTTGTCTGTTTTAATGCTCACATTCTGGAACCAGGCACTGTCTGGGGTAGGAGCGGCATTGGCTTTAGAACTGGACTGCCATCTCTTGTCCCTCTTGTCATGCTGCTGGCTTCAGGGTGTCAGAAAGGGCCTCCAGCCATCTCCCCACCCACTTGCCCTGAGGATGGACGCTGTGGCGGCCAAGCTTGGGGCCCGGCCAGCCTGAAGAGACCATCTGCTTCTTGCTCTTACAGACGCCGCGCCCCTGTCCGCGCCAGCCTTCTCCTTGGTTTTCCCGTTTCTGAAGATGGTGCTGACCGAGATGCCCCACCACAGCGAGGAGGAGGAGGAAAGGATGGCCCAGATTCTTCAGATCCTCACCGTCCACGCCCAGCTGCGGGCCTCCTCCAGCAACCCACCCGGGCGCGTGGATGAGGTAGGCCGGGGAGCTCGGCTGCCCCTCGGCTTGAGCAGGGTGGTGGGGGCAGGGGCTTCTGACACTTCCTGACACATGAACAGTTCTGGGGAGGGGATCCTACGGCAGCAGCCATTGGTGGGGAGACCCCAAATGTTCTATTGAGAGAGGCTGTCAGGGCGTGACAGAAGCCCTGGGTCTCTTGTGTCTGATAGTTTCTGACCCAAAGAAGTTGATGGACTCTTAATTTATTGTATTTTGTTCTTAAGAAGACAGTGCTGGTTACTGTCCTTTTCACTTGCTCTCAAGACTGGAGCTCATTCAGTCAGGGTTTTTTTTTTTTCTTTTTTAAAGACTTTGGGTGTGGACCATCTATAAAAGTCTTTATTGAATTTGTTACAATATTGCTTCTGTTTTATGTTTTGGGTTTTTGGCCAGGAGGCATGAAGGATCTTAGTTCTCTGACCAGGGATAGAATCCTCACCCCTTTCATTGGAATGTGAAGTCCTAACCACTGGACCACCAGGGAAGTCCTGAGGAGTTTTCTTTTTTAATAGATTAAAAGTGAAAGTCACTCAGTTATGTCCGACTCTTTTCAACCCCATGGACTATAAAGTCCATGGAATTCTCCAGGCCAGAAAACTGGAGTGGGTAGCTGTTCCCTTCTCTAGGGGATCTTCACAACCCAGAGATTGAACCCAGGGCTCCCACATTGCAAGTGGATTCTTTACCAGCTGAGCCACCAGGGAAGTCCAGGAATACTGGAGTGGGTAGCCTGTCCCTTCTCCAGGGGGTCTTCCCGACCAGGAATTGAAACAGGGTCTCCTGTATTGCAGGCAGATTCTTTATCAGCTGAGCTACCAGGGAAGCCCAGTTTTAATAGATTATGTTCTAAAAATTTGAAAGTAATGCTTACATACTTTAAAAAATTCCAACAGTACAGAAGCAAAAAGAGAAATGCTCCTCCTCAGAGGTAGCTATTGATAACAGTTTGGTTTATACCCTTGTGGACTTTTTTTTATTTAAGCACATATAAAGCTCATATCCACAAACACAGTAATGCAAAGAATGGATTGCACCGCTCCTTCTGTGGGGCTGCCTTCTCTGGGCCTTCTCCAGTGTCAGGGCCTGTGGGGTCCACATCATGTGGATCATGGGCTCTGTTCTGTGGGCGCACCATGTTTTAGTCAGCTTTTTACTTGCTGATTGACATTTTAAGGCCACAAACGTTTCCAGGTTTTGAACACAGCTGTGGTGTGTCCCCTTGTCATTTACATGCCTTGCACACCATGTGAACATTCCCATAGGACAGATTCTTGGGCGTGGAATTGTTAGGTCATGTGACATGTTCTGAGCTATACGCTCATTAAGCGTTCCCTTCCAAACCTCATACAACCTCACGTAGTGTTAAGCTTGCCAATGACAGGTGGAAGAATGGTGTCTTGTTTTATTTTGCATTTCTTTACTTATAAAGTTCAGTATCTTCTTTGTGTATTCATGAGCCACCTATATTTCAAAAGTCTGTGAATTTCAGTCAAGGTTAAGAATAGTTATTTTTAGTCCCCGGAGATCACGGCTGACTGGGGTTGGCTCCTGTGGATTGAGTGGTAGACCTGACAGGGTCCCTCCAGTGTGGTCAGCAGGAAGACCCAAAACCTCCCCCTGTGGGGGAGAGGGACTCACATGCTTCTGGGCTTGGGTACCGACCTTCCGTGGAGTTTCGTCTCACCTCATGTGCTTTCTCCCGTAGAATGGCCCGGAGTTGCTACCTCGCGTGGCCATGCTGCGCCTTCTGACCTGGGTTATCGGGACAGGTTCTCCCCGACTTCAGGTGATCTGGTCCCCCACTGGCTTCTGCCATTCACAACCCCACCTTCAGGTTCTGATTGCCTCTCCCAGCCCTCAGTTCTGCCCTTGGGCACAGCGGTGCTCGTGACAGCCAGCCAGGCTGTTCTCAGCTCATGAGCAGTTTTGCTTGGATCCTGCCACTGGCCTTGGCCTGGCGCTGGGATCTGAGGCCTAGTAGGGGTGGGTGAGATGAACGTTCTTAGTTCAGATTTCCGCCCCCCCCACCTCCCAAGCCCATCCCCAGCTCCCCTGCCTGGCCCCGTAGTAGGAAATGATTTGTTGAACTGAGCCCAGTGGCTGGATGTCTCCTTCAGGTTCTGGCTTCAGAGGCCCTGACCACCCTGTGTGCCAGCAGCAGTGGTGAGGATGGCTGTGCCTTTGCGGAGCAGGAGGAGGTGGACGTGCTGCTCTGCGCCCTGCTGTCCCCCTGTGCCAGCGTGCGGGACACTGCACTCCGGGTGTGTGCCCACGCCCTCATGGGGCTACCTTGGTGCCCCCCCACCCGCCCCGGTCCCTCAGTTCTGCTGTTTGAGCTGCCGTCATGGGAGGTGCCGCGCGTGTGTACCAGTGTGTCCTGGAGGCAAAGAGCAAGGTCACAGAGGGTGACTTGGGGTCATTCTGGGAATTGGAACAACTAAGCAGTTGTATCACTGGTTTTTTCCTTTACCTTTGAAGACGTCACTTAATTTCTAAAATGCACTGTGGAACTTGGTAGTTTTATAGACAGATCTAACTCACAGGATGGGCTCGTTTCTTCAATCCACTACCTTATACTTGCCCTTTCTTGGAGCTTTGGGACCCAAACTAAAAGATCCCCTTGGAGCATGAGAAAGTGTTTCCCAAATGCCAGTCTGCAGTCTCCAGCTACTGCTCTATGACGGAGTGTTCACTGGTCCTTGGTAAAATGGGAAACACAATGGCAGTGTGGCAGATATTTCTTAAAACAAAGGGAACATCCTTTTTCAGAGATTTTTGTCCATCTTGAATGTTTACAGTTAAATTTTAAAATTTTACTTAAAAAATTTTACCACTGCATGCCATCATTTCATGAAAGAAAAGCTCTTTGAAGAGACAGAGCAGCTAATGAGATGGGCTGCCTCATGGTACTCCCTAACCAGCACTGCTGTCCAGCGGAGCTGTCTGCTGGGATGGGACTGTTTCACTGTGTCATCCAGCGGGGCAGCCACCAGCCATCGCGTGGCTCCTGAGCACTTGGAATGTGGCTGGTACAGCTGAAGAAGTTAAGAGTTCGTTCTAATTGATTTTCTGTGGAGACCCACGTGTGGCTGGTGGCTTCATCTTGGATGGTGCAGCCCTCGAGGGAGGTCGGGGGAGGGCAGGTCGGAGTGTCCTCCCAAAGGTCCTGCCTCATGTGGTGCAATACTGCCCCTCTCAGGGCCTGTTGGAACTCCACATGGTGTTACCGGCGCCTGACACTGATGAGAAGAATGGCTTGAATCTCCTGCGCAGGCTCTGGGTGGTCAAGTTTGACAAGGAGGAGGAGATCCGGAAGCTGGCCGAGAGGTGAGCGCCGTCAGAAGGCTGGCCTGTCCTTCTCTGTTCCCTTCCTCCTCGTGGAATAACTGGGCCCAGCGTGCTCCACCTACAGAGGGATCAAGGGCTGCGGCATTGGCTTTGACGGGGCCCGCGCTGCAGGTGCTTGTCCAACCAGCCGCCTTTGGTCTCTTGTAGGCTCTGGTTGACCATGGGCCTAGATCTGCAGCCAGAGCTCTGCTCCTTGCTCATCGACGACGTCATCTATCATGAGGCAGCTGTGAGGCAGGCCGGGGCAGAAGCCCTCTCCCAGGCGGTGGCACGTTACCAGCGGCAGGCGGCTGAGGTCATGGGCAGGCTCATGGAGATCTACCAGGAGAAGCTCTATGTGAGTCATCTGGGCACTGTGGTCTGGGCATGCAAGGGTGGGTTAGACCCTGATCAGCCTCCGACCTAATCCAGACAGGAGCCACCCCGTGGCTCAGGGCAGCTTGTGCCTGATCCCGCCTCACTCGGTCGGCTGGCTGGCCCGCTGGCCCGGAGAGAGCCCTGGAGGGCATCGATCACCTGTCTGTTGCAGCGGCCGCCCCCGGTGCTGGATGCTCTGGGACGAGTTATCTCCGAATCTCCTCCAGACCAGTGGGAAGCCAGGTACGACAGCTGTTGCAGCCTTGTACCACTCAGCGCTTCTGGACATGTGGCCGGGTGGAGGCTGCATACCATGAGGAGGCAGCTGAGGGTGATGGGTCAGCAGGGGTGGGAAGAGACAAGACCTCCCTCCGAGTTAGAGGTCTGAGGTCCACTTCCGGCTCCTCCCGGCCAGCTGGGCGACTCTGCTCATGTTTCTCCTTTCCTCTGGGGACTGTTTTCTTAGAAGTCCCCAGGTACCACCTCACAGCTATGGCTGAAAGATTCACCATACTCGGCTTTTGTAAAATACCGCTACTTCTGATGTCTTCATCTCTGCTTCCTTCCCCTCCATCTCCTTCTGCCTGCTGGGAGAAGGGTAGGCAGTGCACTCACACAGAGGGAAACAGGCAGAGCTGGTCCCCTGCCTGCAGTCACCCCGTAGGGTAACCTCTGAGCAGATGGCAGGGCTCTGTGTTACATGTGGGCGGTTCCAGACCCACGGGCAGACCCCAGGGCAAGCATAGGGCGCCGGGCTCCGTGCTGTGCTCTGCCCCGGAGCAGTGTGTGCTGTTGGCTGGCTTGCTCTCCTTGTGACATGCTAGGATAGAGGCCCCCAGCCGGGAGGCCTCTGACTCCCCTGACACGCTCCCGCTTCTTTCCCAGGTGTGGCTTGGCTTTGGCCCTGAACAAGCTCTCCCAGTGTTTGGACAGCTCTCAGGTGAAGCCACTCTTTCAATTCTTTGTCCCCGACGCCCTCAATGACCGAAACCCAGATGTCCGGAAGTGCATGTTAGATGCAGCTCTTGCGACGCTCAACACACATGGGAAGGTAGGAGATCTCAGTCAGGCGAGGAGACAGGGAAAAGGTCTCAGCCACCTGAGGAGTGGGGAGAAGGCTGGGCCGGGGCAGGCGGCAGGCTGCACCATGGTGCCACGGCGAGGCCCGGTACTGGACGTCCTGGCCGGGCGCTGGCCCCCCAGCGGATTCTGTTTGTATTTCTTGGGTCAGAGAGACCCCCAAAGGGTGTTAAATTGTTGTAAGTCTGCTGCAATCCTGCCAGAAAACCGGGAAGCCCGATGGCATGGCTGGCTGACTGGTCAGGATGCCGTCTCCCAGCCAGGCTTAGGCAGAGACCATTGTACCCGGGCATGGTCCCTGGGGCTGACGTGAGGCTCCGGATGCTCTGGGCTTTCAGGAGAACGTCAACTCTCTGCTGCCGGTATTCGAGGAGTTCCTAAAGAACGCGCCCAACGACGCCAGCTATGACGCCGTGCGGCAGAGCGTGGTGGTCCTCATGGGCTCTCTTGCCAAGCACCTGGACAAGAGCGACCCCAAAGTGAAGCCAATTGTCGCCAAGCTCATCGCTGCCCTCTCCACCCCCTCCCAGCAGGTATGTCCCCCGACCACCCGGGCCCTGTATGGGTGGGCGATGGGGTGCTGCAGATGGAGTCGGGTATCAGTCCAGAAGGCTGTGTTCTCTGCCGGTCTCTCAGGGGACTGCCTAGTTTAAAGTTAGGAATGCCTTAGTGGGGAGTCAGTTTGTTACAATGTTCTCCTAGATCTCTTAAATATTTGCATTTTTTTCTACTTATTTTCTAATAGTCATTTTTTGCACTTAGTATAAACTTGGCTCTGGAGACACAAAGATTAGGGGGAAGAAATTGTCCTTAGTGTGTAAGGCTTTTCTTGACATTCTCTCTGTTGTGTGTTGTGTTGTATGTTTTGGGGGCCTTTTAATGCAGCTTCCGGGCCACAGTGCAGAGGGTTTTTTCTTTTTTTTCTTTTTTTTTAAAGAACACATTACGTGTATTCTCTGTGACTTGCATCTTGAGCTATCCAGAGTGTCCTCAAAGGCACAGTTGAAAACAATAGTTTCACAGAACTGTGTTCGAATAAGCTGTCAGAGTATCTGGCCTCCAAAGCATCCTGCCCAGGGCCCCTGGCCACAGGCCGCTTCTTGGGCCTGGTTGGGCATCCTGAACTGTGTCGGGATGGTTGATACCATCTTCTGGAACCACTCAATTTGGGCCTGGTCGTCTTAAGGCCCAGCCCTGTTTACCTGTGATTCTAACAGATTCGAGAACCGAGAGACTCGGGCTGTTTCTAAGAAGACACAGTAGCCCGCTTCTCTCAGGCTCTTTCTCTGTAAGTGGGTTTTACCTTTCTGAGCCTTTACCCCACCTACCCAGGCCTTGGTTCTCCCTTCAGACCAGAAACAGCCCCATAACAGCTGATGCTTTCGTGGCTCACGGATGTAGCATGCATCCTGTGGGCAGGCACTTCAGACGTGATCGTGGGCCCCCGTCAGCCTTTCTGATGCTCCTTGTGGGCTGATGGGCAGTGGTGGAGATTGGCCTGGGGGACTGCGTCAGCCACCAGGCACCGGCCGTGGTTGAGCCTCGGCACTGACGGGGAGGCCCCTCCCCTAGGTCCAGGAGTCCGTGGCCAGCTGCTTGCCGCCCCTCGTCCCTGCCATCAAGGAGGACGCGGGGGGTATGATCCAGAGGCTGATGCAGCAGCTGCTGGAGTCAGACAAGTATGCCGAGCGCAAAGGGGCTGCGTATGGGCTGGCGGGCCTGGTGAAGGGCCTGGGCATCCTGTCGCTGAAGCAGCAGGAGATGATGGCTGCGCTGACCGATGCCATCCAGGACAAGAAGAACTTCCGCCGCAGGGAGGGTGAGTGTCTCCAGGCTCAGCTCTGCACAGTGTGGGCGGGCAGCGCCCGCTCCCTGCCTTGGCTGCCCGAGGAGGGAACCTGGCTTTTCCTCCCCCACCGAAGGCTGGTGTCGGGGTGTGTGCTGCTGTGAGCTGTTGGTGGTTGGCTGTGAGCTGTTCCATCCCGGCCACGCCAGTGTGGCCTGGGTGTCCTTGTTTCTGACTCTGCAGCACCCTCAGTTGAGGGAGACAGTGCCGTTCTCACTGGTGGTGTTTCCCGTTCTCGCCTCCTTTCTGCTCGGGGCGGGCAGAGGGTGCTGCTCCCTCCTGGACGGCCACTGTAGCCCCCCAGCTGCCCTGAGCATTTCCAGAGGGTGAGGAGGGGGCGAGTAGCTTGTCCCATGGCTGCCCCGTCCCCAGAGGACGTCCCGATCCCAGCCTCACTGCACCCCTCACCCTCCCAGGAGCCCTCTTTGCCTTCGAGATGCTCTGCACCATGCTGGGGAAGCTCTTCGAGCCATATGTGGTCCACGTGCTGCCCCATCTGCTGCTGTGCTTTGGGGACGGGAACCAGTACGTGCGGGAGGTAAGTCCTGAGGCTGCGTTGGGGGGGGTGTGGGGGGGCCTGCCCTGCGGGAGCGCCTCTGCCCACCCCTCGGGTGCTGGTCACCGTGCAGACTCCCCTGGTTCCCAGTGCAGTACTGAAGCCTGGTGAGGTGAGTTGCTCTGCGGGCTGGGGCCTGGGGTCTGACACGGTAGACTCGCGGTGAGCGATGATCACCAGGGGGCGCACGGTCCAGCCTTAGGCCTTGACCCTGGCGTGCCTGAGAAGGCCCCTGAACGTCTTTTCTCCTTCCTCGAGGCTGCAGATGACTGTGCCAAGGCCGTGATGAGCAACCTGAGTGCTCATGGGGTGAAGCTGGTGCTCCCCTCCTTGCTGGCTGCCCTGGAGGAGGAATCCTGGAGAACCAAAGCCGGTGAGGCTGCTCCCTTGGTGCCACTGTCTCAGCTTCTTGTTCTGAAGAGAGCCCTCCCAGGGGTGCAGAGATGCTGCTCTTGTCCTGTGTGCATCCCCCCGCCCCCGCCCAGGGGCGAGGCCAGGGCTCTCATCAGGCGGCTCGTTTCTATAATAGTTTGTTCACTTTCGTGCAAGAAACAGGCCTTTGACAAGAGCCACAGACTTAAGTCAGGAAATCCCAGAGCTCTAAAGTTGGTCTGTGGCTAGGTCTCTGAGTCTAAGCCCTCTTCCCCCGTTAAGCCCTCTTTTTAAAATACAATCTTATTTGGAATCCTAATTTGTAAAACGGAGCTGCTCTGGTTTGGGGAGGGTCAACGTCGGTCGGGGCTTCCCCCTTGGTCCTTCAGGCTTTGCCCTATGTCTTGAAAACTCACTCTCTTACTCAGTGGGTGAGTGGACAGAGGACAGAGAAGCTCAGTGAACTGACCTGGGGACACTGCCACCTCTAAGCCAGGTCTGGCCTCTGTCCCCACCGCTGCCCATCTTCTCACCCGGGCTCCCCCAGCTCAGCCGGCCTCAGGTGCATCTTGCTTGCTTGGCTGGAGCCAGGCCCTGTGCCCTCCCCCTCAGGGAGGAGCAGGCCGCTTCTCCCCTGCCCAGGCAGCCAGCCCGGGCAAACTGCCAGCCTGTGGCCCGTGATTTCACGCGGGCATGTGTCTGCCGTCTGCAGGGTCGGTGGAGTTGCTTGGGGCCATGGCCTACTGTGCTCCCAAGCAGCTGTCGTCCTGCCTACCCAACATCGTGCCTAAGCTCACAGAGGTGCTCACCGACTCCCACGTCAAAGTGCAGAAGGCCGGGCAGCAGGCGCTCAGGCAGATCGGCTCTGTCATCAGGAACCCAGAGATCCTGGGTACGTAAGGCCTGTCCCACAAGGGTGCGGGCCCTGCTCTTCCCTGCGCCCCTGGACGCTGCGGGGAGCATGTACCCATGCAGCACAGGCCCTCTGAGGACAGAGGCAGTCGCCCTGAGATAACCTTTAAACTCAGGGAAGCCTCCTATGATAGTCAGTGGGAAATAGTTTGGAAGTGGTCTGTTCTCCTCTTGGTCTGGAGCAGTCATTGACCACAGAGGTGGGGAAACTGAGTTGTTGGCCCGGAGGCAGCTTGACTCTAAGGGAGCCTTGAGATCTGCAGAGCTGAATGACAGGCTCTGGATCACAGCAGCAGCACCCCTCAGAGGGGTTAGGTTCCAGGGAACTTTCTGTTCATGCTCATTCCAGGAGACCTGTGATGGAGGGAAGGTTAGGGAGCTTACTCTTTAGCATAGCTGTTTCTTGAGTGATTAGGAAAGACTGATTTCTAGAAATAAACTCCAGCCAGCTATGTTGACTTGCAGCACCATACTTGTTAAATTTTAAGCTTCAACTTAGGGCATTGTTGCCCATTCAGTGCGTTTCAGCCTGAGTATTTCCAGACTTGATTTTAATCAGAAAATGATGAGGTTTTACGGGAGGAACAGGTAGATGTGGGTTTTGTTGTCATTCTTTACAATGTCCAACAGCCCTGGGGATTTCTAAGGCCCAGAACAGTCTTATCTCTTATCAAATGAATGCCTTCATTTTGGGAATCCAGCTTGGGCCCTTTTTTCTTTTTTTTTAAATTGCAGTGTAATTTGCATAAAATTCACTTTTTACAAATGTACACTTTAGTGGTTTTTAACATCTTCACAAAATTATGTAAGTATCACCACTGTCTAGTTCTGGGGCACTTTCATCGCCCCAGAAAGGAACCCCACACCCATTATTAGGTCTCACTCCTCATTTCCCCTTCTACTTCTAGCCCCTGATGACCACTAGTCTATTTCTGTCTCTGAGTTTGCATATCTGGACATTTTATGGAAATAGCATCATACACTATGTGGCCTTTTATGTCTAGCTTCTTGTGTTTAGCATTATGTTTTCAAGTTCATCCACATTGTAGCCTCAATATTTCATTCCTTTTTATGGCCTAATAATATATCTCATTGTATGACTGTACCGTTTTGTGTATCCATACATCAATTGATGGATGTTTGGGTTGTTTCCACTTTTTGGTTTTTAATGTTGCTACGAACATTTGTGTCCAAGGTTTTATTTGATTTTTGTTTTTGTAGACATGATTTCAGGTTTCTTGGTTAGATACCTAGGAATGGAATAACTGGGTCATATGATAACTGTTTACCTTTTCTAGGGAACTGCTAGACAGTTAACCTGGCGGCTGTACCATTCTTGACATTCTCAGTAGCTGTTTTTACACAAACACACGCGTTCCAATTGCCAACACTGTTACCGTCTGTCTTTTTGGTTACAGAAATCCTAGTGGGTATGAAGTGGCATCTAGCTGTGGTTTTGTTTTGGCCACGCCACACAGCATATGGGATCTTACTTCCGCAGCCAGGGATTGAACACGTGCCCCCTGCAGTGGAAGCACAAGAGTCTTAACCACTCATTGTGGTTTTGGTTTGCATTTCCCTAATGACTAATGATGTGGAACGTCTTTTCATGTGCTTATTTTTCATTTGCATATCTTCTTTGGAAAACTGTCTATTCAAATCCTTTGCCCGTTTTTAAATTGGGCTATTTTTTTAAAAAAAATTGGGGGTGGGGATGGGGCACCACTCTGCGAGGCTTGCTGGTTCTTAGTTCCACAACCAGGGGTTGAACCCGGGCTGCCGCAGTGCCAAGTTTTGACCACTGGACTGCCAGGGAATTCCCTCAAAACTCTTGACCGGCATGTATCTCGTTAGTGGTTGAATTCCCTGGTCTTGTGGGAAAGATGAGCCAGGTACCCCTCTTGGAATTCCTTCTACTGGGCTGATGGTGCTGACTTTGGAGAGCTCATTTTATCTGTGGCTGCTCTGAGCATTGTATACTTCACTCCCACCACTGGTTCAGGGGGCCTTTGTTGTCTCCAAACGGTTTTTTTCACAAAGCCACTTTGGGTCGTTATAGCTTCCAGAGTAAGATCCACGTTGCTAAGTGGCCTCCCCTGGAGGCCTAGCTGGGGCTGCAGCTCAGGGCCACTGAAGCTAGCTGGCAGGCACGCCACCAGCCACAGCTCTGCAGTGCAAGGGGGTGACAGCTCCCGCCCCCACGCTGCTTCCTCCTGGAGAGCAAGAATAGAATTGCTTTTTGCAGACAGGCTGGCTTCCTCACCTGGTGACTTATGGGGCTCTCAGGAGAGGGCCCCTGGCCTCCTTCTCCTCTGACCCGTCTAGCGCTGGGAGCTCTATCAGCCACCCCACAGACTTGTACTCAGCTGCCTCTCTCTTGTCCGGACACGCAGCCATTGCCCCGGTCCTGCTGGACGCCCTGACAGACCCCTCCCGGAAGACCCAGAAGTGCTTGCAGACCTTGCTGGACACCAAGTTTGTCCACTTCATCGATGCCCCTTCCCTGGCCCTCATCATGCCCATCGTCCAGAGAGCCTTCCAGGACCGTTCCACGGACACACGGAAGATGGCCGCCCAGATCATTGGCAACATGTACTCGCTGACAGACCAGAAGGTATGGGCCTGTGGGGGCCCACGCAGGACAGACCAGTGGATCCTGGCTCAGGGCACATGGTCCCTGCCGACAGTAGACACAGGGCAGCTGTGGGCATTTGGTCCCTGATGGTATCAGGGCAGAAGTAGACCGTTTGGGGTAGAGGGTGGAAGTCTGAGCTCTCTGCACGTCTTGGAGAGCCTAGCCACACAAGTCTTGATTAGCTCCACCCCTGGATGAGGCCTGTCCCCATGAGCTCCTTTTACAGACTGATGGGGAGGAAAGGTCCAGCCTGGCCTTTGACTTTTCAGGGGTGTTGGGAAAGTGTCTGCCACTTTGATTGCTGGCAGTGTCTTCTTGTCATAAGCACTGGCGAGCCTCTCAGGAAATTAGCCTAGTTTGGGAGATCTGCTCTGTTTACTCATGCCCAGAGGCTGATGTGTGTGCTCTTAATACCACAGCTCTGATTTGCTTGCTGAGGCTACGGGCACCAGAGATAAAGTGGAAAGTTAGGTCAATCCTAGGAAATTTGGGAAATTGGAAGTTGGAAAATCAAAACATTTTACCCATAGCCCTCCAGAAGCCTAGACAATTATGTTTTAAAATTACGTTTAAAAATGACATTTCTGAACATAAATGGATGTCCAAGTTATAATGAGTTATTCATAAAACCGGGTCTTAAATAGTTATGTAACATGCCAACAAGTTTATATACCATAACTTACATAATTCTATTGTCGGTCACATAGTGTCCAAGGTTTCTTGCTATTTTAAATGATACTGCAGTGAACATAAGGTTCTTTCTATATTTAAAACTGTTTCTGAAAGTCGAGTGCTGTATCAAGAGACATAAACCTTTTAAGGTAAAGATTGTGCATCTCTGAAAGGAAAGTGCTGAGAGAACCTTGTGGATGCCCAAGGCTGGGCAGCCCTCGGTCCCAGGAGGAGGAAGAGCTCTGAATGGCAGCTGGGGGCTCTCCACCTCCTGAGGAGGGCCTGGGGTCCCTCAGAGGTTTTTCTGAGCAATCACACAGGGCCTTCAGGGAACCAAGGGGATGGAGGGGGTTCTCTACCCCTGTGAGCGCTCCTAGTTAGCGGAGCAGGGTGGTCAAGATCTACCCAGGAACCGGTCTGGAGAAAGCGGGCCTCAGGCCTCCACTGAGTCACTCCTTCCGTCTTTGCAGGACTTGGCTCCTTACCTGCCAAGCGTGACGCCTGGTCTGAAAGCCTCTCTCCTGGATCCTGTGCCTGAGGTGAGTCTGAGAGGGAAGGGGGCGGGAGCGCATGGTTTTAACCCCACCCCAGATAACCGATTGCTAAGAAGACAGAGAAGCTGTGTTTGCATCTGTATGGTGAAGGGCAGAAGACCCTGGGGACCCCTCCTCTCTCCTGTGTGGTCACATCTCCTCACCTTCCCTGCTCTTGGTTCCCTGACAGGTACGGACGGTGTCTGCAAAGGCGCTCGGGGCCATGGTCAAGGGCATGGGGGAATCGTGCTTTGAGGACTTGCTGCCGTGGTTGATGGAGACACTGACCTACGAGCAGAGCTCTGTGGATCGCTCAGGCGCTGCGCAGGGTGAGGCAGGGTGGGCCTGGGGGTCAGACCTGGGAGGCGCTCTGCGGGCCCTCAGGTCCTGTGGGCTCACTCTGTCCCTTTCCTGCAGGGTTGGCTGAGGTTATGGCCGGCTTGGGGGTGGAGAAGTTGGAGAAGCTGATGCCAGAAATTGTGGCTACAGCCAGCAAAGTCGACATTGCCCCTCACGTCCGAGACGGCTACATCATGATGTTCAACTACCTGCCCATCACCTTTGGGGACAAATTCACTCCTTATGTGGGGCCCATCATCCCCTGTATTCTCAAAGTAGGCACTGGTGCCCACTGAGGATAGGGCCTAGGGTGGGGGCCAGGACACATGCTCTATCCTGGGGAGCTCAGCCTCTCTGCCAGATGTGGCTGGGTGGCAGGAGCCCCCATCCTGCTCTATAGGGAGTTGTGTTTCTTCTTGGGTCTGGATGCTTAGGGGGCAGCAGGTCTGGCTGACACCCCCTCTGTGCACAGGCTCTTGCTGATGAGAACGAGTTTGTGCGTGATACTGCCCTGCGTGCGGGCCAGCGGGTCATCTCCATGTATGCCGAGACGGCCATCGCCCTGCTGCTGCCCCAGCTGGAGCAAGGCCTCTTTGATGACCTCTGGAGAATAAGGTAAGAACTCAGGTGGAAAGACCCAGTGGCCATACCTTTGTGTTTGGGGAACTTACTGAGAAATGAGGGCTTTCCAGGTGGTGCTAGTGGTAAAGAACCCACCTGCCAATGTGGGAGATGTAAGAGACATGAGTTCAATCCCTGGGTCAGGAAGAACCCCTGGAGGAGGAAATGGCAACCCACTCCAGTATTCTTGCCTGGGAAATCCCATGGACAGAGGAGTCTGGTGGGCTATGGTCCATAGGATCACAAAGAGTCAGACACAGCTGAAGTGACTTAGCACACACACATGCACGCACTGAGAAATGAAAAACAGAATGTTGCCAAAATCCCTCAACTTTTCCAGATCCTCATTTTTCACCATTTGGTGACTCTCCAGTTTCCTACAGCAGTGTCTGTAATTCCATTTCTCTTCTAAGATGTTCTTTCTCTTCAGTTCTTCAGTTTGTATCAAAATTTTAAATGTGAGTGCTTTCTCATCTGGAGATTCTCCTTCTAGGATTTCATTTCAGGGGCATATTTAGTCAAGTGCTTAAAGATGTATTTAGAAGGTGTGTGTTGCAATACTGCTTATCATTTGAAAACCTGGAGGTAGGTTTGAAAAAGTCAGGTAGCACGTCCACACCATGAACTTTTATCTGGCCGTTACAAAGAATGGTGTAAGGACCACGTCCGCTGACACAGAACGCTCCTCAACCTTCTGTTGGGTCGGGTGGTGCGGGCCGCGGCCAGGTCATGTGCAGGCCCACTTTGCACATCCTGTGTGTGGGAGGGGTGTCTGTGTACAGGGTGATTGATGTGCACACGGGTGTCACCGGAGTGTCAGGGTGGTGGCCTGGGTGCTGGCAGTCTGGGCGCTTGTTTACTCTCTCTTTCTTTATATTTTTTTGTATTAATTGAATTTTCAGTTTGAATATGACTGTTAGTTTTATAATTATTCATTCAAAGAGAAACAGTTTCTCCTAGGCCTCTCCTTACGTGGCGTTCTGATCTGCATTCCTGGATTCCCTGCTCATACTTCCCTCTGTGTTCTGTTTCTCTTTAATAACTTTTATTGTAGAAATATTTGTATCCACTTTAAAAAATAGCTTATTCTTTTCCATTATTAAAGTAATGTTAATTAGTGCAAAACTTGGAAGGAACATACGTGGGAGACTGTAAAAAAATGACTATCATTTGTGACCTCTCGTGTTCTAAGAGAACCACCACCAGTGTTTGGGGTTCGTTTCCTTTCAGTCTCTTTTTCTGGCCGGTGCTTGGCCAAGACTTCCTCCTGCGCCCGTGTGACTCTGTTCTTGGCCTCCTTAGGTTCAGCTCTGTTCAGCTCCTTGGCGATCTCCTGTTCCACATCTCAGGAGTCACTGGGAAGATGACCACAGAAACTGCTTCAGAGGATGACAACTTCGGAACCGCTCAGTCCAACAAGGTGAGCAGCCCCAGGTGCCCTTCCTCCCTCTGCTGCCGGTGGGGAGACTCACCAGCACACACACCATGGGGGCTTCACCACCTCTCATTCTTGGCTCCCTTCCTCCACTGCAGGCGATCATCACTGCCCTGGGGGTAGATCGGCGGAACCGGGTGTTGGCGGGGCTGTACATGGGCCGCTCGGACACCCAGCTGGTGGTGCGGCAGGCCTCCCTGCACGTCTGGAAGATTGTGGTCTCCAACACCCCCCGCACCTTGCGCGAGATCCTGCCCACCCTCTTTGGGCTCCTGCTGGGTTTCCTGGCCAGCACGTGTGCGGATAAGAGAACGGTAAGTGTCCCAGGCCTGGCTTCTGACCACATAATCCTGATGCCTCCTTTCAGAGGCTAGAAAGCTGGGTCTGCAGAGAATGGGAGAGCAGTGGGGTCCACCATCTAGCAGGAGAACTTTTATTTACTTAGTTAAGAAATATTTCTTAAGCATCTACCATGTGTTAAGTAGGGGCCTAGGACCTTGTAGAGAAGAAAGGCGGCCCTGTGGAGCTGCCGTCTGGCAGAGGAAACGGATGTGAATCAAACAGTCACACAAACAGGGGAAAATGCAACTATGACAAGTGCTACGTGTCACTGCCAATGCTTATACCAGGTCAGTCAGCTGGGGGGCTCAGAGAAGGCTTCTCAGAAAGAGTGATGTTTGAAGACGAGCGATGAGTGAGGATCAGCAGGTGAGGAGGTGACGAAAGACTGTTAAGGACCAAAGGACCGGTGCTTGAGACACCAGGACTGGACACGCCCAAGCCTTGAGGTGGGCAAGGAGTTTGCCCGCAGCAGGGGCTGAGCAAAGGCCGGGGCAGCTGGAGGAGGGCCCCCAGGGCCAGTGATCACTTCTGCCAGTCCATTCCGAACCCCCGTCCCCGGCAAACAGATTGCATAATTGGCTCTGAAGAAGGGTTTGCACACGGCCTCAGAGGAGATGGGTCTTTTTCCCTGAAAGTTGTGATTACAAACCCAGCTCTCGTTTCCTGGGCAAGAGCATGAGGGTTAAGTGACTTCCAGGCCACAGTTTTCAACCTGGGGGGATCAGCCCTCAGCTGGACAACATGTGTTGAGTTTCTTGTTCATCCATAAGGTGCCGACTCTTTAGGCTGTGTTGGCCTGTGTGATGCAGAGAGAATTTTATTTTGTGGTGTATTGCAAGCACCCTGGGGGCTCTTCACAGGATAGACCATTGGGGAAAGTTAAGTCTGGCTCAGATAATGTCTGGGAGGTCCTGGGGCCCTCATTCTGGGGTGGCCCACTGGGTGTCCCGGGTCTGCAGGGAGTCCCTGTCTTGACTTGAGCTCTGCCTGGCAGATCGCAGCCAGGACGCTGGGAGATCTCGTTCGGAAGTTAGGGGAGAAAATCCTGCCGGAGATCATCCCCATCCTGGAGGAAGGCCTGAGATCTCCCAAGAGCGACGAGAGGCAGGGTGTGTGCATTGGGCTGAGCGAGATCATGAAGTCCACCAGCCGGGACGCGGTGAGCATCTCCTCAGGGCCTGCAGGCCTGCCCCCCACCCCTCTCAGACGGCCGGGGGGTGGGACGCGGTGAGCATCTCCTCAGGGCCCGCAGGCCTGCCCCCAACCCCTCTCAGAGGGCCAGGGGGTGGGACGCGGTGAGCATCTCCTCAGGGCCCGCAGGCCTGCCCCCCACCCCTCTCAGAGGGCCGGGGGGTGGGACGCGGTGAGCATCTCCTCAGGGCCCGCAGGCCTGCCCCCCACCCCTCTCAGACGGCCGGGGGGTGGGGGCTCCTGGAAAAGCTGCTCCATTAACGACAATTCACCCTCAGGGACACGCCAGCCTCACTCCAGAGGGTGCTGTGGGCAGTGAGGTACTGACGGAGCCATAGCGCCCTGGGCTTTCTCTCTCAGCTTTCCAATCAGTTTATAGGCTAAGACCTCAGCCATTTAGAGGCCTGGGGTGGCTTTTGGAGATTGAGATAATCTTTCAGCACTCCTGAGGTGGCTTCAATGCATCCTCCTTTTGTGTCAATGCATCAGTTCAGTTCACGTGTGTGGTGTGCTTAGCCGGGAAAGGAGGTGTGTGTATGTGAGAGGTGGATGGTGGTGGGGAGCAGGAGGGCGTGGAGTAGATAAGAGTGAGCACCTGGTGGGTGGAAACACATCATCTCCAGCAGTGAGATTGTTTCCATGTAGCAACAGTGAAGGGGGTTGGAATCTTTCACCAACCCTACTCTTTCTAATTGAGCTTCCAGACATCCCTGGGGAGTAGGTTGAGCATAGGCATAGAGCTCTAGATTGGGATGAAAGCGCCAAAGCGATGAGTGGAGAGCGGGTCAGAGATGGGAGCATGTGGCCAGTTGCTCAGCCTGAATAGCCTCGTCTGATCCTTCTCCTGAGTGTGTCAGTGCATGTGTGCCATTTGGGGTCTTTATAGCTGCATTTTTCAAAGAACAAATTCTGTAAATTCTGTCATCAAATAGGACTGTGATTAATTAAATAGGTAGTGCCCCAAAGCCTGAGGCCTTGCCCATGGCATGGCCACCATATTCAGATTCAGTCCTTAGATTCATGGAGGGGTGTTGCTTTGGTGGAATTGGTTACAGAGGGCACAGAGCAGTTGTTGGCCCCACTGTAGACCCAGAGACTTCATAAGGGAGCAGGTATTTGAGTTGGGACTTGAAGAAGGACTTGGAGTTTCCCAAGAGGATGAACAAAGGAGCCTGGGGAGTGGAGGCCAGGTCACTTGGGGCCTCGCCGTGGGAAGGAGTTTGGCATTCCCATGAGAGACCAAAGTATCTGGGGAACTTGCCTAAAAAAAATCAAGACTATTAACTGTTAAGTCCATGTCTCAGTTCGTAAAGAATCTGCCTACAATGCGGGAGACCATCTGCAACACAGGAGATGCAGGTTCCATCCCTGGGTTGGGAAGATCCCCTGGAGAAGGAAATGGCACTCCACCCGAGTATTCTTGCCTGGAGAATCCCATGGGCAGAGGAGCCAGGCAGATTGCAGTCCAGGGAGTCGCAAGAGTCGGATGTGACTTAGCAACAAAGCCACCACCACTGGGGAAAGGCTCCTCGGGCAGATCACATATCCTGTCTGCTTTCTTATACTTGTGCATTTCCACAGAAACCAGCTGAGTGAAAAGTCTAGACCCGGCAAGAGTCCAGGAAGCCTGCCTAGGCTGAGGTCCTCACCGCCCCCATCCCCCACTGACTTCCCCTCCCTCCATCATGTCAGGTTCAGCGCTCTCATGCTGTTGCAGGTGCTGTATTTCTCTGAGTCCCTTGTGCCCACGGCGAGGAAGGCCTTGTGTGACCCGCTGGAGGAGGTCAGAGAAGCGGCGGCCAAGACCTTCGAGCAGCTGCACTCCACCATCGGCCACCAGGCCCTGGAGGACATCCTCCCATTTTTACTGAAGCAGCTGGTGAGTGGGTCTGCCTCACCCTTGCCAGGAGGGGTTCCACTATCTCCGTGGAGGCCGCACGCCGGGGCTGACTCTGCCAAGGCAGCCAGTGTGGGCCCCAGAGGAGGTGGGTGTATAGAATGGCATTGACTCTGGGGGGCCGGGTGGGGGGTGTCGGGGCTGGGGAGGTCCAGACTGAGGAGGCAGGGAGGAGAACGGCTCCCAGGCGTCACCCCATGCCCCTCTGCAGGATGACGAGGAGGTGTCCGAGTTTGCCTTGGACGGTCTGAAGCAGGTGATGGCCATCAAGAGCCGTGTGGTGCTGCCCTACCTCGTGCCCAAGGTAAGTCCCCACACGTGGCGACCCCCTCTAGCCCAGCAGCCACAGCCGCGTCACCGTCCCCGGGTCTACGTGAGGACCAGCTCTGAACCCAGATGCTGGGGGAGGCCGGCGACTCTGCAGTGGGACGGGATCTCCCAGAGCCCAGCGCCGCAGTTGGCACGGGGCAGCCCCCACTGAGCTGATGGTCATCATCCTGCAGCTGACGACCCCGCCCGTCAACACCCGGGTCCTGGCTTTCCTTTCGTCTGTGGCGGGTGATGCCCTGACGCGTCATCTTGGCGTGATCCTCCCGGCAGTCATGTTGGCCCTGAAGGAGAAGCTGGGGACTCCAGACGAGCAGCTGGTGAGGGGCACGGTCACCCCTGCCAACTTATCCATGTCCTGTCCCATCCTGGAGGCGCATGCTCAGCTGAGGTGTCGCCTTTGCTTTTAGGAGATGGCCAACTGTCAGGCTGTGATCCTGTCGGTGGAGGATGACACCGGGCACCGGATCATCATCGAGGACCTCTTGGAAGCCACCCGCAGCCCCGAGGTGGGCATGAGGCAGGCCGCAGCCATCATCCTCAACATCTACTGCTCGCGCTCCAAGGCGGACTATACCAGCCACCTGCGGAGCCTGGTCTCAGGTCTGATCCGCCTCTTCAACGACTCCAGCCCCGTGGTTCTGGAGGAGAGCTGGGATGCCCTGAATGCCATCACCAAGGTGAGGGGCTGCTGGACCACCTCTGGTGAAAGACAGTTCTGGGCGTTTCTAAGACTAGATGCTGTCGGCCAGCTTCAGCATCCGTTGATGTGTGGCCAGTCTTGCCTGTACTCCCGCCCACACCCTTCCTTCCCTCTGCTGTATTATTTTGAAGGCGTCTTGAGAGGGCTTGACTTGAACCCTGATATCCTCTTTACTTTTCTCCGGTGTCCCACAGAAACTGGATGCGGGCAACCAGCTGGCCCTCATTGAGGAACTGCACAAGGAAATCCGGTTCATAGGAAATGAGAGCAAAGGCGAGCACGTGCCAGGCTTCTGCCTCCCGAAGAAGGTGAGCCAGGGCCCTGGGCAGGGCCCTGCGGGCGTGTGGCCCTCCTCCGCCTTCCCCCAGGCCCCCGTGCTGGGGCCGCTGGAGCAGTTGTGTGCTGCTCCACGGAGTGCTCTAGGTGCTGTTGTGCATCTCCACGGACAGCATGCTGCTTCCCCACGGTGGCCCTGCGGGGACAGGGTCAGAGTTCACCACCTCATTTCACCTGTGGAGGTCACCTCAGAGCAGATGAGTGACAGGTCTGCAGGGACTCTGCTCTCGTCACTGTCAAGTCGAGGAGACTGTTCCCCAGCCAGCACCCTCTCAGGCCACGACCCTGCCCACCTGACTCGGTCGTTCATGGAGTTGAAGAGAGGGTGGCCGAGAGGAGCTCCTGGCTTCGGGTGGGGGACACCCAGGCCCAAAACCTTTGTGATTTGACTCTCAGGTGTGGTTCTCTTGTCAGGGGGTAACGTCCATCCTTCCAGTGCTGCGGGAGGGGGTCCTGACTGGCAGCCCGGAACAGAAAGAGGAAGCCGCCAAAGCGTTAGGCTTGGTGATCCGTCTCACCTCGGCGGATGCCCTGCGGCCCTCTGTGGTCAACATCACCGGCCCTCTGATTCGCATCCTGGGGGACCGGTTCAGCTGGAACGTGAAGGCAGCTCTACTCGAGACGCTCAGCCTCTTGCTGGCCAAGGTGAGGACTGACAGGTTCACTTGGTCCGCTCGGGTCTTAGAGCACAGATCTGCGCATAGGAGACTGGCACACGGCGTGCTGCGCAGGCAGGGTGGCAGCCCAGTGTGGGAATCGGCAGAGCAGAGGGCGCGGAGCCCGTGGACTCCAGACTCGCCACACGTGGTGAAGTCCAGGTCCACCACTTGGCAGATGTATGGCCAGAGTGACCTCAGAAGGTCGTGCAACTTCTGAGTCTGCTCCTTCACTTGTGTTTTGAGGGTACAACACTGCTTGTCTCTCAAAGTGCTATGAGATACAGGGCTCAGGCGAAATAACATCTAATGACAGTTTCTAACTCAGCACACCAGCGTGTGTGTGTCTGATAATCGCTTTTATTAGAAGTGGTTCAAAGAACAAAATCCAGGGCCATGTGACTACAATAGAAACCTTGTTCACGTACATTTCCCTTCTTTATGACCACCTCATAAAGGGAGATGAAGAGAATCTGAGGAGAGAATGCAAAGGAAGTCCGAGAGCAACTGCAGTAACTTTAGTTTTTGCCCAAAGTGTCAGAAGCAAAGCAACACATTAACTGTTTCTGATACTGTACAGGCTAATATTTAAAGCCTTAGGTTTAGAGAGTTATAAACAGCCAAGATTTATTTTGTTTAAAAAAAAATCTTGTGGTTTGGATACAAAAGCTTAAGAGAGTTGTAGCTCTTTTCCTTCTGCGAGAAAAGTGTGGGGGAGCAACTTCCCAGCTAAAAAACGGGACTGTGAGCATCAGCCTCATTCTGTTGGAAATTGTCTTTTCTTTTTTCTTTTAAATTAAGTATCCTTTTTGCCGTCCGTTCTGTGCCGTTCTTCTGTGTGTGTGTGTGTTTTAATTCTGTGTCCAAATGGAGCCTTTCCCTCCTGGATTTGTCCCAGAGGCCGTGAGCCAGGTGTCACCATGGGCAGGTGGCTTGCACCGCAGCTTTGCTGGCTTTACTCCGTGGTCTGCTTCCCAGCAGCATGCCAGCCCCGACCCCAGCGTCTCTAGACCCTAAATGGCATTGAGTCTCCAAACAGCTTCTTTGATCTTCCCTTTTAGCCTTGAGTAGATCTTTCCTCTGGGGCCCATCTGTAGTTTGTCACAGACGTGCGTCTTTTCCTCCATGTGGTCAGGACTCAGACTGGATTGTCAGCGCGTGGGTGCACGTGTGTACAGGGATGACCTCCCAAGGGTGCCTGTTCTGTAGGATAGTGCAGTAGGTGGCACCTTGCCTGTTTATCTGCCTTTGCAGGATGTTCTTCCACAGTATTGACAGGTCTGCTGGCCCGCTCTGTAATGTATTCAGAGCCGGGGTTTTGAGTCACTTGTCCACATGGACAGAGCTCCCCTAAGCCGAGCTGACGGCTCCCAGCCTGCAGGAAGCTGGAAACAGAAGAGGAGGCTGAGGGGACCCTCTGTGCTGGGCCCCCCCATCTTGCGGCGCTGCTACTCCTGGCCTGAGTGTGGAGCCACGCGGGTTCGGGGTGCTCTGTTTTCCTGCCTGTGGTGCCCTGTGGCCCGCACTCTCCCTCAGCCAGGCTCTGGGATTGGGGGTCTCTCTGACAGGTCGGGATCGCCTTGAAGCCCTTCCTGCCCCAGCTACAGACCACCTTCACCAAAGCCCTGCAGGACTCTAACCGCGGCGTGCGCCTAAAGGCCGCCGACGCACTGGGAAAGCTCATTTCCATCCACATCAAGGTGGATCCTCTCTTCACGGAGCTGCTGAACGGCATCCGGGTCATGGAGGACCCGGGCGTCAGGTGAGGCACTGGTGCGGGGAGAGCCGTGGCCATGGGGTGGCCCAGCCCTGCCTGTGCAGTGGGAACGCGGGTGGAGGAGAGCCGGGTTTGAGTCGGGTGCGTTGGTTCTGCAGGGACACCATGCTGCAGGCCCTGAGGTTTGTGATTCAGGGAGCGGGGGCCAAAGTGGATGTGGTCATCCGGAAAAACATCGTCTCGCTCCTGCTGAGCATGCTGGGACACGACGAGGTACCGCCACAGGTGGACGCGGGGCGCGTGGGCTGGGCTGGTTTCCCTTCCCTGGGCTGGTGTCTCTGCCTCGAGAAGCAGAACTTGGTCAGGAGTGATCATCACTGCTGATGTTCGTGCCACTCTGTGGTTTGCCCCACCTGTGGTCATGCGGGAGACAGGCACCTAGTGTTGATATGGGCGATGTATCGTATAGATAAGGGAAGCTAAGGTTTCTGAAGTCCCAGGTCTCTCGTTCATTTGTTCTCCAGTCTTAAACAAGTCACTTCCCCCGTTCTGCCCCTCATTTCCCCAGTTGTAAAATGAAGAGTTTCGCTTTTTGGTTCAGGAAACATTTGCTGATGTGCAGACCTCGCCAAGAGGTGAATGAAGCGTGGGCACAGCCCCCAGGAAACAGTGTCTGGTGTCTGTCCGGGAGGGGGCTGCTCAGCAGTTTTTGTGAGGGGCAGACTGACCTGGGGCCGTGCCCTAGCACGTGGTAGAGTGAGAACTGGGACTGAGCCCGTGACTCCTGGTTCTCTGTCCCAAGGCCCTTCCTGGCCCTGTCTGCAAGCATCTGTGAAGTACCAGTTGGCTGCCTTGCACTCTGGTGAGCCCCGAAGCGGTTGAGTCTTTGAGAAGGATTCTCTCTTTCTCCTTTGACAGACATCTCTCTGCCATGTCGCCAGATTGATGCTGTGGGGCTGATCTCTGGAGAGAGGCCTCGGGGTTCATATGGGGCCACACCTCGTTTGCCCATGCCCAGGGCCAGTTATCCCCCGCAGCTGAGGCCCCGGCCTTTTGTGGGGTGCAGATGGGAGCCTCTGCCTTCTCTTGGTCACGGTCTGTCAGGGCTTTTATAGGGCCACTCACAGTGCAAGCAAAAGTTAGTATGTAAACCAATTTGCATTTTACCACAGTGGAGCTTAAAATAGACCCCTTTGTGGGTGTTGTGTCAGAGAGAGCCAACTTTAGCCTCGTGTGACACCTGGGAGCTCAGAAGCCCAGACTGCCGGCTGGCCACCCTCCTTCCCCTCAGAACTTCCACTGGATCAGAGGTGGCAATCCAGGGTGCCGGCCTGACTCATGCCTCCCCACTGGCCCTTGAGGCCCTGGTTGGTTGTCGGTTGTTTTGTTTGGGAGAGGCACGCCAAGTTGGCACTTCGAATACTATAGCATGTAACCCAAAATCCTCCGCACAGCATCCCGTAGTGAGCCAGCAGGGAGAGCGGCCAGGAAGCGCTTATGTACAAGGCTGGTTTTGACACAGAACCCTCAGCCTTTCCCTATTGCCTTGGGCCAATTAGAGCTTCAGTCTGACTTCCAGGACAGACCCACACAATGTTAGGCAGCAGGGAGCCTCTCTGGACACAGGCGGACACATGAGAGGTTTGGGAGTGGGGTGGGGTGGAGCTCCCAGTGGTCCTCCAGCTGCTTTCCCTGAGGACTGTGGGCAGAGCTTGCACCCTCCCCGCCTCACAGGGCTGTTGATAGTAACTGAGATAATAAACGTGAAGCATTCAGGCTTGTAAGAAGAAAGGTGCTATGTAAATACAGTTATTGTTGCTATTATGATGATGATCACCATATGCACACACTCTGGAGTTTTCTATAATTAAGTTAAGTGCTGGGTGTGTAATTTTTAACTCGGCGCCGAGTGGCATCCGCAGTGAGTGGCAGCCCTGCCCTGGCGGCGGGAGTGCGCACGCCTGGAGGGAGGACTGGACTTGGCGTCCGCCTCCCTCCCGTGCTGGTGCCCGCGGAGCCAATGTGGGCTAGCACCCTGGTTCACCACCTCCTCTGCCCCATCAGGACAACACGCGCATCTCCTCGGCCGGGTGCCTGGGGGAGCTGTGCGCCTTTCTGACGGAAGAGGAGCTCAGCACCGTTCTTCAGCAGTACTTGCTGGGTAGGCCTCTTGTGTACACTTTTCAGGGCTTCTCTGTCTCCCTCGCCCCTCAGAGGGTCTTCTGGCAGCTGGACCACCCTCTCCTTGGAAATGTCAAAACAAAATGGAGTTTCCGGGAGTCTTGTAGCCCAGAGCGTCTCTGCTCTGAGGACGCAGCCGTGATCGGGAGTGGCCTGTGAGGGACGGCCTCTCGGCGGCCACTTGGGGCAGGGAAGTCCGTGTGCAGGACTGGGGCTCCCACCAGGCTCTGAGCTGACACACGAGTCTCGGGTGGTGGAGGTGGGCTTCGCGGGTGGTAGACGGTGCAGGTCGACCTCCCTATGTCCTTCCACCCAGCGGATGTGTCTGGCATTGACTGGATGGTTCGGCACGGGCGGAGCCTGGCTCTCTCCGTGGCTGTGAGCGTGGCTCCCAGCAGACTCTGCGTGGGCAAGTATGGCGGTGACGTCCAGGACATGATCCTCAGTAACGCCATGGCGGACAGGGTGAGGCTTTGCGGCGGCTGGACCAGGTGGTCAGAGGCTCGCATTTCACTTGCCAGTAACCTCCTGTGCCCTGGGGCCAGTGCTTGGTCTCCCTGGGCGCCAGTTTCATCATCTGAACAGTGAGGAGTTGGGTTGGAGCATCCAGAGGTCCCTTCTAGGCCAGAAAGTCTCTGATTTTGTTCCTGGGAACTAGTGTCTCAGGCTTTGTTCACCTGCCCCACAGCCAGGCAGAGCCTCTTAGTGAGAGCCATCAAAGAGTCTCGGTGGTGATGTAGTCGGGGGCGGGGTGGGGACTGGTGGTGGAGAGCCAGGGCCCCCGGAAATGCCTGGGGAAGGGACGGTGCCTGGCCCTGCTGCCCCGAGGAGGGAGCCGGAGGCACCCCATCTAGCTTTCCACTCACTTTCCAGATCCCCATCGCTGTGAGCGGGGTCCGGGGCATGGGCTTCCTGATGAAGCACCACATCGAGACCGGAGGAGGACAGTTGCCGGCCAAACTCTCCAGCCTGTTCATTAAGGTGAGCGGGGCAGCCTGGCTCATGAAAAGGACCCGTGACCAGAAGACCCCGGAAGTGTGTTCGTGTGTTCCAGGCACTCTGAGGCTGGCCTGCAGGGTGGGGGGGGGTCTCTGATCCCGTACAGCTGGGATGCAGAATGATCTCTGGAAGACTGCCCAACTTTTCTTTTTTTTTTGCCCGACTTTTTGTCAGAGTCTCCCATAGATCCATGACCCCAAATCAAGTTAAGAACCTCTGTTTTAGGCATTCTTTCTAGGCACCCCAATTTTGCAAACTTTGGGACAGACCTGGGTTCAAATTTATCTTCGCTTTCCTGCCTCCCTTTAGCAGGCATGACAGTACTTGCTGGGTAGGCCTCTTGTGTGCATGGGGTAGCAGGCATGGCTGTTGTGGTGGCTGCCAGGCTGTCCTGGCTGCAGGACCCACTTGGGAAAGCTGGGGAGCCTGGCAGAGGGGCCTGCAGCATCTGTGTGATAAAACACGCTGCTCAAATGTTGGTGTGCACAAAAAATCAGAAACTGCATTTTAAGAAATGCGGCCGAGCCCTACACCCTGCCTTTGTAACCAGCCCCCGGGCAGTGTCAGTAGCCTCAGTGCACTGACCTCACTCTGAGATTGTGGCTCCCACGTCTGCTGTCCCCACTCTGCAGACACCCAGAGAGGAGGGTGTGCGGGGCCCTGATTGCACTGAGCCTGTGTCAGCCCGCATGCAGCTGTCCTCAGTGTTCATTACTAAGGACCGGCTGTGTGCATGGCCAGGCTAGACCCTGAAGTACGGAGGTGAGTGGGGCAGACAAGATCTCTGGAGGTGGAGGTACACAAAGGGCCTGTGGGAGGGCCCTCATCTAGATAGGGCTGTCGGGGAGATGCCTGAAGGCTGACATCTGAGCTGAAGCCTAAAGAATGAGAGGGGACCGACCAGGTGAGGATCTGCAAGCACGTCCCAGGCAGTGGGGCCCGCCAGCGCAGGGGCGTGAGGCAGGAAGCAACGTGGGGCCTTTGAGGAAGTTGGAAGCCTGCGTGGGCTGAGAGTGCCGAGCCAAGGAGAAGGTGGTGTGAGATGACGTGGAGGAGGTAGGGTCCGAACATACCCGGCCGCCCTCCCACAGTGGGGACGCCGTGGAGGGAGCAGGGGGTCAGGTCCCACGACGAGGGCAGCGTCAGGGCAGAGCCTGGGCTGCGGCGAGGAGCAGGCTGGATGTGCCTGACGGAAAGCCCGTGCTCCTCTTCACAGTGTCTGCAGAACCCATCCAGTGACATCAGGTTGGTGGCTGAGAAGATGATCTGGTGGGCAAACAAGGACCCGCTGCCTGCCTTGGACCCCCAGGCCATCAAGCCCATCCTGAAGGCCCTCCTGGACAACACCAAGGATAAAAACACCGTCGTCAGGGCCTACAGCGACCAGGCAATTGTCAACCTCCTCAAGATGAGGCAGGGAGAGGAAGTGTTTCAGGTGGGAGCCTGGGACTGGCGGGCCTCCCTGCGGCTTTGGGGTGCTTGTCTTGTGGGCCTTCTGCATGATAGTGTTTGAGGCTCATATTCTGCCACCCCATAGGCATGCGTGTTGACGGGCAGATAGTCATCTGGTGACTGGTCTGGTGCCTAGAAACGCATCCCTCTATTCCTGAGGTGTTCAAATTCCTTTCAGTAGGAATCTACTGAAGTGGGAGCCCTGCTGCAGTAGGGCTCCTCCTTCAGGTAAAACCTCAGGTGGCTCCCAAACCTGTACAGGCCCCCCGGGCTGCCTGTTGGGGCCCAGAGTCCTGTCCCTCAGCCCCCTGCCTGCTGAGCCACCTTTAAAGCGCTGAGCACTCCAGGCTCCACTCCGTCCTCGCATCAGGGCATGAGGCCTGCATGTCTTGGCTGTGCCTGGATCACCCAGCCTCCTTGCTGTGCCAGGGTCCCCCTCAGTGGTTCTAGTTCTGGGTCCGCATTCAGTGTTGTCTTTGATTGGAGAAATCGGAAGCCACACTTTCTGATTTTTGTCTCCTCGTTTCCCTCCTCCCCCCAGTCCCTCTGCAAGATCCTGGATGTGGCCAGCTTGGAAGTGTTGAATGAATGCAACCGGAGGTCTCTGAAGAAGCTGGCTGGCCAGGCCGACTCCACGGAGCAGGTGGACGACACCATCCTGACCTGACAGACCCAGGCCCGTCCGCTGGGCTCTGCGTCAGCATTTCAGCTCCACCTCTTTGTTCACTGTTTTCATTTTTGAAAATACATTTGTTCTGATGGGGAGCTTAGGAGATGGCGTTCCCAGAAAGTATTTTAATATATCAACAGACCACAGCCAAAGCCTTAAATCAAACCTACACACAACTGAAAATTGCCTCCTCCATCTCTCACCCTTTTCTTTGGAGAAGAGAAGAAAAAGCACACGCCTGAGCCTCGCCCAGTGGTCACCAGGAGCTGCTCGTCCACTCTGCGTGGCTGGGTCCAGGATGCGAGGCTCAGACATCCGCCTCCCGGTCTCTTGTGCCAGAGCTCTGGCTCCAGGGCCAGTGCTTCCAACCTCTGCCTAGATCCCGAGGGGCACAGAACCGCAGAGGCCTGCCCGCGCAGTATCTCGGCGTGGCTTTTCAGCATTGTGCAGCCCACCTGGATCTGACCCATCAGGTGACAGGGACAGAACTTGCACAGCCCTAGTAGTTTGCAAGTTGGGGGAGGGGAGCAGGTTTAAACACAGGTAGTTTGAAGGAAGGATGTTGAATAAAGGCTTTGATTTGATCTTGATAAGCAGATTTTTAAAAATCTCCAAACTCCACTAAACATGAAGCTTTGTGCATCAGGAGCAAGGCAAAGCCTCATGCAGCTGTCCCCATGAGCACAGGCAACTAACTCTGATTTCTGGGCGTCTCTCCTGCTCTCTGAAGTCCCGTAGATACCTGCAGCCATGTCTGTTCTGAGACCAGATCTCAAGAGGGCTGCAATCAGGCCTGAGATCTCACTGGTGTGGAGATCCCAGGGGTCAAATCAACCGCCTCCCTGCTCTGTCCTGACTCAGAAAGGTAGGCAGCTTCTGAGAGTCGAGTTTTACAGAGAAAAGTCTTCCCTTCTGTGGAATAAGAACAAACCACATTCCTGTAATCAGAATTGCGAGAGGAAACCAAAGTCGCAGTTGAGTATCTGCCTCCTTTATGAATGACTTCCTTCCTCCTGGTTCTTAGAAGGCTCGTGATCCAGGCGTCCTGTCTGATGGAGCCCGCCCCTCCGGGCCCCAGTGACGCAGGTGTTCCTGGGCTGTTTTCCCTGGTCACAATACGGAACAAAACTTGTACCAAAATGAGTATGAGCTGTAAAAGGAAGAAAAAAAATGAAACATGGTGGGAGCGAGCTCACATTATAAAAGGCCTGAAGTACTATACCAAAAAACAAACAAAAGCGAGGCTTTGCCTATTAATAATGCAGCAGAGGTAGAAAGTAGCCTTGTGACTCAGCACTTCTGATGAATAAGACAAGGTGGCCTCTGAGGTGCTTGCTGTCTGTCTGAGCCTTTTGTGTCAGAGGACTTCCTATTTTCTTGCAACAGATGTGGTCTCCACTGGCTCATTGGAACTGTAGAGTCCCAGGGCTGGAAGGGACCTTGAGAGGGCAGCTGAGCCGGTCCCCACAGCCAAAGCAGCCAATGGTTACAGCTTTGGTAGCCATGGTAACTGTCCTCTGCTCCTGGGATTCAGATGATCGCTGGCAGGCTCCCAGCTGCCTGGGGCACTTGTCCAGCAAGCCAGTTGCAGCTGCAGTCACCTCTGCCAGTCAGCCCTGGGGAGGCAGGTGAAGTTCTCATGGGAGGGGTTGTGGGCTGGGAAGCCTCTTTTAAGCCCCCGAGGTAAGTGTTCAGTGCTTCCTCCAGGATCTTAGAGCAGACACTTGTGTCCACCTCTGGTGTGCCGTGCCCAGTCTCATATCAGGAGGAGAGCCTGATGTACTTACAGCTGGGGGACTCTTAGTAAGCAAAGTCCAAACCTGCCTGGTGGCTCAGACAGTAAAGAATCTGCTCATGATGCAGGAGACCGGGGTTCAGTCCCTGGGTTGGGAAGATCCCCTGAAGAAGGGCATGGCTACCTACTCCAATATTCTTGCCTGGAGAATCCCACGGACAGAGGAGCTTGGCAGGCTACAGTCCATGGGGTTGCAAAGAGTCAGACATGGCTGAGTAACTGACACATTTTCAAAGGAGAAACACTGGGTTCCCACTCAGAGACTGGAGGACAATGAGATCTCTCTATTCAGGATGGATGGACGGATGGAGGCTGATTGACAGAGATGACTCAGTCCTGGAGTGCACTGACGTGCATCCCCTGAGTCTGGAAGTGGGCTGCGAAGGGCTGTCACAGTCATGCCAGTGGAGCCGGTGAAGAGGACCCCGCCAGCCCACAATCACTGCGGTCCTGAAGACGGCTGCCCAGACTGAACACCCTGGAGGAGGAGGTGCTTGGCAGCAGAGAACGAAGCCATCTGCCCTGGTGGTTGGTAGGGCTGTTAAGCCTCAGGGGAGTCATCCAGCCTTTCTGGGCCAGTTTTCTCATCTGCAAAAGGAGGAATTTGGAATGGAAGCTCTCCATATGTCTTAAAGTTATCCTTTAGGGATTAATAGTAATTATAACAGGTGACATTTGGCTCTTTTTTCCCACTTAACACACCCAACCTGTGGAGTAGGTTCTCTAGTTACGACTTTTTTCCTGAGGAGGAAATTGAGGTGTGGGATAGTCTTAAGTGGCGGTCTGTCCCCAGAGCCACTCGTGTCCTTTGCCTGTCTCTTCCTCCTGCTGCGCTGGCTAGCTGGGCACAAGCCTTGTCACTGTCACTCTATAGACTGGTTCCTGCAGGCCTCTCGTCCTGCAGCGCACGAGGTGAAGTGCCGAGGCGGCTCTAGGTGACTGGCCACGGGCCTGAGCCATGCCTCACCCTGCGTACAGGACACTTCCTGTTCTTCGAAAAGACGCCTTTCTGAGACTTTGTGAGAGAGGGGACCCCTATCTTTGTCTGCCATGTGTTAGAAGGGCAGTGACAAGATGGTGTGCCTTTAGCTAATCTGGAGAAAACTAAACAACGTTCTCAACCCTTTTAACTCTGGGAGCCTGTGGAATCTTGGCGTTGAAACTGTTTTAAAATGTGGGGGAATATGTCGTGGTTCACGTCCCTTGTCGTTGCCTTCATCCCACTGCCGGGATGCTGGAGGGCTTGGGAGGGGGCTGGGGACCTGCAGAGTCAACACTATTTTATTGGCAGGGATTTGGGGACATGATTTTACTGAGAGTGGATGTCAAAACAACACAGGCAGTTGGGGATGTTTTTCTTCTAACTAGGGTTCTGTGTGGACCGGTCTTTTAACTGCTCCAAGCCTTTCTAAATAAGAGCAATAGGAAAAACAGGAACCAGCCTAATTTAAAGATCTAGGTTCTAAAATATTTTTAAGGAAACAGCTGTTTCTTTAAAATTCTCGTACAGAGCACCCTGGTGGAGCCGCATGGACTTGGAAGTCAGGTTTAAACCTTAACTTGACTGCTTCATGTTAAGCCAGAGCATGTCCCCTAACCTCTATGAGAACGTGTCCTCGCCTGGACAGTGACAGACCAGCCCCCCAGGCTGTCTGGAGTGGGTGAGGTAACACACTCCGTACATGGCGGGCCCACAGGAGGTTCTGCATCCATGGATGGTGTGAGTAAAGCGAGGTGTGTGGACAAACAGACTGAAGCGTGGGCACCTAGTGCTCTGATCTGAAGGGTAACCATGGACCCAGAATTTGCAGGTGTTAATTTTTTGAGCCCAAGTTTTGAAAAGCAGTCAACCTAGAGTCACATCTTTCCGGGGGATTGATTACTGTGTTTGAATGTAGTCTCTCGAACACCGAAGAGAGGCATGTAAGCACGTGGACAGGTCTTCACTGTGCCCGGGCTGGACAGCAGTCCTGTCGTTGCTGAAGTAGGACAGGCTGGGAGCCAGCCCGATTTTTATGAGGAGAAATGCTGGACGGGATGAGTTACAAGCTGGAATCAAGACAGGAGGGAGAAACGTCAACAGCCTCAGATGTGCAGATGATACCACTAATGGCAGAAAGCAAAGAGGAACTGAAGAGTTTCTTGATGAGGGTGAAGGAAGAGAGTGAAAGAGCCAGCTTAAAGCTCAATATTAAAAAAACTAAGATCATGGCATCCGGCCCCATTACTGGATGGCAAATAGAAGGTGAAAAGGTGGAAGTAGTGACAGATTTCCTCTCCTTGGGCTCTAAAATCACTGCAGATGGTGACTGCAGCCATGAAGTCAAGAAACGAGTGCTTCTTGGCAGGAAAGCTATGACCTAGACAGTGTGTTGAAAAGCAGAGACATTACTCTGCCAACAAAGGTCCATATAGTCAGGGCTGTGGTCTTCCCAGTGGTCACATAGGGTTGTGAGAGCTGGACCATAAAGAAGGCAGAGCACCAAAGAATTGATGCCTCCCAACTGTGCTGGTGGAGAAGACTCCTGAAAGTCTCTTGGACAGCAAGGAGATGAAACCAGTCAGTCTTAAGGAAAATCAACTCTGAATACTCATTGGAAGGACTGATGCCGAAGCTGAAGCTCCAGTATTTTGGTCATCTGATGCGCACAGACAACTCATTGGAAAAGTCCCTGATGCTGGTAAAGATCGAGGGCGGAAGAGGTGTCAGAGAATGAGATGGTTGGATGGCATCACTGATGCAATGAACATGAACTTGGGCTAACTTCAGGATATGGTGAGGAACAGGGAGGCCTGGCGTGCTGCAGTCCATAGAGTTGGAAAGAGTCAGACAGGACTGGATAACTGAACAACAACAAAACTGAGGTAAGGAAGGAAGGGAGCGTCTCTAAGGTCATGTGGCCAGTTGGCTGCAGAACTGGAAAAGCAAACCCACATTTCTTGATACTGTGGTCACCAAGCCCCGGGGTGATACTATAAAAATACTTTTGGAAGGCAAATTTAACAAACAAGTCAAGTTCTTGGCATGTGGTTCTGTGAAGTGAGTGGGTTTCACTTTTTAGAAGAGGTGGAGCCCAGTTGTTTCACTGGGCGGTTCTGAGCTGCCAGGAGGGTTCCCTGCAGGCTGCCCCAGTGGAAGGTAGGTGTTGATCCTAACAAAGCTTAGGAAACTGGAAAAACTAGTCCAAAGATTATCAGCTCAGTGGGATTTCTGGGTGAGATTCCTGAGTGTGTGTGGATGGAAATACCAGTTCACTTTGATGCTTCTCTGAGGGCTGGTTGAGATGGCAGCTGGGTCACAAACTACCATTTAGACTCTCATAAAGAAGGGAACTGGGACGCTTGGGGTACTGCAGTACTTAACACAGTGTTTCTCAAATCTTTCAGCCCCAAGACTCCTTTACACTGTGAAAAATGATGGCGGACCCCAAAGAACTCTTGGTTATATGTAACTTGCCTACTGATACTTACCATCTTAGAAAAACAGTTAACTTTAGAAGCTCCATTAATTCACCTAAAATAAATCTATTACACATAAGCATAGATAACCATGTAACAAATGTTAAGTTTGAGGAGAGCAGCACTGCTTTGCATTTTTGCACGCCTCTGCATTTCTGGATTCTCACGTCTGCTTCTGCATTCAGTCGACTGTGATGTCCCATGTTGTGCAGGCCCTGGGAGACTCCAACATGCACTCTTAAGGAATGCGTGGAAAAGGCAGATGACATCTCAGTTTTGTGAAAATGTTTCAGCTTCACATATCCTTAGAGTCTCACAGGGAGCCTTGGTGTCTCTAGACCACAGTTAGAAAATTCTGATCGAATCTTGAAGATGGGAGAAAAATCCTACTTATAATGGGAGGGGGCCTGACCCTGAGTTACAATAAGAGACCCCAAATTTGGTCCACACCTCACAGAAAGCAAACTCGAGAAAGTTCCATCGGGTTATTTCTGAGGCTCCTAACTCTAAATTCTAGGTGTGGCTTCATTTTAACTGAATGGAAACCAAGTGCCCACTGTGTCCAGGTCCCAGTGGGTATCAGGATGGTCCCTGCAGTCTAGGGGCTTCATGTCTACTTGATGGGGAAGAGGGGTGACCAAAGGGCAAGGCCAAGTCTCTTGATAGGATTCAGCCTGCAACATGCAGATGGGGATTAAGGGGCCAGTTCTCAGGCCCATCAGAGGAGAGACCACGGATCCATTTATTCCCTCCCTCCTGGGCCAGCATGTTGGGTGGTGCTGCCCTCTGTTCTTATCTGTACCCACTTCCCGTCACCTGATTGCAGCAATTGTTTCTTCCCTCAACAGAGTTCAGCAAGTTCAGACTCCACTGCTGACCAGCCTGAACTGTGCATTTCCCAGGTCCCTCCCCAGCCTCTGCTGCACTAGCCCTCATCTTTCCTCCCCCCCCCCGGGCACTGCTGGCTCTGAACCCAGACCTCAGGCTCAGGGGTCCCTCCCCTTTCCCTTCAGCCTCCGCAGCACTCGACTCTCCTCTGCTAGTTGAGCTTTTTAAAGTGCTCTTAACCCACCTTCCTCCCATCCTTACTACTCTATCCTTAGTGTTCACTGGCTGCCAATCCTCTACCTACGCTATCCTGGAAAATACTTTATTCACCCCACTGTTCTCAGCAGCCCCTTCATTTCTCTTCATTCACAACCAGACTTACTGAATGAACAGTATATACCCACTGCCTTCAGGGCATCACTGTCTGCCCTGTAAACCTCTGTATACTCTGTCCCTGTTACTCTCCTTGGTTTTTTCTTTTAACGTGTATTTATTTATTTGCATTTTCTATCAGAATGTGAGCTCCATGGAAGCAGGGACTTGAAAGCTTTATTTCCTGCCACCTCCCCGGCTCCTCCATCTGCCTGGCAGCCGTGAGCCCTCAAATGTTCACTGTCTTACCCAGTTGTACTGTAAATTCCTGACGATGGAGTTTTGTTTTGCTCCTGTTATGTCCTCAGTGCTGGCAGCCAGTAGGTGCACAATACCTACCTTACTAGTAAAGGGATCCAGGTGTCAGGTAAATTTTTTTCTAAAAAATTGGTAGATACTGTTTGCATACTGTCTTTTGCACCTGGTTCTTCTTGCTGTTACTTCACACCTGGGCTTCAGCAGTAGCCTTCTTTAAAGCTCTGCAGCTGAAAATCCCTCCTGTGTGCTTGCACCAGATAACTTCCTCCTGAACATTCTGATACTACTCCTCTGCTCAGGAACTTTTGAGTGCCTCCCTGCTGTGGTCGCTGTAAGGTCTGAACACGTGGTGTTGCAAAGCTCATAATGGCTAAGCTGGCCCTTCAGAACAGTGGAACAAAGTTTCCTGTTGGCAGCACATACTGCTACTTACCTCTGGGGGCACAAAAGTTTATGTTGTTCTAAATATAGACTTTATCTACCATAACATAGCTCCAGTCACTGCATTGTGGTTTAGATCATGTACAACAATGTTTCTAGAGGAAAATGTGCTCAGATTTTCACTTTGGGGGGTCAGGCACACATCCTGTCTCATGGGGAATTCTCCTTCAAGGCTAACACAGATCATCCTCAGGGCTGTGACAACAGCTATTAAAACACACCTGCCATTCCCAGCTCTCTCAATTCCAATTCCATCATGAAACCTCTATGATGAAATCCACCCCCCGACCCCCCGCCATTCTAACCAAAAGTGATAGCTGTCCTCTGAAGTCTAGTCTGCTAATCTGACAGCTATTTCATCTTGTATTTTTTTATTCCTCACAAGTGTGTCTATCTCTGATGAAACTGAAAGCTCCTGGTTGGGAAAACTCTATCCTAGAGTCTGTGGCACAGGAATTAACACCCATTGCTTCCTAGAAGGCACATGGAGGCAAGTCAGAGGAGTCTGGGCTTCATAACGGCTGATTCTGCTCCACGTCTTCAAAGTATCCTACAGCCGTGCTCTCAAGAGGCCTCCCTGGGCATGTGTGCTCAGGTCTGCAACAGTAAATGGCCCAAAGCAGGAATGAGTCAGTGCAAAATGACCTCAGGTTTAACAGCATTACTGTTACTGTTATCATATGCCTGTAGGAACCGGGTGATTTGCAACCATCTTTCATCCTCACAACTATTATGAGGAAACTGGGGGCTCTGAGACATTGTGATGTGATTTTTCCAGACTCTCAAAAGCTTTTAAGGGGTGGTGCCAGAATTTCAAAGCTAGCAATTGAACCAAAGCCTGTCTGATTCCAGAGCAGGTTGAGAAGGTGATCCAGAGCAACCTGCCTCACTGGGCGGGCAGGGTGGATTGTGCCTGCCTGGGGGGAAACTGAGGCTTCTTTCTTCTCTTGTATTTCCTAAAACTGCTAGATCAAAGGGGATCCCACTAACCTTTCCCAGAGCAAGAAGGACCATGTTGTTTCAATGCTCATATGAAGAGCTCGCAAAGAGTTGGACACGACTGAACAACTTCACTTTCACTTCACCTCCCAGCTAGTACCTTCAGATCCTAAGCCCATGTTCTTTGGTCATCACCAGGCCGATTCTCAGCTCCTGGAAAAACAACTTAAAGCTTGAGTCAGACACCCCATGTGCTACTCAAGGATCTTCCCTGTATAATAAGAGATTGTAAACGTGAATGCCTATCAACAGCAGAGTGGTCAAATTATAGTAGGCCAATGCTGGAGTGCTCCCAGGTTGTGAAATGACAGAAGGTCTAAGTATGCTCTTAAGAGAGAAAAGGCAATTTACACACATGTGTGTTCCACAGGCAAAGACAATTCAGTGAAAGACATTTATTCATTCAAATATTTGTCAACCATTTTAAGGTATCAAGAAACTTAGTAACCTGTGAGGGGTGGGTCTGAGGGGGAAAATGGTAACTTGTACTTTCTGGTAAGCTTCTGTACATAAAAAAAAAACCAAACAGGCATTACTTTGTAGAAAGTCAAAATAAGTTTGGGAAAATAAGTATCTAGCAGGCACTTGACTATAAAGGGACGGAGCTACACGGAACTCATCAGTAACTCATCAGTAACGTTTTCTCCCTGCAATTCTACAAACGAGGATGGCAGTAGGCGCAACCTATTTTTAGGGCAGTCAGGAATTTACTCTAAACCCGGGGGTGGGGGGGGGGGAACCCTAGGGCTGATGATAAACTGAATACCGCTTAACGTCGGCAGCCCCGGTCTTCCTACCACACAATCTGCAGAAGTTTTATCTGTTGGTGGGGTGCAACTGAAGCTGAGGGCGCTGCTGTTATCGATCTCAAGGGTGCATCTTACACACCAGGCCATTCATCTCGCAGGCTCAGCGTCAGGTTGGACAAGGACCCGGAATCTGGAACCTCTCGGCCCGCTTTACCAACGGGGCATCTCAGGCTCCAAGAGATCGCGGGGCTGGGCTGTGACTCTGCCCCAGCGCTGCCGTCAAAGGTCACGCTGCTCACACGGTTCGGTAAAAACTCCCGCAGCCTCCAGCCGCCCTCGGCGTCCAGTCCACGGGCCCCGGGACACGGCGGGGGGGGCCTGGAGCCAGCACCTCGGAGGCGGTGTCCAGGCAGATGGGGGCGGAGTGTCCCGAGTCCCCAGTCCCAAGAAGCCGGGAGCCTGGCGTAAGCCCCGCCCCGCCCGGTCGCTGCGTGCTAGTCGGTCCCTCTCCGCAGCGCTTGCGGGTCTAGAAGATGAAGCAGCAGCAGCAAGTCCACCCAGGGCCACGGCCGGCCTCTCCCGGCACTCCGGGAATCTTGCAGCTAGGGCCTGGCCGCAGGTGCGCTCTCGGAGTCTCCCGCGCAGCAGGCCGCGGACGGCGGGCGGGTGGCGGCGGCGGCGACGGTCGCCGAAGAGCCACGGGCACGACCTGCCCGCGCCCGCGGGCCCCTAAACAGGGCGCAGGCGCCGTGCGCGAGCGCCGAGAGGGCGCGGCTGGCCGCCACTGCGGCTGCGCGGAGGCGCGGCCAGGCGCTGCGCCTGCGCAGTGGCGGGGCGGGGCGGGAAGGAGCGAGGCGGCGGCAGCGGCGGCCGCTGCCGAGGAGGAGGAGGAGGAGGAGGGGGAGCGGAGGGAGGTGTTTCTGTCAGTTCCGGCTGTTTGTTCGGGAAGTGGATCCGCCGCTGCCGGAGCAGCCCGGAGGGAGCCGCGGATCCCGAGGCCAGCACCGACCCCGCCCGCTCGCCCTCGCGCGCGCGCGCGCCTCCCCCGCCCGCCATGGCCCGGGACTACGACCACCTCTTCAAGCTGCTCATCATCGGCGACAGCGGTGAGGGCCGCGGCGGCCGGAGGCGGCGTGGGCCCTGCCGGGCGCGGCCCGCAAGGGCCTCGGGGAGGGCAGGCGGCCGGGCGGGCGGGGAGGTGCCGGCCCGCGCCGGGCGGCCGGGCGGGGCGGCCGGGCGGCCCCAGGGGCGCGCGGAGAGGCTCCGGGGCGCGCCGGGGTGAGGCCGGGGCGCGGGGCCGCGGAGCGGAGGGGCCGGGCGCGCAGGGCTCGGGTCCAGGCTCCCGGTCCACTCGCCGCGCCGGCCCTTCTGCCCCACGTGTGACCTTGGTCCAGTCGCGCGATCCTCTGGAGTTGGAGGGAGCCGGGTTCGAGTCTCGGGACTACCAGCTTCCTCACCCTGACCTTGGGCGAGGTGTTTCGCCTTTCCGAACCTCGGTTCTCTCATCTGAGAGGTGGGGACTTAACCTCGCTGGGTGGTGCGTGAGTCTTGGGTGAGATGGAGCTGGAAAAGTGCTTCGCACTGGACCTGGCGGAAAGGGAGCTTCTGGTGTGTGGTTGTCAGTAGCGTTTGTAAGCCTGGGTTTCTGCCTGGGGAAAGTGGGTGCAGGGGGAGCGCGGTAATCTCAGAACCTGCCTCATGGGATTCCTGTGAAGTTTAAATGAAGTAAGACAGGTAAAGCACTTCGCGCCGGGTCTGGCACATTCCTGCTGAATTATTCTCTCTGTGGGGTTCCTTGTCTTCATCTGCAAAATGGAGCAATAGTGGGATCAGCCTCGCTGGGCTGATGGAGTGTTCAAGGAGATAATGCATGCGGAGTGTGCAGAACCGGGCACATAGTGAGCGCTCCCTGTGTGTTTGCTGTTGCACACTGGTCTGCTGGACAGAGCCTGAGGTGGGTCAGCCAACATTACAAAGAGCGTGCCCTCCCGGAGAGCTCCTAGGTCCCTCTCCAGTGCCTGGCACTCAGGTGGTGCCTAGCATGTATGTATTGAATGAATGGATATCCAACATCTTTAGAAAAGGTAGGCTTGTTTCTGAGAAAGGGTAGAGGGTTGTAGAGGTGTTTGGAGTGTGGCAGGTAAGCAGGTTTATGGGGTGACCAAGAGGTCAGGGAGGCAGGCCCTGGGAGGTTTATATGAGCATAGCTGAGGTGCTGGGGTTTTATGATGGGGAGGGAGGCTTGGGAACGTGCCATATTTACAGACCAGACCTGAGTTGAGTGCTGACAAGGGTATCATGTGACTGTAGGCAGAGGCCAGGTCGGTGGTGGAGCCCATGGATTGTTAGGGAAAGCGGGGACCAAATCGAGGGGTTGTTAGGCCCTGAAGTGGGAGCATTGTGTCAGGGCCCTGGCAGAAGCAGGCAAGTGGGTGGGTCGTGGTCTCACTGTGGAGATGGATTGCGACGTGGCAGGTGATTCGGATCAGGTGAAGGATGGCTGAGGTTTCTGTGGTTGCCCATGGAAGGGAGAAAAGTTTAAGGGCTAATGAGGGAGATGAAGAGTAGCTGTGGCCAGGGGAGCATGAATTCTTCCTGGTGTGAATGAGAGAAACCCAGACCAGCTGTGTAGCCTCAAGACCAGCACGGCCTTGGGCGTTTCCCAGGGTCCTGGCACACTTATGCCTTTTGAGCTTCATTCCCAGCCCTCACCTGGGTTCTGGAGGCGCTGGCACCAAGGTGATTTCTGTCCTTTTGGAGTTTAGGTCAGCTTACCACGCTCAAGGTCCCTGTCCCTTTGCAAGAGGCCTGGGGCCTGCGTGTAGCCCCACAAAAATGGAAAGCATAAGCTTAGCCAGAAGATGCACCTTCTCCCCAGTTCTTCTTCCCAGTGAAACCCAGGCCATGGTTTGGGCCTTCTTTTTCACCATACATTCTGCTGGTGTATTGATTTTTCACTCTGAAGTTAGTTGTGGGAGAAGACTCACTGGGTCAAGTGATCTGACTTATGGATCTGACTCCCTGGTTAGTCTGAGCATGTAGACTGTGTTGAGTAGAGGAGATGTAGGCTTTGCAGTTTAACGTTCCCTGACAGTGGGCTGACACTCAACGCCCAATGGTCATGAGGTTGGGAGGTGGTAGCCTTGGAAGTTCACGCTACTCTCTGGCAGCTGAGCAAGGTAGAGGGGCATCTCGCCCTCCCCTCAATCTGGCTTCTTATGTGATGCTTCCTTAAGGGTTTTCAAACGATTTCATAGACACTCTCTCATTTGGTTCTTACCTGTTGCCTGTGTGGTTTGTCAGATATGGAAACTAAGGCTCAGAGTAGCTGACTAGTCGACTTGCCCCAAGTTGCACAGCTCCTCAGAGGTAAAGCCAGGAGTTTTTTGTTGTTGTTGTTGTTTTTTCAACAAAGAGCAAAGTAGTTTAATAATAAACTTGTTTGTTGTTTAGTTGCTAAGTTGTGTCCGACTTTTTACGACCCCATGGACTGTAGCCCACCAGGTTCCTCTGTCCATGGGATTCTCCAGGCAAGAACACTGGAGTGGGTTTCCATGCCCTCCTCAGGGCAAAGCCAGGAGTTAATGCACATGATGCGTTGTGAGCAGCTGGTGTCAGGCCTGGCAAACAGTAGGCCCTCGATGAATGTTAGTCTTTCTGTAGAAATCTAGAGCTCTTCTTCCCACTCTGCCACATTGTACCTGCTTCTGGAATGCATCCTCTCAGCTTTTGCATCTCTTTTCTATGCCTAAGGTTGTACATGGTCTCTCAGGGGCTTCTGACATTGGCTCTGTAACAGCATTTCGTCTGGTCCAGGGGGCTGATCAAACTCATTCTTAGAACCCGCAGGCTGTGTTGGAGATCAAGTTAAAGCCTCTGAGTCCACAGCTGAGTGAACTGTGGCTCAGAGAGGGGAGTGACTTGTCTGAGGTTGTACAATGAGTTAGTTACTGAGCCAGGATTAAAGCTGAGCACACCTTACTCAAAGCTCTTGGGGTCTTCAGCAGTTGAGAACCGAAGTGAGGAGGAGTGGAGGAGCTGGAACAGATGGAGGAGCCCGGCCATGGTGGGGCCTGCAGTGCAGGCTTCTGAGGACAGAGTGTCTGTGCAGGACGAGGGGCAGAGCGGGGAGGGCTGGGGTTTGGTGGAGACGGAGAGTGGTGGGTTCGTTTTCTACAGGATGAGTCTGTCTCCCCACTTCCAGAAGGCAACAGGGGCCGGGCTTCTACTTCCTGCGGGGTCGAGGGTGATGGGCCGGGGTGGCCATGGGGAGGCTGTTGACTTCGGCTGAGGTGAAGGCCGATCGGCACCCTGCACTTTCCTCCTTCTGTGGGTGCTGCGTGTGTTCCCAAGGCTGCCTCTTCAGAGACATTTAGGAAACGTGTTTCTCAGGGTGGGTTTCCCTTCCTTCCAGAGGGACCAGCCAGGCCAGAAGTGGGTGTCGGCCTGAAGCAGCAGTTGACGGGGTGACTATAGTGGTTTTGAGCAGCTCTGCAGATGAGCTTGGGGTGAATGAAGCCCCACCCTTCCCCCTCCCACACCCCCCCAAGGCCAGGCTGAGGGGGACGCTGCTGCTGTCCTGCTTCATGCAGAGGGCATACCCCCATCCCTTAGGCTTCTGCTACCCGCCCGCCCCCGCCAAAGTTTGAACACCCGCGCTTGGGCTCTTCTTCCTGCTGCAGCCATAGCGTCAGGTGATCGGCCCTGGTTTAGTCAGAAGTTCACTGAACAGTGTTCTGTTGGCGCCTACTAAATGCTGGGCCTGGCTTCCAGCCCCAGGGCTGTGCAGGGCGAATGAGGCGGGATCCCCTTCCTGGAGGAACTCAGGAACTTGTGGCCCAGACACAAGGTTTTCGCTGAGTAAGCGGGCCAGGAGGCTCCGGGAGGAAGCAGGGAGCCGGCGGCCCGTGGGGTGGTGGTGTGGGGCAGAGCGCCGCTGCGAGGGGCCGGCCCGGGACCTGCTCTCCCCCTCGGCCCGGCCGGCAGGAAGCCTCGCGGGGGCAGCGATGAGGAAGTGGGCCCTGCGCGCACAGACGCTGAGCGGTGGCCCGGGGCTGCGGCACCTGTCTGCTCAGAGTGGCGCTGGCCTGCCTCCGGGACGGTCCAAGCCCAGTTCGCTCTGTCAGGCCGACCAGGTCTTCTGGGCATCGCTGGGCGAATCACCCACTGGGAGAGGTCCCCAGAGGAGATGGTCAGAGAGAATGCCTGGGTCAGCTGGGGAAGAGGCAGAGGCTGCGCCTTCTGCAGGTTTGGGGAACACACACACGTACTCACAATTAGCTCTGCGCTGGGTGTGCAGGGGCAGTGTCTGAGACCCCGGGCCTTGCTTTTAGTAGTGCTGCTAAAACTCTTTAACAGGAATGAGACAGAGCAGCCACTTTGGGCCTCTTTATTTATTTAAAATATTATTTAGTTGGCTGTGTTGGGTCTTAGTTGGGGTATGTGGGACCCCCAACTAGGGATCGAACCTGGGGACCCTGTATTGGGATTGCAGAGTCTTAGCCCCTGGGCCACCAGGGAAATCCCAGGTCTTTTTATTATTCCACTTCCTGAAGCAGATGCAGGAAGACTCCCAGAGCAGCATGTATCAGCAGGACTCAGATCCAGCACCCACCCCCAGCCCTGCCGAGGCCCCGAGACCAGCGTGTAGCTCTCGGAGCCTCAGGTGCCTCCTCCTAAGAGATGCAGCCGGGCTTGCGGGCATGTGTGCGTGCGTGCGGGCTTCCTTCTGTGCTTGGCTGACCCAGCGGGGGCGGGACAGGACAGGTGTCCCTGGGGGCTCATGCTGCCGGGGGTGGATGTTGATGGGATTGCAGCAATCCTTATGAGGATTCTGTCGGTCCTTGGAACAGTAGAGGCTGTGGTAAGTGAAGCGGTCTGGGCACTGTGAGCTGTCGGACTGAGGAGTGTCAGGCGGACGCCCCCTCCCTGCCAGTGGCATCGGCCGGGGGGAGAGTGGCCAGCAGTGGCTTCGAGTTGTCTGGGCCTCCCTTTCCTGGCCTACAGACCAGCCCTGATGGTCTCCAGGGTGCTTTGCAGCCGTGCAGCCCTTGTCTCACCAAGCTGAAGGACCGCACGTGATGTGTTTTCTCCGGACGGTGTTCTGGACACCCCTGGGGGCCAGGAGCACTGGCTCGGCCTTCCTCAGCCTCATTCCTGTTGTTGGGTCTCCTCGAGGGGTTGCTCTACCCGGGCATGGGCCCCTTTCTTGTCTCTGGCTTGGGGGCAGCTTGGGGCTTACCCTGAGATGGAGGACAAGGTCAGAGGTGGAAAGGGGAGAGGTGTTCTGGTGGGAGGCTGGCTGGGGAGGGAGGTGGGTGCTGTCGTGCATCTGGAGAGCCGGGACCCCGCCCGTCTCCCTGAAGCGGGGTCGGTCTTGGAGCGGACACCCAGGCCGCCTCTCACCCCCTGCTCTCTCCCCTGCAGGTGTCGGTAAGAGCAGCTTACTGTTACGTTTCGCAGACAACACTTTCTCAGGTGAGTGTGCCCCTGGGGTGCTGTTGGGTGTTTGGGTTTTAAATCCTTTCCCCTGGCATCGGTACACCCTGGTTTCTGCCTCACCAGATGGAAGGGGGGCGTGGCGAGTAGGCTAGAAGTCTCCGTAGTCAGTCTTCAGCTATCTTCTTAAAAAAAAGCTGTTGCAGGCCCATCATTTTTCTACTCAAGGTCTTTTTTTGTGCCCCAACATTGAAAAAAGAAAGAAAAAACTGCCGCTTGGGACATGCCTATGTAAAGAGTCAAACAGGAAGACTCAACTGCATGAAAAGGGAACGCTGCTCCCGGCCCCCGCCCCGCCGTGGGGCCCGCACTGGCGCTCGGTGTCTCCCCTCACCCCCACCTGCACTGGGCGGCCGCTGGCCTCCCCCCAGCACGTCGACACAAGGCCCTGTGGTTCTTTCAAGTGGCTGTGCAGGGGTGCACGTGGTTCATCAACAGTGTTCTTGACGCGCGCGCTTGCTTTCTGGTAGCCTGTCTCAGATGGTGCTGCATTGCTCAGGACACTGCGTTTATTCCTGGGTAGAAGCGGAGTTACGAGGTCGGGGGGTATGTGCTCTTCAGGTTTTCACAGGTCCTGCCCATTGGCCTTTGACACCTGTGCGAAGCTGAAGGGCTCAGAAGAGCCCCTTGTCGGTGCTGATTGCTGCTGTGTTTCAGTGGTCTCTCCATTTTGCTCAGCTGATGGGCGGAAAGTGCTGCCCGTTTGATCTTGTGTCCCCGATCCTGTTGGGCCACGTTTTCATTGGTGGAGCTGAGCTGATCGGTTCAGTGCAGAGGCTTCGGGTTGGCCTGGCCTCTCTGACCGAGGACTGAAGGAATGCCCTTCTATGCCGTGGAGGGAAATGGTTACGTGGCAGGCGCCTCTCTCTCAGGGGAGAGGTGGGTTTCTCCTGACGGTGGTGTGACGTTGGAAAGAGTTATCTTCTTTGCGTCACTGTGAGTGTGACTGAGTTTCAACTCATCTTTAAAAGAGGAGCTGATGACCCTCCCTGCTACGCAGAGTTATTGCAAGGATGGCCCGGGACCAAGTAGGCCCTCAGTAAACATTGCTGGTTTTCCTTGCTCTCCAGGAGTGCTAGCCAGTCGGCACTTGCCCCTGTGCTGGGGACCTTCCCCTCCGCCCTGTCGGCTCGGAGCTCTCGGAAGGCTCTGCTGCGGCCCGTCTCCTCTCCACTCTTACTGCCAGCTCGGACCGTGGTTGGTTCTCACCTGAGTCATCCCAGCAGCTCCTGCCCACCCCATGTCAGGCTGCTGAATTCGTCTTGTCTCTGGCAGGGTTTCTTCTGTTTAAAAACCTCAGCGGACCTCTCTTAAGTGAGCCGAGCTCATAGCAAGGTCTCTCCGCTTTAGGACCACGGACACTGGGCCCTGCAGTTCTTTGTTGTGGAGGCTGTTCTGTGCGCAGAGGGGTACTGAGCCCTCCCCCGTCCTCCACCCCCCACCCAGCTGTGACATGAAAATGTCTCCAGGCATCACCAGGCATCCTGGGGGGCGGGGTTGGGGGGGCCTCAACCAACCCCCGCTGAAAACCGCTGGTCTTCATACTGTGTCCTCAGCTCCCCTGTCCAGCTTCCTTCCTCCTGCTGTCTCTCATTCTCCTTTGTGTCTTCACCAGCTCGCTTGCTCGCTCAGTGGTAGCCGAGTTTCGAGGGCCCACGGCACTGGGTGCTGGGCCGCTCTCCTCAGCGGAACCCAGTCCCCGTGGAGCCAAGGCCATCTTGGTCTCTGTGCTTCTGCCTCCGGCCTTTCCTCTGGCGAGGATGTCCTTCCCCAGCCTGGTCACAGCCTTGGAAATTGTACCTGTTCTTCCTGTCCAGGCCCAAATGTGACTTCTGCCCTAGAGCCTTCCTTGAGCTCCACCCGACTTTGAGCTTTGGCCCTTCCTGGCCACTCTCTACTCTTGATGCAGTCGGTGTGTGTGTCTGCGGCCCCGGGTCACCCTGGCAGCTCCGAAGGGAGTGAGCATGTGGGCTCCTCCTAACAGCGGTCCTCAGCGTTTTGGGCACCAGGGACCAGTCTTATGGAAGACGGTTTTCCCACAGACTGGGTGCGGTGGGGGTTAGGGTTTCAGGATGATTCAAGCGCATTACCTATATTGTGCACTTTCATCCTATTATTGTGACATCGACTCCACCCCAGATCATCAGGCATTAAATCCCGGAGGCTGCGGACCCCTGCTTCCTAGCATTTGGGCCTTTGAAAGCCTGTACGAGACTGTTCTGTCGCCAGAAGTTCTCTCCAGCGCCATCTTTCACACAGATGCCCCTGGAGAGCTATGTACAATGCCGCTCATGCTTGGGTTAAACCCTTCAATGCCTCCCTGTCACACAAGAGAAAGTCCAAGCTCCTGAAAACGGCACAAAAGCCGAGAGCTGGCCTGGAGCCCCCACTCCAACCTGCGTCCCTACATGTGCTCAGCCTCACATCACACACACACACACATTGCTACTTCTGCTGCTGTCTCTTCTGCTGCCTGGAGCAGTTTTTCAGATTGCAGGTTATGACTCTCTGTGTGTGTGTGTGTGTGTGTGTGTGTGTAATTGGGGTATAGTTGATTTACATTGCTGTGTTAATTTCGGGTGTCCAGCAAAGTTAATCAGTCATATAAACACATATATCCACTCTTCCTTAGACTCTTTTCTAGGCCATTACAGAGTACTGAGCAGAATTCCCTGTGCTATACAGTAGGTCCTTATTAGTTATCTATTTTGTATACAACAGTGTGCATGTATCTTGTTTATGTTTTAGAAAGTTAATTTTGTGGGTCACTTAAAATGTTTAGAATGGAGTAGACAAGAGAAACCCAGAGTGTGTCGTGGTCCCCACGGTTCCCAGGCCACTCTGGTGGAGCGTTTCCCTCCGCAGTCAGGGCCCGCTCTCTTATTTCCTTGGTGGCTCATTGCTGTTGAAATTGTCTTCATCACTCTGTTTCATTGTATCCTGTCTCCTGCCCTCACCTTGGGGCTCAGACTCTTTTTTTGTCCAGGGCTGTGTCCTCTAGGCACTTGGAGTGAGCTGGGCAGGGTGGAGCCCAGGGTTACTTGGACTGTTGAGGACACAGTCTGAGCAGGGCGGCCCTGGGCCGCGCTAACGTCCCTGTGTGTGCAGGCAGTTACATCACCACGATCGGAGTGGATTTCAAGATTCGGACTGTGGAGATCAACGGGGAGAAGGTGAAGCTGCAGATCTGGGACACAGCCGGGCAGGAGCGCTTCCGCACCATCACCTCCACGTGAGTCAGGCTGGCCCAGCCCGCTCCGACCCCCGCCCCTTCTTAGACAGACCACCCACCCCCACTCAGACCCCCACCCCCGACGTTGGGAAATGGCTCTGGGCGCCCCCGAGGCTGTGGGGAGTTGCGCTCCTGGCCGGGTATGGCTCTTCCCCTGAAGCCCTGAGACGCGGCGGGTCGGGTGCGGTCCTGCCGTGGCAGGCAGCAGCCTCGCACCTCCCTCTGGGGCTGGCAGGGCAGCGTGCGTCGGACGGCAGAGCCTCTGGTTCCTTTGTCTTTATTTTTTTTAAGATTTGTGTATTTATTTATTTATTTTGGCTGCGCTGGGTCTTGGTTGCGGTGTGTGGGCTTCCCCGTCTGTGGAGCGTGGGCTCAGTGCTTGTAGCTTCATGGAACATGGGATCTTAGTTCCCCAACCAGGGATCAAACCCGTGTCCCCTAGATTGGAAGGCAGAGCCGTAACCACTGGTTCACCAGGGAAGTCCCTCCTTTGTCTTTAAAATGGGGTCACACTGACGGAGCTGGCCTTGCCAGGCGGTCAGACGCTCCGGCAGCGAGGGTGCCCTTGTTTGGTGCCAGCTCGGCTGCCGGGGGTGCCAGCTCTGTCACCACCCCGACGGGGAGGGGGCGTCTCTCTGCTGGGGCCCAGAAGGAGCACTGGTGGGTAGGAGGCTACTGGGCGGCCCCTCCTCTGCCTCCCAGGCTTTTGACTGGGGACCCAGTGCGCCCTGGAGGCTCCCCTGGTGGCTCAGATGGGAACGAATCGCCTGCAATGCAGGAGACCTGGGTTCGTGCAGTCCTGGGTCGGGAAGATCCCCTGGAGGAGGAACCCACTCGTGTATTCTTGCCTGGGAAATCCCAGGGACAGAGGAGCCTGGCGGGCTACAGTCCGTGGGGTCGCAGAGTCGGACACGACTGAGCGACGAGCAGACCCGCTCACCCTGGGGGCCGCCCTCCTTTTCGTTCTCCGCTGTGAGCGGGAGGAAGCCTGGCTGGGGCACCAGACTGCAGGGTCCTGTGGAGTGGCTCTTAGTTCCTGGGCTATTATTGGAACAGGTCCCGGGAAAGAACAGGGCTTTGAAGGCAGGCAGTTCGGGATTTACATTTCTGCTCCCCGTGTGACCTTGGGCAAGTTGCTTAAAGTCTCTGTTCTCTTGTTTCTCAGGGGGCTTGTCTTCGGGGTTTGCAGTAATGCCAGGTCCCGGGTGCTTGGGCTGCAGGTGGAAGACTCCGTGGAGCCCCCTGCAGTTGGTGTTCTCATTGCCCCGGTTTTACGGACGGGGGGAGCGTCTGAGGGGTGTGTGCAGAGTAGGAGCCGGGCAGCCCGGAGCGGCTGCTGCTCCCCCGGCCTCTCCTCTGCCTCCCGCAGCAGGTCCTGTGTGAGGGGCTTTCGGGGAGGCGCCACCAAGGTCCCTCTCCTCCCTGTGGGGTGGAGGCGGGCGGCCCCCAGGCTGGCCGCCCATCGGGGCTGCCGAGCATCCCAGGGGTGTGAGGTATGGGGGTGAAGACCCCCAGGCTGGTGGCTGGGAGTGCGGGGGAACCAGGGGTGCCAGCCGGGTGGACTGGTGAAGGGGGCTTGGGGGCCGGAACCTAAACCGCCCTGGAGCAGGAGGGGGTCCAGTCACCGGGCCGGCCCTGAGACGAGCACGCGCACCGTGATCCGCGCCTCCCCGAGAACCCGGGGGTCCCCAGTCCTGGGGGCTTCGCAGGGCAGGTTTCTGCAGCCACCTCCTGATGAGCTGCCTGAGCCCCCTTGTGTCAGCGGCTGCCAGCGAGGCCCGAGCTGAGGGGCAGCTGGAGTCGAGGCTCCCGGGGTAGTCGGGTGCCGTGAGCTTGGGCAGGCTTCCAGGCCTGGATGTGTCGCGAGGTGTGGGCACTGACCAGGGGTCCTCCTCTCGGCCAGGACTGTCACCAGGGACTGTGGCTGCTTCATCTCGGTTAATCCCGGTAAAGAGTCCTGTGATTCTCTCCAGTGTACGGACAAGAAAAGTGAGGCCCACAGAGGGTGGAGGGACCTGGCTTGGTCAGTTAGGCAGGAGTTGAATTGAGGTCTGCCCGATGCCAAGGCTCTTGAGTTTAACTCAGCCGTGCCCCAGCTGTTTTGGCACCAGCAACCAATTTCGTGGAAGATGGTTCTTCCTCGGCCTGGGGGTGGGGGGGATGGCCTGGGGATGGTTCAAGCACGTGACATATACTTTTTAAATTTATTTATTTATTTGGCCGTGTTGGGTCTTCACTGAGGCATTCGAACTCTCAATTGTGGCATGTGAGATCCAGTTCCCCGACCAGGGATCGAACCCTGGCCTCCTGCATTGGGAACACAATCTTAGCCACTGGACCAGCAGGGAAGTGCTGCACGTGACGTTTACTGTGCTCTTTATTGCTAATCTAATGCCGCCTCTGATCTGACAGGAGGTGCTGGTCCGCGACCCGGAGGTTGGGGACCGCACTTTAACGGGTCCACGGCCCTGCCCTCTGCTGGCCCCCCACCCCCAGGGACCAGGGCTGCACCAGTGGCAGATGCTGTGGTGGCTCCTGTGAGTTAAAACCAGCCGAGGATGCTGGGCCTGTGGCCGCAAGAGATGCTCCAGGCCGGGCAGCAGGCTGGGGTCAGCTCCCTCCAGGGCAGCAGGAAGGGGCTGAGCTGCCTCCTTCATCCTTTGGAGGAATTGGAGTTCCTTGGCCACCTGAGGGCAAGCTGGGTTTGTCCCAGGGGCTGGGGGAGGGGTGCGCTGCACTGGGGGGGTGGGTGTTGCTGAGGGAAGGAGCTGGGAGGAGGTCAGGGGTGGGACAATCTGGGGGCAGTGGCGTGGCCCTTTCTGATTCAGGGCTCTAAAAGAGAAACTGAAACTGCATCCTGTCCGCCTGTGAGAACGAACGCCCTGTCGTCCCCTCACCGATTCTTGCCTGTGGCGGCTGGGGTTTGCTGACCCCAAGCGGTGGGGCTGGGGGTGCGGGTCGGGTGGTGGTGGGAGAGGCCTTGGCTTCCAGCAGCTCCTTCACCCAGCCTGTCCTCGCGGGGACGTGGTGGCCTCCCGTCTGTGGCAGCGGCTGAGTAGCGAGCCTCGCGGGCGTGTTGACACAGAGCCAGGCTGTGGCACGCGGACCTGGTGCCCGATGGTGGAGGAGTGGGAGGCCCGGTGCCCTAACCCCGAGTCCCAGACTGGCCCGCCCCCCGCCGTTTCTCGGCATCTTCGGTTGTCTTCAACAAAGGAGGGTTGGGAAGCGCAGCCCGCTGTTTGCGTGTCTGTTGCTGGCAGGGGACAGTTGTCTCCCTCCTCTCCCCGTTTCCCGGCTTGCTCTCCTGCACCTGCTCAGGTGGGCGACCCCCAGCTGGACCCAGGTGATGATCAGCGGGGAAGGAGGGGCGGGGTGTGGATGGCTCGGTTGTTCAGGCTGCCCAGGAGAGGGCTCTGTCCCCAGGAAGGCAGAGCTGTGGGCGGGTGACGCGCCAGGGGACGTGAGCCGGGGTCTCGGTGGAGAGCGGGCGGCTCTTGCCACCTTGGTGGCCAGCCGGAGGGAGCCGCCCTCAACGCCCCTGGTTTTCTCCGGCCTGCGTGGGCCGGGTGTTGCTGAGGGACTGTTCATGGCGACGATAATAAGAGCTGGCCCTTGTGGAAGCGTGCTTTATCGCCTTAGCCATACAGCCACCCCCAGAGTTAGGTCCTGGTACCCCCGTTTTACAGTTGAGGGAACCAGGGCGCCATGAGGTGCGCGCAGTAACCTCCCCAGGTCCACGCCGCCTTTCAGAGATGGAGCTCGGTTGACGTTGTCGTGTGATGGGGCTGTGAGGAGTGTGCCAGAGCGCTGCCGGGCGGGCGGCTGAGAACGCGGTGCACGTGCGGCCCGGCCGGCTCCGGCCTCGCGGGGCCTCTGTTGCCTCAGGACTGCCACTGGCGAGGGCTTGCTGTCCTGCGGGCCCAGGAGGTGGGGGCGCTTCGGGCTGGCTCGGGGAGGCTGCTGTCCACCCCTGAGCCCATCTCTTGTGGGCAGGGGGTCTTCCCCCCTCTCAGAGGCTCCTGTGAGTGTCTCCACATGCCGGGTGAGGTGACGTGTTGGCCGCTGGGTCAGAGCTGGCTCTCTGGAAGAGCATGAGGCCCGTGCTCCGCGTCTGTCCCCCTGAACTTTTGAGGCAACCCCTCCTGCCTGAAGCCCTTGCTGCTGACCTCAGGCCCAGCCTGGACATGCCTGGAGTGGCAGGAGGGCAGGTGCCCACCCACCCCCCAGGGTGTGAACAGACCTTGGCAGGCCTCACAAGTGGCGCCTGTCTTTGAAATGGCATTTTACTAAGACAGATTTGAGGACAGAAAAACTTTCCTGGATGTTAAAGAGCACAGTGATAATATGCTGTCAAATGCAAACCTTGCCTGAGTATTTTCTTTTTGTGTGTGTTTGCCTGGCTATGCCAGGTCTTGGTTGCGGCGCACGAGACCTTCAGTTGTAGCAGTCGGGGGCCGTAGTTGCGGCCCATGGGATCTGGTGCGCTGAACCGTCAGGGAAGGCCCCATTGCCTGAACTTGAAAAATGAAACAAGAACTTAAGTTTCATGCTGTCCGCAGCCTCTGAACAATCTGGCTGACCCCACAGGGCCAGGTGCTCCCTACGCACCACGCCTGGGTAGCAGGGTGAGCAGCAGTGCTGACCAGGCCCCGACGGCCAGCTGAGGCCTCCAGGCCTGGGGGGATGCACCGGCCCCTCGCCCTCCCCACCCATGGTCAGTGCGGGCTGGCGGGTCCTGCGAAGGGGCTGCCCTTGGTTACGCCGCAGCTCTGACACCGACCCTGGTCCCACAGGTATTATCGGGGGACCCACGGGGTCATCGTGGTCTATGACGTCACCAGCGCCGAATCCTTCGTCAACGTGAAGCGGTGGCTTCATGAAATCAACCAGAACTGTGACGACGTGTGCCGGATCCTAGGTGAGGCGGGCTGGGCAGTGGGCGGGGCGGCCTGGGGCCGGGCGGGGCGGAGGACAGCGGGGCTGGGGGCCTGGGCTGACTCTGCCCTGCCTTCCAGTGGGGAATAAGAACGACGACCCTGAGCGCAAGGTGGTGGAGACGGAAGATGCCTACAAGTTCGCTGGGCAGATGGGGATCCAGTTGTTTGAGACCAGTGCGAAGGAGAATGTCAATGTGGAAGAGGTGAGGTCCGCGCCGGAAGGGATGGGAGCACAGGCACAGCCCCCTGGGGGTAGCCAACAGACAGCATTGTTGTAGCGGCCACTGATCGAATGCCTGCTGTGTGCGCCAGGCTCTGCGCCCAGGCATCCCCCTGCCAGGGCCACCTCGCACCTCAGCGGTCCTGAGGGAGAGGCTGCCTCAGACGTGGGCCTGCCCCCACAGCCGGGCGCAGGTCCTCTCGGTCCTCCTCACCCCCCACTATTCCCTCTCCCGGTTCTCCGGCTTTCTTTCCCTGGACCTTGGCCTGCAGAGCTCGGGTGGGTGTCCAGGCCGGCCCCGAGCACACCCCAGGCAGGCTGAGTGCCACTTGTGCTGGGGCTGCTGGAAGCACTTGGGAGCCTCGGGGAGGGTCCTGCCGGTGGGGATGGAGCCCAGAGCTCCGGGAAGCCGATCCCGCTTGCGTCCTGGGACACAGGATGCCCAGCAGTGGGGACCCCGGGCCCCTGTGTCCGGCTGGGGTCACACCGTGGGCCTTTCCCCCGGGGTCTGTGGTGGGACCCTGAGCCCTTTGCAGGTTTCCCTGTTCTCGTGTAGGTTGGAGTGGGGTGAGCCCTGCCCCTAGGTTGTCCTTGATTCCTCCCCGGGAGTGGAGTGAGCTGGGGGTGGTCTTGCGTGGTCTGGGGAAGGTTCTCAGCGGGACGTGTGGTGAGGTAGCGTGGAGTGGGCAGACTCTGGCTGTTTCTGGTTCGTCATCAGTGCAGGGGCACCTTTATTTGTGTCGTCCGAGGTGTCAGCCGAAGGAAAAGAGCTCTTTATCCTTTCACAGAAAGGCTGGAGAATCCCTGAGGCTGACTTCCCTGAGACACAGCTCAGAGGTCTTTGATGCTTTTCCTTTCTGACCTCTGTCGTTCACTGCCTACTTCAAGATGGGCTTGAAGACAGATGTGCAGAAACAGCCCCCAGTGGACTGGAAGGCTGGCCCCAGGGAGGCGGGAGGGGCCACGCTGACCAGCAGAGGGGGCACAGCTGTGACAGGGCCTCATCCCCGCTCTGAGGCCGCCCTGCCTCCTTCACCCTCACAGATGTTCAACTGCATCACAGAACTGGTCCTCCGGGCAAAGAAGGACAACCTAGCGAAACAGCAGCAGCAACAACAGAATGACGTGGTGAAGCTCACGAAGAACAGTAAACGGAAGAAACGCTGCTGCTAATGCCCCCAGCCCACTGCAGAGACTGCGCTGCGGCCGCGCCCCCTGCCCCGGGCCGGGGGCTCCTCTCCTGGGGGACAGTCTCAGTTCCGTGCTGTTATTTAAAGAATTCTCTCCATGTTTTTGTACCGGGAGGCGCCGTCGGGACTTCCTCCCCGCCCCCTCGAGTGCCAAGAAGGTGTGGGACGGCCTGCCCTTCCCTTCCGGCGCCCCTGCCCCCCGGCGAGGACGCTGCCAGCCGAGCGGACTGATTAACCGGAGTCTGTACATAGTGTATATCGCTTTAACCAGCGCGCTGCCCTCGTCCTCCGGCTTTTGCCTCCTTCGTGCCAGCCTGCTGCGACACCCCCTCCCCTCCCCACCTCACCCCAACTTACCGCCAGCAGCTTCCGGAGAGGACAGGATCACGTTCTAGAACACGTACCTTTTGCCAACCTGGGCTGGTGCCGTGGGCTCCACGGGACTCGTTCCCTCTTGCAGGCGTCGGCGTCTCCCCTGCATGGAGGGCCCACCCCTGCCCCTCCCCATCCTGCCTGTCACCGCCGGCAGCTGGGGGATCCCGCCTTGAGGTGGGCCCAGGGGTCCCCCTGGAGGCCTGGCCCTTTGCTTCCAGAGGAGGGATCGCTCCTGCCCTTTGGCCCACAGATTTTTTGTCCTGCCTTCCAGACACCTCAGCTACAACCCAGGGGAGCCGTGGCTTCTGACTTATATATACCAACCTGTTTGGGTTCCAACAGAAAGGTAGGGGTGTGTTTGTGCACGGATGGGCTTGCCGGTGGGGGGGCTGCTAAGGAGCGTCATTTTAACAGATAAAAGTGAAGCCAAATCAAATGAATTAAGTTCCTTATACTTTTTTTTCTCTTCCTGAGGTTTGGTTGGCACAGCAGCAAAAGTTGCGGCCTCCCCACTCTGGGTCCAGTGTTTTTAGAAAAAACGAATGGCTTCCTGTCACCGCGGAGCTGGGCTCCTGGCCGAGAAGCTCTGCCTTTCTGGCTATTTGTTGATGGGAAAGGAGGGGCCTCCCTTGGAGTCCTGGGTCTCCAGTGAGCACCCGGCACTCCTCAATGTGGGGAGCGGGTGTCGGGCTGCTGGGCCCTGGGGATGGTGCCTCTGAGCTGGATGCAGGCAGCCTTGGGTCCCTAACGGGACTGTTTTAGTACAAAGGCAGCATGAGAATTTCTTGGCGGGTGATAAGGAGTGGCCGCCTGGGCTGGGTGCCAGCCGTGACTTGCCCTGGTGCCCTTGGAATGACGACCAGGGTCTTCTGCACGTCATTACGGTCACTCCCTCTCCCCCTCGAGACACTTCACTCACCTTTCCCCTGAAAGATCATGTAACCTGGGAATAATTTATTTTAGCACCACGATGTGTTTTACTAGATTTCCTTTCTTAAGCGATTTCCAGGTCAAGCCCTGATTGGACAATCACATCATAGATTCACTGCAGATTTCCCATGTCACTGTTGATGGGTTTTTAATCAATAAAAACTGGGGGTTTCTTCTGACGTGTATCTCCACTTCCCCCAGACTGCTGAAAGCCCGCGGTTCTGGGTGACAGACTTTGCTCACTCTGGAGCCATGGGACGAGGTGGGGGTGCTCCGGGCCTGGGGAGGCGGGACTGGGGGCTGGCAGTAGGCAGCCCTGTCGGATTGGGTGCGTGGGGCCACAGCACGGTCTCCATCCTCAGGACTGTCCCAGCCACCCTGGGTCCCCGGAGGATGTGGAGACTCGGGGCTCGGCCCTGAGCGTCCAGGTGACGCCGCTGCGGCAGAGCTCGCAGATCTAGGCAATAAGGTGGGGGGCCTGCAAGTTTCCAGTGCGGGCGAGAAGCTCCGTGGCTTCCGGCTGCTGGGCACCCCGGCCCAGGTCGGGGGAGATTCGGTGATGGCAGCGTGCCCGTCCGAGGAGTGTGTCACGCATGAATGGGGGGTGGGGGTGGGGACTCAGGGCTGGACCGGCATCCTGGTGGACCTGATGTGAACTTCCTGTCAAACAACAACACTTTTAAATGGTTTGCTAGGATTATTTCTGTATTGAAAGTTTCTAATTATGCTTTTTAAAAAAAAATACTAAAAATAAAGGTTCAAGCTGCCAAATTTTCTTGCAGGGTCTGTTTGCTCTCCTCCAGCTGTGCCCCGGGTGGGCCTGGATGCTCCCCACCCGTTGCATCCAGCCTTTGTTCTGGTCTGAGTCCCGCACGGGTGTCCGTCGAGGCCCAGGGACACTTTCAGAAGCCAGAGTGGCTCTGTCTGCGAAAGGTGGGTCCAGGTTGAGCTCCCCCCTCTGACTGCAGCACACACGCCAGGGAAGGTGCCGTGTTTCTTCTGGAAGGATGTGCCTATAGTGACTCCTTTCTACCTCGAGGTTACTGCCGAGCTGTTGGGCCTGCCTGGGGCTTGGTCAGTGGCGCTGGCAGGGCCTGCCTGCCTGGAACCGGGCAGCTGTAGTGCTGGCTGGGAGCCCGGGGCCGGGGTAGACTTTGCCCCTTGGGTCACCGCTCACAAAACAGCTGTCACTGATGCCTGCCTTCACCCTCCAGGTGGGGTGTGTGTGTGTGCCTCTTCCGGGCTGACTCCACTGATTTGGTACCAACATATGAGGTGACCTCCCAGGTGTGTGGGGTACTCTGCCTTTGCATAACCAACCAGCAGATCGAAACTGTACACTGCCTTCTGCCCAGACACCGCCCCAGGTACCCAGTGACTGAGGCAGGAAGCTCTGTAGAAATTTATTTTATTCTTAGACTATTTTCAAAAGAAGCAGTGGTGTGCTGTTTTTCTAAAAATATGCCTTTATAGATTCATATATAATATGTATGTTATAAAATCCATACATGTATTTACATGGCTGCTACATACAAAATTACAGCACTGTGTGTACAGCACTGTGTCTGTACATATCTGTAGGTACATTCTTTCCACGCATCCCTGCTGTGCTTTCCCCGTGAGGGAGGGAGATGATCCTTGTAAAGCAGCTTGAGGGCGGCCTCAGCCCGGTGCCTCTTGAGTCCGAGTCGGGGCCTCAGCAGAGAAGGTGAAGCGGTTGCTGAGGACGAGCAGGAGTGGGAGGTCACTGGGGTAACCTTCCGTGGGCCTGGTGGGCAGTTTCTGGAGGCATCCACCCTGTGGAGTCGACGCTGCCTGGCGGCGTGGCTGAGCGCAGACCCCTGTGGAGCCGTCCTGTGGCCTGGACGTGCTCGGCCGAGCCGAGAACTTGTGTATGTGGAGGGCCGGGGGGCCCTCTGCCCAGCGCCGGGAAGGGGAGAGGGCTGAGCTGGCAGAGGGCCCTGCCAAGGAGCAAGGCCTGCAGCAGAGCGTGGGGAGGAGGCCCTGCTTCCTCTGAGGCTGGGGGCGGCCTCTGCCGCAGCCGGTCCCGCTGTGGCCAGAAGGGCCAGCCATCAGGCCCATAGGCTGGGGCTCCGGGCCCGGAGGCGCATGCATGCCGGTGAGGGGCCGCCTCCTGGGCCGGGGCTGTGGGAGGACAGGGTCCAGGCCCAGTGCCTGGTGCCCAGCAGGACGAGGCTCCCACAGCGGGCAGCTGGGGCCTCGGGTGTGCAGAAAGGGCCTCTGCTTCTCTCCCCGCTCCAGAGCAGAAGGGCAGCGGTGCCTGGAGCCGGGCACGGCAGCCGCTCTGGAAGCAGCCTGAGCCCCGCTCCACGGCAGTGGACCCCAGGGCGGGCCTGGCAGTGGGGACATGGCTCGGGCTGCCCCAGTGAGAGCCGCCTTCAGAGGCGGCGGAGCCTCCTGAGGACGTGGCCCCTGGGCAAGTAGGCAGTGCGGCCGCTGAGCCCGGCCCAGCGCGGCGGGACTGGCGGGTGCACGTGCTGCCCTGGGCCCTGGCCCACACCCCCATTTGAGTCGGCGTCAGTGTGCCTGTCCTCGCTGGCCTGACTCCTCCGGGCTTAAATCTTCCTGAAGAACGAGAAGAGCCGTTTGCCTTCGGCGGTGCTGGGCTCGTCCCCACGCCCCAGGCCTGGGGCCCGGGAGGGTGCGGCAGCAGGCCGGCTCCGTTCCTTCAGGTGCGTGTCCATCAGCTGCCTGTCAATGACCCTGTGCATGTCATCCTGAGGGCAGACGGGTGGGGTAAGGACGCTGAGCCGGCGTGGGACGGGCCGGGGAGGCGGCGGATTGGGGCAGCACGAGAGGAGAGGATGGAGGGGAACATGAGCGAGCGGCTGCAGCCACGGCTGCCCTGACCCAAGACCAAGCAGCACTGAGCGGGGACGTGACAGCCCGCCCTCCTGGTCTCCCGGGGCTTGGTTGGCTGCGCGGTGTTACTCCCGGGCCGACCCGGGATCAGGTGTGTCTCCCGGGAGCAGCCGCCGCTGGTGCCCGTCTGTCACCCCGAGCCCTGCTCAGCCTGTGGGCGGCCCCTCGACCCTGCTGCCTGTGTGTCTGGGGGCCGAGTGCGCCCCCCTCACCTGGTCCCCCTCCGCAGCCCCCCAGCCTCACAGCCTGGCCTCGGGCTCTTCTCGCCCCTCTGCCCCCTTCAGGCTCCTACCAGCCCAAGCTGCCGGTGCCCACATGCCCCTGGCAGGCCCACGTGCAAGGCCAAGGCTCCAGGTGCCTCCTCGCTCGGCCCCCACGGATGGGGCCCCGTTTGGTGGAGGCTGGGGCGGCGCCGTGTTCGAGGCTTGTCGACCTCCAGCCTAGGCGCTCCTCAGTGAGGCTGCGCCTCTCCCTCCAGTGAGCTAACGCTGCAGAGGAGATGCTCCCTCCACCCCGACTTCGCCTCCCAGAACCAGATCTTACCCCACGGCCGCTGCTGGACAGAGCGGCTCCGCTCTCCTCGCTGGACTGAGTCTGTGCAGGACAGAGGCGTCCTGCCGTTAACAGACCATGAAAAGTCCTGGTTTAGAAACAAGCAGCCCTTTCTAACATCAGCCGGGAACACAGCATTGGCCCAGCTGCTTTACCCTAAAGCCAGGGGTAGGGGGGTGGGCTCTGCGATGTCCTGGTGAAAAGACCGAGCCGCGGGCTGAACGCTGGAGGAGTCAGCTGCCGTGTGCACGCGCAGAGACGCAGAGGCCGCGTGTGGCGGGCGCTCCTGAGACCGGGGCAGCCGCTCCCTCGGTGAGCACAGGAAGAGGGCCGGCTGGGCCGCTGGCTGGCCAGCTTGTCCATCACCTCCCACACACCTACGCTCGCAGTCACTCAGATGTCTGCAAGTTTCCATGTGAAACTTGGGGACTTTTCCTAAGCGTGTCACCAGGTGGCGGCAGGCAGACCCCTCGCTCATGTCCTGCTCTCCTGCCTTCCTCCCCTCCCCCCTTCTTCACATACAGCTTCCTACCTACACCCCCTCCTCATCAAGTGACATGGTCCTCACTCTGAAGGTCCCAGTGTCAAATCCTCGGCCCAGTGCTCTGTTCTTGGGACGTGCGCCATAAGATCTACATTAAATGCAACTGTAGGAACGTCACAGGGTCCTTCAGAGAGAAACCCTTTCAAAGCTGCCAATGTTTTTTCTGGTACATTGCAAACTGCATTTTTTTGTACTGTAAGATTCAGCAAAGTAATTCCATGAAATCTATCACATCAAACCTCGACAGACACACAAGCTGCTCGAACTCCATGCTGGGTCACGTCCATAAAACAGCCATTTGTGAGGAGATGGAACCAACGAACCAGCGTCGGCCGGGTCAGCCTGTCGGGACCGGGCCACGTGCTGCCGCGCTTGCGCTCACGAACGTGACGGTGGAGGGAGGGGGAGGCCGGGCGCGATGGCATGGCACACGGACGAGATGACGCCGGCACCGACACACATGACATGGTGAGCATGAGGGAGCGGTGGGGCGGGACCATGATGGCGGGAGAGGAGAGGTGAGGGGGTGGGGGCTTGAAGAGCTCACCTCAAAGGCAGGAGGGGTGTACAACTAAAGCTGTTGATACGGGAACTGAGAAAGGCCACTAGATCAGAAACCAAAGGAGCCAGATAGTAAAAAGCCCTGAGGAAGCAAACTGTAGCCGAGAGAAAAGAGAAGAACAGACGCGGTGAGCCAGGACACAGCGGGCTGGGAGGCGGGGAGCAGCTCTTGGGTTGGGGGGACCCTGGCGCTCCTGCAGCCAGCCAGGCAGGACCCTGGAGGAACAGTCACTTCTAAGCTGCCCCCTGTGAGGGGCTTGCCTGGGAAAGCTGCAGGGGTCTTTTCATCTGTCCAGTTAGGATTTCTTGGGGAGAAACATGAATGGTTACACCCATATCCTGAAATTGTACTTCCCTAATCTCATTAACAAAAAGCAAGTCATGGCCCTGGCCCAGTGGGGAGCGCGTCGGGGGCCTGGGACAGGGCAGGCTGATGGGACTCTGACACCATGGTGCTAGAGAAGGACATACTGAACTGACTCACTTTCCCCAGACCTGCGCCGGGACGGTGCTCTGTGGAAGAAGGAAGCTGGCCTCTGAGAAAGGGAAGAGCAGCGGCCGCTGATAACCCAAGGGTGCCTGAACGACATGCATCCAGTAATGAATTTCCAGTCAGTCACACAGGGCTTCCTGGGCCCTCCACGTCGACAGCAGTGTCTTTAGAGCTAATTTCAACAAGGCCAAGACAAGCGGCTGAAGGAGGCCCCTGTTCAAGCCTGGAGGTCAGCATAGCCGGGTTCCTCGCTCTAGAAAGTGGCTTCCTCCAGGCACTCAGGGCCTGGATTCACACAGTGAAGACGGATCACTGCTCACCCGCACACACGGGACCCTCCAGTAACAAACCCATCCTTACACTCAGCCTGGGTTCACAGACTCTTTTACCTGCCAAGCCTCAAGCTGCTGCGAGAGGTTCAGTTTCTGCTGAATGGCATCCAGCAGCTGGCTGTTGAGAGACATCATGTCCATCTTGCACTTGGCGAGTTCCAGCTCCACAGCGTTCTTCCTGGAAACACACAAGCTGGGATGAGCGCTGACACCCTGTGCCAGAGCATCAGGTCCTCTGCCCGGGGCACCTGGTGTTCGTGTCTCTGACCCCAAACTCACAACAAACAGTAACTGTAGCTACAGTGTTACTTCCAGAGGCCTGGAAAGTTGGGCAACATGCTTTCATACACATTTTCTCAACCTTCATAAACAAGCTGTAGGTGAAAGGATTATCTGACATCGCCATTGTGAAGTGACTGAGAGAGAAGGATACTTAAGTCAGGACTGGAACCCAGAGATCAAAGACCTCTCTCAGCACTAAGGGGCTGCTGCCTTCATCTTTCCCCCAAAATACCAGTCCCCACGGAAGTTGGACTTAACCCACTGGTGCCCCCTTTCCACTAGCAACCCCTTCTTCTGAGGGTGTGTGCAGTGGTAGCTACGCTGCTGCAGAGCTCAGCTACTCACTGTAGCCAACAATCAGGGGGCCCGGGGCAAAGTATATGATGGAACACAGTCACCTGCCGGTAACAACCACAGTGTTGAATATTTACTGACAGTGGGGAAACACTTGTGATTTATGCTGAGTGTAAAAAAGAACCAAGAGACAAGATCACATATACTAGCTTTGTACAAGAAAACCTGCCTGTGTATATTTGAAGGTCACACCCAAAAATGTCTACTTGGTTCTCTTGGGATGATGACCATTGATGAGTAATTGCTCCCGCACTTCTGCATTTTGTATTTTCACATTTTGATGTGTTTTACATACTACTTTGTTCACCTTCCCCAGCATTCCTAAACCATGATGGTTCAATGCAAAAGGTAACTGCAGGGATACCAAGTAATGGGGATAAAGTGGCAGAGCCTTAGCTGGGCAGCTTCTATAAGGTGGCAGTGGTTGTCCAGCTGCCAAATGAGTATTTAGCCCTTCAGGGACTGATACCGTTCACATTAAAAGGGCAAAACTAAGACGGCTCTCATCACACAGGGCCACAGACCAATGTGCATGGCCTTGTGAGGACCCACCCTCAGGGGCTGCTCAGCCCCCATCAAAGCCAAGCTCGACTACAAGGCAGCTGGGGTGAACCGTTCGGGCCACCGCGCGACCAGCACTTCCTCTGTGGCTTCAAGTCTACAGAGCAGTTGGTCAGCGACCTCGACACCCCGGGGCTCCAGGACAGCGCCCTGCCCACCCATCCCAGACGCTCCAGACCGCTCGCAGCGGGCCCGCCCACCCGCACTGCGGCTGCCGGGACATGAGCTGAGCCTGGCCAATGAGCGCCAGTGTCTCAAATGCCGCACACTGCTCCCGTCACGGCCGCTGCCATTGGCTGGTCGCGAGCGGCGGAAATCCTTGCCTGGCGCCGGTTGCCACGGACGCCCCGGCTGGCCCACCCCACGGTGGGCAGGTGCCCCACGGCAGGGAAACCTCCTGAGCTTACAGGCGTCTCCCGGCAGGTGGCGCCACGAGCAGCCTGAAGACCCCGGAATGTGCTGACTAACGCCGCAGCCGGAGTGGCACAGGTCCAGGGGCAACTGCAGCCCGCCGGGCACAAAGGGGAACCCTTTCCTTCCGGAAGGCCCTCGAGCTGGGCCTACCTTGGGGGCCTAGGTGTCAGTCACAGCCTGGGACGGCACCCTCAGAACGTTTGCTCACTAGGTCATCTTGGAGCTTATCATTCATGAGAAAGCACAAAACAAGAATAACAAAGCTGCAGAAGCCCCTGATCAATACATTAATCAGTTTTAAAAAGGAATATTTCAAAGGGCTAGGTGAATTCCTTGTATAAATTAAACCACTAGCAACTAAGCCCTCTGCTTGTGTAAGGCAGATGCCAGCCCAGGATTTCTTCTCACTGAGGACCTTTCACCTGCAAGGAGATAAAATTGTTAACTTTTCTGAACACCTTAAGGTTTTTGCTGTCCAGTGAAGAGAGGGAAGTTATTCTTCTTGGGGGAGAGTCTCATCCTTATTGTATATTAGAATCATGGGGTGGGAGCTGCCCCCAGCCCAGAGGTTCAGACTGAAGAATTGTTCTGGAGAGGGCCCTGGGGTTGGAGGCGGGGAAGATTCTAAAATGCAGCCAAGATCGGAGATGATGTATATAAAGCTCTCACAGCCCTACACAAATGTATGGTTGCCCCACACTTCAATGATTCCTTAGGTCTCGTCTGAATTCTGTATACCCGGAATTTCATTTGTGAGGGACAGAGAAAGAATCCTCCTGGAGTGGTCTAACACTCTAAGGGCAGGGCCAGGAAGGACAGGGCCTCACTCCAAAACCCTTCTTACTCAGGAGGGAGAACTCACAAATCTGTTCAGTCATACTCCAGGAGGTTGACTCGGCCTCTGCGGGCAGCAGGTGAGGGCATGCATTTCAAGGTTTCATGGAGACTTGGTAATTTCCTGTCACCCAGGTGCTGGAGCTAGGTGCACTCATTTTAGTGGAGGGGACTGGACAACTTGTTTCTTCTGCTCTCCTACACCCTGGCACTTTCTCTGGCTGTATCCCCACCTCCTATGCAGATGGAGGGTGGTCAGAGCCCGATGGCCAGCTCTCTTCTGTTTCTCTAGCTGAGAGAAGCTGACAAACCAGACTCTACTTCTAACTTACTGGGCTTCCACCATTAGCACCCTAATTTTACCATTTTATTCCCTAATTATTTGACACAATTTCACCCTTTGTTATTCATAATAGTATGGTCTCACTCCACAATACCACACTGCTATTCAACAACACAAGAGACGACTCTACACATGGATATCACCAGATGGTCAATACTGAAATCAGACTGATTACGTTCTTTGCAGTCAAAGATGGAGAAACTCTATACAGTCAGCAAAAACAAGACCAGGGGCTGACTGTGGCTCAGATCATGAACTCCTTATTGCAAAATTCAGACTTAAATTGAAAAAAAAATAGGGAAAACCACTGGGCCATTAAGGTGTGACCTAAATTAAGTCCCTTAGAGTGGAAGTGACAAACAGGTTCAAGGGATTGAATCTGATAAACAGAGGGCCTGAAGAACTATGGACAGAGGTTCATAACATTGTACAGGAGGCAGTGATCAAAACCATCCCCAAGAAGAAGAAATGCAAAAAGGCAAACTGGTTGTCTGAGGAGGCCTTGCAAATAGCTGAGAAAAGAAGAGAAGCGACAGGCAAAGGAGAAAAGGAAAGATAAACCCATCCAAATGCAGAGTTCCAAACAATAGCAAAGAGAGATAAAGCCTTCCTAAATGAACAGTACAAAGAAATAGAGGAAAATAATGGAGTGGGAAAGATAAGAGATCTCTTCAAGAAAAAGAAACACCAAGGGAACATTTCATGCAAAGACTGGCACAACAGACAGAAATGGTAGGGACCTAACAGAAGCAGAAGATATTAAGAACAGGTGGGAAGGATACAAAGAAGAACTGTACAAAAAAGATCTTCATCACCCAGATAACCATGATGGTGTGATCACTCACCTAGAGCCAGACATCTTGGAGTGCGAAGTCAAGTGGGCCTTAGGAAGCATCACTATGAACAAAGCTAGTGGAGGTGATAGAATTCCAGTTGAGCTATTTCAAATCCTAAAAGATGATGCTGTGAAAGTGCTGCACTCAATATGTCAGCAAATTTGGAAAACGCAGCAGTGGCCACAGGACTGGAAAAGGTCAGTTTTCACTCCAATCCCCCCAAAAGGCAATGTCAAAGAATGATCAAACTACCATACAATTGCACTCATCTCACACACTAGCAAAATAATGCTCAAAATTCTCCAAGCCAGGCTTCAACAGTACATGAACTGAGAACTTCCAGATGTTCAAGCTGGATTTAGAAAAGGCAGAGGAACCAGAGATAAAATTGCCAACATCCGTTGGATCACAGAGAAAGCAAGATAGTTCCAGAAAAACATCTACTTCTGCTTCATTGACTACACTAAAGCCTTTGATTGTATGGATAGCAGCAACCTGTGGAAAATTCTTCAAGAGATGGGAGTACCAGACCACCTTACCTGCCTCTGTGAAACCTGTATGCGGGTCAAGAAGCAACAATTAGAACCGGACATAGAACAAAGGATTGGTTCCAAATTAGGAAAGGAGTACATCAAGGCTGTATATTGTTATCCTGCTTATTTAACTTATATGCAGAGTACATCATGAGAAATGCCCGACTGGATGAAGCACAAGCTGGAATCAAGATTGCTGGGAGAAATATCAATAAACTCAGATGCAGATGACACCAACCCTTATGGCAGAAAGTGAAGAGAAACTAAAGAGCCTCTTGATGAAGGTGAAAGAGAAGAGTGAAAAAGCTGGCTTAAAACTCAACATTAAAAAACTAAAGATCATGGCATCCAGTCCCATCATTTCATGGCAACTAGTTGGGGAAACAATGGCAACAAGGACAGACTTAATTTTCTTCGGCTCCAAAATAACTGCAGATGGTGACTGAAATCATGAAATTAAAAGACCCTTGCTCCTTGGAAGAAAAGCTATGACAAACCTAGACAGTGTATTAAAAAGCAGAGACATTCTTTTGCTGACAAAGGTCTGTATAGTCAAAGCTATGGTTTTTCCAGTAGTCATGTATGGATGTGACAGTTGGACCATAAAGAAAGCTGAGTGCTGAAAGATTGATGCTTTTGAACTGTGGTGTTGGAAAAGACTCATGAGAGTCCCTTGGACTGCAAGGAGATCAAACCAATCAATCCTAAAGGAAATCAGTCCCGAATATTCTTTGGAAGAACTAATGCTGAAGCTCCAATCCTTTGGCCACCTGATGTGAAGAGACACCTCATTGGAAAAGACCCTGATGCTGGGAAAGACTGAGGGCAAGAGAAGGGAACGACAGAGAATGAGATGGTTGGATGGCATCACTGACTCGATGGACATGAGTTTGAGCAAACTCTGGGAGATGGTGATGGACAGGGAAGCCTGGCGTGCTGCAGTCCATGGGTTGCAGAGTCAGACATGACTGGGCAACTGAACAATTCAAGTATTCAGTAACTACATCCATTGGAGAGGACTCTTGAGAGTCCCCTGGCCTGAAAGGAGATCCAATCAGTCCATCCTAAAGGAAATCAGTCTTGAATATTCATTGTAAGGACTGATGTTGAAGCTGAAACTCCAATACTTTGGCCACCTGATGCAAAGAACTGACTCACTAGAAAAGACCCCACTGCTGGAAAAGATTGAGGGCAGGAGGAGAAGGGGACAACAGAGGATGAGATGGTTGGATGGCATCACCGACCCCATCATATCTCAATGGATATGAATTTGAGTAAACTCCGGGAGTTGGTGATGGACAGGGAGGCCTGGTGTGCTGCAGTCCATGGGGTCGCAAAGAGTCGGACACAACTGAGTGACTGAACTGAATCAGGAATGGCTAAGACAGTGTAGGTTTGTGATTCTCACCAAGGATAATTCCAAAATGAACTGGAAATTGAAAGACAACTTGATAGGAGATTCTGACCAGACAGAAAAGGGGACCCAAACGTAAAACCAAAATGGAAATGATGGAAATGACTAAAGAGAACAAGGGGAGGGAACAATGGTGTATGAAAATGAAAAGGGGAAGATGTGGGGAATTTTAAAGTCAGAAATTAAAATATCATATTACTTCTTAAAAAAGGCAAATGGTATCTATTTACAAATTCTTTTAAATAAACTCCTTTTAGCTTTCTGCCAAGTAGCCCTGAGGTGAGGGAAAAGGAGCCTGAGACTGAGGTGAAGGCCAGCAATGAGCATCAGCTGCGATCCTGGGGAATCGCCCTCATCTGTAAAATTGGGATTAAAAGGCTCCACTTCTTGCTGTGGCTAGAAGGATTAAAGGATGCTTTGTAAGCAGTAAAGTGATGCACAAATGTTGTTATTAATGTGTTATAAAGCCTGCAAAGCAGACACAATTTTAGTGCCCTTTATCTCCTTAGCCTCAATAAACAGGACAGATTGAATGTGTGACAAAGATAATTTTCGGGAGGATGGGAAATAAATATGGTCTTTGCGCCATTGTACTGCCACATATTTTGAATGTACAAGAACGCATTTATGCATTTCTTCTCTGCCAGAGAAATCCCAAAACATTATTTAAAAGTGACCCAGTTTACTAGAAATTAACAAAGACAAAGAAAAATGTTCAGTGACACTCTGAGGATGCAGTCAAACTCAGAATGTAGGAAAACTATGAATTAAAAGAGCCGGTTTCTTCAATAAATGCAAATCGAAGAAAAAAAGAGAAGGGGAAGAGTTACAACCTTTTGGGACATAACAATAAAACAGAGTATGCTGGAGTTTGGCATCTGATTCTTATCAAGTATAAAAAGACATTTATGGGACAACTGGGGAAATTTGAACACTGGATACTAGATGATATTAAGAAATTGAAGTTTTTTCATGTGTGATATTTCTGGCGTGTGTTTTACAATAAAGAATCTTCCTCTGGTAGAGATTTATGTGAAAATGTTTATGGGTGAGATGATATGTCTCGTGATCCACGTTAACATGGTCCAGAAGGGGAAGGGGAAGAAATGGACAGCTACAGATGAAACCACACTGGCCGTGCTGTTCATTAGCATTGAAACTGAGGTAGGTAGGTCGGAATTCGTCTCATGTTTTCTACTTTCATGTATGCTTGAAAATGTCTGTGATTAATAGTAAAACAAAAACAACAGCAAAAAAAACTATGTGTGTGTGTGTGTATAAAATGAGATTGGCCCACTCCAGTATTCTCACCTGGAGGGCTACAGTCCACAGGGCTGAAAAGAGTCGAACATGACTGGAGCAACTGAGCACGCATAGTGAGATCAGAATGCTGAGATATAAGTGAAAACAAACAACAAAAAAAACATGTAGAGAGCATCATCTCGCTGATTTTTTTAAAGAGTCCCCAAAAACTGCATTGCATATACACCTGCATACACATATGTAAAAAATCTGCAAAAAACACATACCCGACTTTTACTAGTAGTGTCTGTCTGGGAAGAAGAATGGGATGGGGAGTGAGAAATTCCCGAGTAGCAGGGAAACTCTTTGAGTTTTGTATTCTTCTGTATGATTTAACACCTAAGACTGAGCACATTCTCAGGTTATTAATACGTGTAGTTACAGTTAAACAAGTCATGCCCACTCACTTCGCGATGGCCTCGTCCCGGTCCCTGATGGCCTTCTGAAGCTGCTCCTTTGGTTCCTCGTCCTCAGACGTCACTCTGAGTCGGTCTCTCTCCTCCTTCAGGGCAGTCATCTCCACGCTCAGCAGTGTCACCTAATGGGAGACGAAGGGGATGAACACAGCACACCACTGCAGCCGGCCTGGGGTGTCTCCCTCCCGAGGGAGAAAAGAACAGGCCCAGGCGGGCTCAGGGCCTCTGTGTGGGGCAGGCTGGTGACTTCCCACTGCCCCTGCTCCAGGAGGGAGGGGACCACACATGAGGCTGGAGCTGGGTGGATGGGGGCGCTCAGCCCCGAGCTGCTGCACCCGGGAGCCCAGTCCCCTTGTGCACACCACGGCGCCTCCTTCACCTGCAGGCACTCTCTGGGAGCCGCTGAGTGAAGGCCACGTGTGCACCAGGGCCCTGGAACACATTTAGGGGGATAAGGACTTGAGTTTTGTTTCCAGTCCTCTTCTAATCGACCTGGAACACTGCCCTGTGCCCCACACGGGCCCTGGCTGGCCCCAGAGCCTGGGACCTGGTTCCTGTCTCTGTGACAGCATTAGATGCAGCCTGGCTTTCCCGTCATCTTCCTTCAGCTCCCCAGGTCAAAGCTGCAGGGAATTTAGGCAGGAAAACAACACTGTCACCTTTCACTTCAAGCCTCTTACCTTCTCTGTGGTCCATGCCTCTGTGAATGGCACCAGAGCCCACTCACGGGGAGTCAACCTTGGGTGGTGAGGAACCCCTCCCGGTGGCTCCCTCGGTGACCAGAGTTTACCCCGCCCACTGTACACAGCGACCTCTCGCACACCTTGTGCTCTGCCGTGGCGAGAAGCATGTCCTATCCATCTGTGTGTCTCAGACCCTGACCAGAAACAATGCTTAATCCCCAAGTGCCTGTGCAGTGGATGGTTGTCATTTTGGGGCTTGTCAAGCACCCAGAATTCCTTCCTATCTGGGGCATTCCTAGTTGCAGGAGCCTCGGCAGGAGACAGAGCATGCCCACCTACTAAGGAAGACAAGGAAGAGACCTCCTTTCCTAGGTACCTGGGGCTACAGCTCTTGCGGGTACAGCAAAGCCACTGGCCAGTGGGAGATTACTCCATGGAGAGCAGATGGCTTTGTCACCCCACTTCCCATGGCTCCTTCCTGTTTTGGAGCTCAGTTTTCCAGCCTGCCTGTTGATTCTATGACATTTCAGATTTAATTCCAGTATATTATTTTTCTGCTCAAGTTAAGTAGAGTGAGTTTCAGTTGTCTGCAACCAGAAACCCTGCCTGGTAGAGCTTTCAATAAATATTTGTTCAATGAATGGAAGGCGGGGAACCCTCCTTCTCACAGTCGATAGGATCAGACTGGAGTCAGGATGCCTGACCCTGCCCTCTTAACTATTACACATACTTTGACATTTTTCCAAGGAAGGATCCATCCATCTGGGTCTGTCCCTCCCCCATCACCTTTCTGCTCTTCGAGGCCCAGATCTGATCACCTTGACAGTGAAGCTGAGCAAAGGCCCCAGGACTAAGGCTGAAGAGCAAGCTTCTCTTGAGATGCCTTGGGCTCCATAAGCCGAGACGATCGAGGTGCCAGCTACTGGGGTAGCAGCCACACACAGTGAAGAGGGGCCCGGGACAACCTGTCACCGTGTGCAGTGGGCTCTGCACTCAGGTGCACGGCAGGGAATGTCAGGGCCTGCTGCTCTGAGCTGCCATGGTGAGGACAGCTCCAGTGAGGAGCCTCGGGGTGCTGGGCACCTGCGGAGGCCAGGGCAGGCAGGCGCAGTGAGCTCTGAGGCAGACAAGGCATCAGGTGAGAAGCCCGGCTTCACCCTATTCTTGGCAGGTTTCACAGCCTGGTAGGCCAGAACCCAAGACCCAGAAAGCACCTGGCGGAGACAGCCAGCCCTCCTCAGACCAAATGAGCCCTGACGTGGCCAAGAGCCAGCCAGGTGTTCTGCCAGCTGAGTCAGAGACAGATAAAACTGCGTGCTAGGCAGGAAATGCCAACATGTCATAGTCTCCAGATAAGACTCCACAAGAATTTTTTGCTGTGACCTGGAAAACCTGACCAAGGTAGAGACTGCCAGCTTAGAAGTGACAAAGGATTTACCCTCTCCAAGTTGCACGTGAATTTGATAAAAAGCAGGAATAAATGGAACTATTCCCCACCATCAAGTTGTTGTTAGGATCAAATGAAATGAGTAACATCAAAGGCCCAGCTCAGAGCGTAAGGGCCACCCCTTCTCTCCCCTCCACAAGGACCTTCCAGCTAACAGCTGGTTTATCTGCTGACTTAGGTTATAGCCACCCCTAAGTCCACTCTTCCCCATTAAGGGAGGTGTCCTTGAAGTTGAATAGCATCAAAGGAAACATCCTGAGGTCATACATCCAGGGCTGACAATCATTTGAGTGCCTGCTCTAGATGCTTCAGAAGACAGAGAGGGGTGTCTGAGCTGGAGCCTATCCTTGCAGGCGGTCCACTAAGGCTGGACGGGGAAGGTGAGAAGGGAGTGAGGGTAACCATGAAAAGCAGAGCTGGGGACTCCCTGAGCAAGGGAGGCAGGAGAGTTTCGAGGAGGAAGTGAGACCTGATCAGGAACTTGAAGGATGAGGAGGGCTGTATGTGCAGGGGCGAGTCTCCCAGGGAGAGAGAAAGACTGGGAGAAAAGACCCAGCTGTGGGAACGCAAGGGCAGCCCGTGCCATGTCCATCTGGAACCCACGTTCAATCCTGCTACAGCAGAGGCGGTGAGAGGGAAACAATAGGAGCGGAGGCTGGATGGTGGGACGCAGCCAGACCGTGGGGCCAGGAGGGTTTGAGACTATTGCAAGGGGTGTCCCACCTTCAAGTCGTGCTTCAGAAGATCACTCCAGACCACGTGAAGGGTGAGTGGCTGGGGAAGTGATGACTAAAGGCAAGGTGTGAAAGAATGAAGTTTTGAGGGGGGCAGTGGCTGGGAGGACGGAGGAGACAGAACATGCTGAGATTTCAGAGGAGGGGGCACTCAGATCTCATCATCAGTGAGAGCCTCAACTGCTCCCAGCTCACACTCCCCTGAGTGTTCATGTCCCCGGAGTAATGGCATGTGCTTCAGTCAAGCATAAAGGAGCCAAATGATGGGGTGGGACTGTTTCTCTTACTGTGCCTCCCAGGACCTGGTGTACTGGCCTGGGAGAACTACTTGTCACATTGCCCAGCAGGTCCTCCTGCCTCCGGGCAGCAGCTCCAGAGCCCACGGCCAGCCCTCCCTGGGGAGCTGCAGTGATGGGGCACGGAGCTCTCCACAGCCAGTAGGAGGGCAGGGGCAAGTCTGCAGGCCTGTCTATGAGGCTGTGCTTCAAACAGGTGATGATCAATTAAACCTGGGCTCTCTTTTACTTTAGAATTTGGGTAGGCTTCTGAGGGGTGGGGAACTGTGGGCACTTCACTGTCGAGGTCCCACACACCTTTTACCTCTGGCTTCGTTTCCAGGACAGCAGAGAATGCTCAGGCAGGAAAACGGCGGGAGTGGAGGTGGGACCATCTGTTGGTGAGGTCGGACCTCAGTCCCATATCACCTGAGTTGGGCTCCCCAAAGGGTACGAAGCTGGTCTGACTCCCCTCATCTTACATCCACCTGAGCCTCTCAGGGTCTCGGGGCACAGGCATGTGCTGAGCTAACTGCAGGAGGTTCCCCTGCCCACCCTGACAGCTGCCATTTCCATGGCTCTGGCAACTCCCCCTGCATTACCCACTGCCTTGGGAGTCGGCGTTTCTCCCAAGGGACGCTCCTGGATGATGCAACTTGGCTGAGAGGTCTGCAGCCCTGACTGAGCCTGTGGGGAGCGACTGAGCCTGGCAGAGGCCCAACTCTGTGTCTTATGTGGGACTGAACGTAACCATCTACTTGATGGGTTATTTCATGTTCTTTTGAAAGGGAATCCATAGGATTTGACCTAAATCAGTTATCAGTTGAATTTTTAAGGAAAATTCCCTGGTAGAGGTGGCTTTCTAAATATAAACAGTTCCATGGCAGACTCTCAGCAACATCTACCTATTTTTCTGGATCAAACAATGCCCTCTTGGGCTTCTAGAAGCAACAAAGAGGCTTTCATTAATCCAAATAACTTTAAGACCCACTTTCTTTTGCATTTTATTCTCCCCGTTTGGAAGGTATGATCCCTCCTGTCGCCAACCCCTCTGGGCAAATGACCACCAGAGGGTCTTAGGTTTTAGGCACAAAAGTGTCTCTGGCTGGAGAAGGCAATGGCACCCCACTCCAGTACTCTTGCCTGGAAAATCCCACGGACAGAGAAGCCTGGTAGGCTGCAGTCCATGGGGTCGTGAAGAGTCGGACACGACTGAGCGACTTCACTTTCATTTTTCACTTTCATGTATTGGAGAAAGAAATGGCAACCCACTCCAGTGTTCTTGCCTGGAGAATCTGAGGGGTGGGGGAGCCTGGCGGGCTGCCATCTATGGGGATGCACAGAGTTGGACACGACTGAAGTGATTTAGCAGCAGCAGCAGCAGCAGCAGTGTCTCTGGCTGCCCAAACCTACTCCCCAGGGCTTGGTCAGGAACAATATACAGCTTTCAGTAGCATCCTTCTGCCCTTCTTATTCTGCCCTTCTCACAAAAAAAAGAGAGCAATAATGGCTTGTCTCCCAGTATCTTCCAAGAGAATAATACCAGGAAGTCTAATGGGTACAACCCCAAAAGACAGAAGTTTATTTCTATAAGTTCCTTTACATTTAAGAAATACTGAATGAAGTAAAAGCCCAGCTTAAATTCCATCTTTCAGCAACCTCTTCCTGTAGCAGGAAGGGAGGACTAGCTTTGGACAAGGAGGGAAGGGAGCAGCGTTTAGAGGGGAACCTGTCCAGTGTCCCCCGCTAATGGGACCGAACCTCCATACAGGACTCCAGGCAAAAGGAAGAGCTTTTATTTATCTCCTATGTAGATTTTAGAAGCTTTTTTGGGTGGGGCTGCTCCTAAGCCCTTTAAAACTTTTCAGATCAGAATACAGATGTCCTTCTCCAGTGTTCTGGAGAGATGAGATCATGATCAAATAGGAAGGGAACAGCAAGAGCAGCAGTAAGTGCCTCGAAAGCTGAAAAACAGGCTGGCAGAGGTGACAGCACTCACAAAGAGAGCTCAGGCCCGCAAAGACCAACTGTCTCCTGGTTTGCAAACTTCCCTGCTCAGAAGCTGCTGGACAAACATCCAAATGTGTCTTGGGAGCTGTGGCACTCTAACTATCATAATCCACCCAGTTATTCAGGCTCTGTAGAGGGCCAGGAGTCCTGGAGGAAATGGAGGGCCAGCTATTAGTTGTGGCAGGATCTTTTTAGTTGTGGCATAAGGAATCTGGTTCCCTGACCAGGGAGCAAACCCAGGCCCCCTGCACTGGAGCACAGTCTTAGCCACTGGACCACCAGGGAAGTCCCTCAGCTAGTCTCAATCCTAACGATTTCACTGTGTCTAAACCTGAGGACTGACCTTTCTTGAAGACACTCAGCTCGCCTCGGCTTCAGGTCACTACCCCTGAGGGTCCGACCATCAGAGGAGAGCCTGTCTGAGAGAGACATGGACAGGGGGACTCACGGGGGTCCCAGGGAGCAGGAGCCCCTGCACATCTTGCACTGGGCCGAGGATGGGGGTGCTCACCTGACTGTGGAGCCGCTGCAGCTCTTCCAGGCTTTGCCTCAGTTTACCCCTCTCTCCCTCCATGAGTTCCCTCAGGGCTCTCGAATCCTCACTGGTCTGCCTTATCTGTTCTTCTAAGGAGTCATCGTCAATTCTCCGGGAGCTCTGACAGCAGAAGAGTCAGCCGGCCAAGCAGAGAGACGGTGAGAGTGCAGGGGAGTGGGGAGATGGTTAGTGGGAGAGGTGAAGATGGGAGGGGAGCAGGGAGATGGTTCAGTTTGGGGAAGAGCAAGGTAGGGGGGATGGGAGGAAAAAAGGAAAGCAGAAGAAGGAAGAAACAGAAGGTTAGAGAAGAGAGTCTGTCTTGCTCAATTTCAACGTGCAGACAATAACTAGAAGTTTATTTTGTTTCAGGCTTTAGAGAAGGGAAACTGCGTGGCGCCAAGAGCCCACCTCCCTCTGCCAGCTCGCTTTCCCACACTGACCCGGCCTCCGCACTACAGTGCATCCCACGAACCACCTCGGCAGGACAGCCACCCTTTCACCTAACTTCACCTAATACAGGGAGAGAGACGCAACCATCCTGCAGGAGGAGGAACCTGAAGAGAAACAACAGCCCGCAAGCTGTGGGTGTAAATGGAGGGGGAGTCTGGCAGGAATTTGACACGAAGCTGGAAGAAAGGCCAGTCTGCTCGGGGAAGCCTGTGGGAATGTTCCTCTCCTGCACCAGAGGAGCCACGTCTAGAATTCTAAAAGGCCCGGCTGTTGATCGTCTCAACTTTCTGTGCTCATGTCTAGCCTTTAAGCAGAAGCTTCAGATCTTTTAAGTTTTCCTGTTCACAGTTACCTCCACCACCAGGACCAGCGGGCAACAGAAAACAACTTGAAGTTTCTACCAGGAGCCAAATTTCTACATTCACAGCCTCCCACCAAAGTGCTCACACTCGAGGCCCTGAGGCCTTGTCTGCACCCTGAGCCTGCAGGGAGGGACTCTGGGGGCCCCCAACCCCACATTGGACCCTGTGCCTGCTCCTCCATGGGGAGTGCGCTCCGACAAGGGCTCAGAAGGCATTCTTGCAGACTTTATTAGGTTCCGGGTTCCAGGGCTAACCTCACCCTCTGGACTTGGTTTTAGCCTCCAAGCCCTGTGGTGCCCGGAGCTCTCATCGCGAACTCTTACCGAGGGCTCCATGCCGTCCACGATGCTCTGGATCAGTCTCTTGAGCTCATTCAGGGCAGTGCGCAAGCTGCCGGCTGGCACGTCCTTGGCCGACGACGTCTCTGAAGACTCGTCCATTGAGGAGTCCGTGGAGACGGCAGAGTCAGCGCTGTCGTTTCCCCGCAGGTGCGAGCACAGATAGCGGACCTGGCAGTAAGCTTCCCAGAGCTGCAGTCTCAACTGCCCCACAAAGAGTTATTCCTGGTTAGGGACTCTAGAGAAGATGGCCAGCAGCCATCCTTTTCTAGTACATGAATCCAAGAATCTAGTTCTAGGAAGTTTTTTTTTTTAATTACTTGTCCCAGAATATACTTATTCTGGGCCCCATACAACTGTGGGTGCTTAGTCGCTCAGGTGTGTCTGACTCTTTGCAACCCCATGGACTGTAGCCCACCAGGCTCCTCTGTCCATGGGATTCCCCAGGCAAGAACACTGGAGTGGGTAGCCATTTCCTTCTCCCGCACAACTGCACAGACTCCCAGTTCTTGTACCTCCTGCCCTCAGGTCCCTCCCAGCTGCACATAAAGTACTTCTTGATATAGTCCGTTACTTTTGGAGGAAGTCCCCATATAATTAGGGGAATGAGTGGTTATGGGTAATATGAAAAGAAGCCAATTAGATGGACCACAAATGTTCCAGAACCCTGTCAATGCCAGAGTTCTAAGGCTGACTAGTCAACAAGCATTTCCTAAGTGGCCGCCTCAGGACATCTCCAGCCAGCAGGCTGAGGGGCTCACACACGTGCAGACCACGGCACCTGAGGTGTGGGGTGAGCGGGAGGCCGGGGGGGCACAGCACCTGCTCTCTCTCCTGCTCCAGCTCCTCGGCCTCCATGCTCTGCTCTATCTCGGACAGGAGGGACGCGCTGGTGGCGGCAGAGCTCTGCAGGCTCCTCTCCTCGGTCAGCTCCTCCACCTTCACCTGCAGCTGCCGGTAGGAGAGCCGCACCTCCTGCAGCTCCAGCTGACTCTGGTGCAGCTTTCGGGGAGACAGCAAAGGGGGGTGAGGGGGCCGAGCCCGACCACTAATTTACAGGAATATACAGAGTGGGGGAGGAGCAAGCTAGAAGGTGTTCAGGGGATGCAGTTGGTAAAATACAGATTTGGGAAACTCTACAGGACAAACAGCCCAGCTTCTTCAACAGATAAATTTCAAAAAGAAAAAGATAAGAGGGGAATCTATAGATTAAAAGAGACTTAAGAAACATATTGCCTGACTGCCACATGACTCAAAAATGTGAAAAACAATTATGATATTATTAAGACAACTGAAAACCTGAATGCTGGCTAGATATCTGATACTAAGGAAATATGGCTAAGGTTTCTAGGTGTACTAGTCCTGTGTTTATGTTTTTTAAAGTTCTTATCTGTAAAGTATTCTTTACTTACAGATGAAATTACAAAAATTCTGGGATTTACTTCAAAATAATATGAGAGGGGAGCAAGTGGATGTCATGAAGCTAGGGTGGGGCTGACCAGGGATGGATGGTGTGTAGATATGGACAGTAGGGTATGTGGGGTGTCACTGCACTATTCTGAGTTTGTCTGAAATTCTCCAGAATAAAAAGTTGGACACACAAACCTACAGGCATACAAAATAAGGCACCATTAGACTCTCACCAGAATGACTAAGATATGTAATAGCAACACAATAATAATATCAGGTTTTGATGAGGATATAAAATAACTAGGATTCTCACTGCTGGTGGGAATGGAAGATGAACTGCCCCTCTGGAAAACTGTCCAGCAGTTTCTAGTAAGTGAAATACACATGTATCCTTTGATGCAGGTGTTCCACTCCTAGGTTCAGACCCAGTAATAAATGACTGAAAATGTACATGAAAGACACACAGGGTGTTCACAGCAGCATTATTCATAAAAGCCACACACAGGAACAATCTGAACACCAATAAAAATAGAATGGTATGTTCACACCCTGCAATACTGTACAGCGCGCCACGAAGAACTCAGAAGAGCACGCTGCTTCTCTATGCCACAACGTGGATGAACTTTTTAGACACTGATGTTCAGCAAAAGCCAGACACAAAACAATTTATAATGTACGATTCTCTTTATAAAAGGTTCCAAAACTTGAGATAAAAGAGATGAAAGTTAGAAGAGAGGTTTGCTTTTGAGGAAGCGGCAGTGCGCTGACTGGGAGGGTGCAGGAGGAAGACTTGTGGGTGCTGATGATGGGCTGTCTTGACCTGGACGGTGGTTACACGGGTACGGATTAAAGCTTTGATGGGCTATACACCTAAGGTCTGTATGCTTTACTACATGCATGTTGTACTTTACTGAAAACATGAAGGGGAAAAGGACTGTGTGGAAAGGAGCTAGAGGCAGGATCTGAAGTAACATCTGGGTAGTAATACCAAGAGTTCCCAAACTCATGGGAGAAGGAGTCTCACCCTACTGTGTGTCACACCTCATGGATTACAGGTGAGGAAGGCCCTTGGCGGGGGACAGATTTCCACAGCATGTGCGGCTCAGAGGAGGAGAGCGATGCCAGTGTGGAGGGGACGGCCACGCAGGCATCGCGACTCACGGGCCAGGGCTCCTTGTCTTTTGCTGCCACTACCTCACCCCTCTCTGCATTCCCTGTGGCCCCTTCCCTGTGGAGTCCTAACAGGGCATTTGCCACCTGATGAGGTACTGCTGCTGAATGTAAGAGGAGCCTCCACCACGGCCGCTAAATGCCACACTCTGACTGGTACACTCCATCACTGCACTTACTTTCACCACAACAGAGCCCAACTGCAGAATCAATCTGTTTGCTAACCGCTATGCACACGTCCACATACTATGCACAGGAGCAATGTTTCCCACTCCTGTACTTGAGGACTGCTCACCCCGCTCTCCCCCAACTGAAAGTATATTTTGGGAGGTGGGGGTGGGGAGAAGAACTTCCTGGGATTTAAATTTAGTTATTTTAATCCTTTAATAAAATAGCATCTTCGGTCACCCCTGTTCATTAAGAAGAGGGAACGCCACAGTCTCTTTTCCAGACAGTCATCAAGGTAGGCCTGTGGCCCCTGCAGAGATGCAGAGTCCCAGGGGCAGCAGGCAGCAACTCAGAGCTCTGTGGGTCTCATGAATGGAGCAAGCTGCCTTGCAGAGCCTTCAGCTATCCCTTTGGGTGCCCTGGGAGCTCTCCTCTGCTGGTCAGTATCAGAGAACATTTGGCTAATGGCACCAGTGGTCTGGGTGTGCCTTAACTGGGAAGGGTTTGGAGCCTGGCTGCTCACAGGATGACAAAGGACTTGGCAAGCCTGCCCTGAATGGTTCCAGTGGGTCAGCAATACCTGCTGGTCCAGTGGGAACTCCTCCAGCTCTGGTTTTGAGGAAACTCAGAAAGAAGAAATTAGGTTGATTTTTTTTTTTTAAAGATATGCCTAGGAAGCCTTTGGCACAATTACAAACGGCATATTAAATTGACAAAATGCTGTGCAATTATTTTCTAGACAACTTCCATGTACATCTCAGCAGGGGAAGTTGAGCACTGACAAGTACAAGTTCTTAGGCATTGGACAACATTAGTTCAATTACTCACGCACACTCAAAGGTGCTTAATTAATTGTAACAGCAAGAGAACAAACACCGGGACAGGTCTGCCCTCTCTGGTCAATAACTGATCCATAAATAAACTCAGAAAAACCAAACCAAGGAAGAGTCTATTAAATACAAGAACCTTTTAACATTAAGAAATATCACCCTTTATAGAACAAAGATGAAACTAAATGTAATTTATATGTGTGACCGAGGAAGACACCAAATGTCTTGTGTTTGAAGAGTATGCGAAGTTCAAGCTTAGGACACTCATGCTCTTAAAGTGGGCAGAGGTGGGGGCACTCTCCCTGTCTTACGCTGAGGGAACTGAGATGGCTGATGTTAAGTGATGGGCCTAACGGCACACACCCAAAGTCAGCGAGGTCTAGACTCCAGGTCATTTGCTTCCTGGGTCCCCACAGGGAGCAGGGCCTGCGTTCTCTGCTGATGAAAGCCACCCACTCCTTGGGACAAGGCCCCTGCACACACCTGTGTGCAGACACTCACTGGGTATGAAACAAAGCAGTTAAGTGGCCCTCTTGAGGGACAAATCCTTTACTGGGTATTAAGAATTTAGCAAAATGCCTGCTTTTTAAATTTCCTGGGCCCTCAATAGTCATTTTTATCCCTCTCAGACTGGGGAAAAAAAAAATCAAGAGCTGGATTTGATCAGTGTTTTAAAAATCTGTTTTTGACAGTAGAACCCCAGTTACAGAGTGAGCCAGATCAAAGAGGGCTACTCTGCTTGTGGCAGCCTATTGCCCTGCCCTCTCAGCCCTTCTCTCATCCCGTGTCTGAGGAAAAGGATTAAAACCAGGGGATTAGAAACATTCCAAGGCCGCTAGCTCTACAGTCTACAAGTCTGATTTAGGACCATTCACTTACTCCCTGAGTGAGCTGAAACTTCTATTTCTGTATCAGTACAGGCCATTTCAGCAACAGAACTAATTAGCAACACCTTAAAGAGAGTTTTATATGACTAGAGGGGGAAAAAAAATTACAAATAGTTGGAAAAGAAGAGATTTCAGTTCATAAATGCAGCTTTTCCCAATGCAGAGGTCCCAAGGTGGGACTTCCCTGACCTGATGCAGGCGTTGCACTCCCATTCTTGAAGAAGCCCAATCGAGAGGCAGTGAGTGTGCAAGGGGTGAGGATGTGAAGGAGGTGTGACTGGGGACTCTGGCTGCTGGAGAACATACAGCCCACATGTCAGCCAAGTACTGCACGGTCCACACTGGTTCTGGCTCTTCCTCACCCCCAGGTCTCCCATCCTTGATCTGAAATAAGGACTTTTTACTTGTGAATTCATGCTGAACCAGTTTTTGTGTTTTTTTTTAGGCAGGGCCATTTCCCCATTTTTCTGTACCTTTTCCTCCTCCTCTCCATACTCTACCTCAGCAAACCCTCAGGAGAGCAACTGATGGGGTAATAAACGCTGGTGAGACACGGACTTTGAAAGGCAAGTGATACACAGGAAGTCATCACTGAGAAGCAAGCAAAGCAGGCAGGAGGGTTCCCTTCTGGATTCTACCCAGGACTTACTACACTACTTAGGACAGAGAGTTCACTTTTCTCAGCCTCAGCGTTAGAACATCTGCAAAAACACTGTTCTGTGCAAAGCAGCTGACAAATGTCCATGGCTGTTATCACCGTAAACTTTAAGAGCAAACTCCTTTCCATTTTGAAAACTGATGTGAGGCTTTAGCCAGCATCATTTTCTGTTCAACACTTACTGAGGCCCCACTTTACAGAAAATTCCCAGCTGAAGGTATAAAACAGAAAAAATGTTACTTTTCCCTTAAAGAGACTAATCACTCAGAGGGCTGTTTAACTGATGGTATCACATGACCTTAGCCTAAGACGTCTCCTCATCCCACGACCCAGGGCTTTCCTCAACAGCCGACTGCTGAGCCCGGGGGCCTTCTGCAGCCTGGTCTTTGGGCAGGGGCCCACCTGGCACAGGACTATCCCTGGCTGACCACCTGCACACAAACAGCACTGCTGCAATCGGCTCTGCTCTCTGGCACGCTCAGAGGACACCTCAGGGAAGCAGGGCCCGGAGCCCCAGGCCCAGGGCTCCCAGGGCAGCACAGCAAAGCTTTCTCGGTAGCAGGAGCTGCACTGTCTCTGGGGAGGCAGAGTGTTTAAGGGGTTGTTTCCTGTCAGGTGTGAGCTCTGGGATTCAGCTGAGGCCTGGTAGCAGTTCCCAAATAAGGACAAATACAGCCATGAAACAATTTCTTTTAGCAAGGAAAAAAAGAGGCTAATTAAACTCATAGAGGGGTCGGCCTGTGTCTTCGCTAGCAACTGGCAGAATCAGGATCTGTCCTGCTGCATTCAGTGGGCAGCTTCTGGGCTTCTGCTCGGGGCCAGCCCACTAAAGGCAGGGGCCTGCGGAAGCAGAAGCAGAGAGCACGGTGGGCCCAGCACACAGTCACAGGCTCCCTCTGAAGTCTCCCACAGATTCCACAAACCCCAGGAGGCAGAACAGCACTGCGGGTGCTCCTGTCATGTTAACAGCCCAGAAAGAACTCCGTGAAACTGCTCCTGGGGCCAGTGGCTCAGAACAAATTGAAAGGATGACCTGCTGGAGCAATGCACTTGTTCTTGGCAGAGAATGACCAGCCAGTTAGCCACGCCTGAAGAGACCCATATCCGGCCCGAGGAGAGACCTCAGCGTCACCCACTGCCCGTGCGCTAGCCTCTCCTGGGGCGGGGCAGCCGAGCGCGCCTGGCCCTGAGCCCATCCTCTGCCCCCGCACCTGGAGGTCCTTGTCGTGGCCCTGCCTCTCCAGGATCAACACCCGGTCCTGCAGCTCCTCCACTGTCCCCTGGAGCAGGTCGTTCTCCTCCAAGGTGGCGCTGAGACGGTGCTCCAGCTCCCGCTTCCGATCCGACAGCATCTTGATCTGAAAGCGGGGAGAGAGCCACAGGGCGGTGTGGGGTTACACCCGGGCTGATGAGTAGGGCAGGAGGGACCAGCCCCAGAACACGAAGGCAGGCGTCTCAGCGCTCTGCCCCGGCGCCTCCTCGCCGGAGAGAACAGCTGTGAACTCTCCAGCTGAGGAGGAAACCCCTCCCCTTCGTACACTAGTCTGGGAAGGGGTGGGAGTTAAGCTTTGGGGAAGCTGGAATGTGGGGTGTCAGGCAGAGGCAAGGAAGGTCAGTGCTCTGGAAATTCCAGAGATAACACAGACAAGGACTCCACCTTGCTGCCCACAGCATTTTTTTTTTTTTTTGGGCTGTGTCATGCAGCATGCGGGATCTTAGTTCCCCAACCAGGAATCAAACCTGTGCCCCTCTGCAGTGGAAGCGTGCAGTCCTAACCACCAGATCACCAGGGAAGTCCCCTGTCTATGACTGTACTCCAACACAACAGCTGGTGGGGTAGTGGAACCTAACCTGTGGGACCCTTCTCTCTTAAGTCCTGAGCACAAGACAAGGCCCAGGACAGCCCCTGGGGCCACTGCACCCTCATATGCTTCTCTCTCTCTGTTCTTCCCTCACTGCTGGCAGGACTGGCACTAGAGGTCACAGCTCAGACCCAGGGCCCCAGGTGAATGGAGGAGCCCCAGGATACAGAAAACCCAGCAGTGCCTGCATCAGCCCCTGCTCTGGGAGGGAACAGGACACTGACAAGTAAATAATGGATTTTACTCAAGGTATCTTCTGCTTCAGCGAGAAACTTCTGACTAGAAGCCATCTTTCTCCTTTTATTAAACAGGCTGATATGTTTGTGGCAGAAAGTAAGGAGAACTAAACAGCCTCTTGATGAAAGTGAAAGAGGAGAGTGAAAAAGCTGGCTTAAAGCTCAACATTCAGAGAACTAAGATCATGGCATCCGGTCCCATCACTTCATGGCAAAATAGATGGGGGAACAGTGGAAACAGTGGCTGACTTTATTTTTCTGGGCTCCAAAATCACTGAGGATGGTGATTGCAGTCATGAAATCAAAAGACCTTGTTCCTCGGAAGGAAAGTTATGACCAACCTAGACGGCATATTTAAAAAGCAGATACATTACTTTGCCAACAAAGGTCCATCTAGTCAAGGCTATGGTTCTTCCAGTAGTTATGTATGGATGTGGGAGTTGGACTATAAAAAAAGCTGAGGGCCAAAGAATTGATGCTTTTGAACTGTGGTGTTAGAGAAAACTCTTGAGAGTCCCTTGGACTGCAAGGAGATCCAACCAGTCCATCCTAAAGGAGATCAGTCCTAAGTGTTCATTGGAGGGACTGATGATGATGCTGAAACTCCAATACTTTGGCCACCTGATGCGGAGAGCTGACTCATTTGAAAAGACTCCGATGCTGGGAAAGATTGGGGGCAGGAGGAGAAGGGGACGACAGAGGACGAGATGGTTGGATGGCATCACCGACACAATGGACATGGGTTTGGGTGGACTCTGGAAGCTGGTGATAGACAGGGAGGCCTGGCGTGCTGCAGTTCACGGGGTTGCAAAGAGTCGGACACGACTGAGCGACTGAACTGAGCGGATATGTTTGTACACTGAGTATCCAGCCAGCCTCAAGAGAGATACAGACTTTCTTTTAGGAAGGTATGTTCTGTCTCTTCCATTTCAGTGAGAAAACAGAGGAAAAGAGGAAAAAGATGCCAAGTTTTCTGTGGCCTCAAGGTTTGCAGGGTAAGAGTAACCCAGCATGCCCCCAGGTCAGCGATGCTTCAGCCCAGGAGCCCTGCCCTGCTCAGGGGGCTATAGGAACATTCCTGAGTCCCCTCAATTGCCAGTGGCCTTGGGGGACTCCTGGAGTCCTGCAGGTCCCCCAGCTCCTCCCGTTATCAGCTCCCTGATAGACTGAGCTCTCACCCCATTTCTTGTGAGTATTCTCCTGGTGTGGTTAAGATGTGCTCCACGCTCTCTAGTCTAGCATGATGACAGTTCACTAAGGGGACCAACCACAGATCGTTTTAGGAGAGATCTGGAAATGAATGTCCCAAGTCCTCTGAAACCTGCCTCCCCTCCGCTCTTTGGCTGTTCTCACTCTCTGCACTAGAATTCTTGCTCAGAGGGCACGACTCTTCCCTGGCCACCTCCCCCCAGTTGGATGGGATGCCGTCCTGGGGAAATGAAGTATCAGGCCTTTGTCCAGAGGGATCAGGTATCCGGCCAAACAAAGGAACACTGTCTCTCAGGTGTGCACCCCGGGGAGGACCGACAGGAGCAGCCCTGTGAATGGCCCACTATTCTCCACACTGACTCGACGCTGCTCACGCGAAGGGAGCTCTTGCTCTAGCTGCGTTTCATTTAAATACTCTCTGACCTTCACATCTTCCCTCCCGTGGATCACCTCTGGTTCCCGGGTTCCACTCAGGGAAGTCATGAGGTAATCTGGTTCTGATACACAACCCCGCCCCTTAACAGAAAAAAAAACAGACTCAGAAGTTCAGAGCTACATGAAGTGACTTATTTGAAATAAACAATTTCATAGCTTGGCTTCTAAACGTAAAAGTGTTACTAGATGAAGCAGGGAATTGGCATTAGGTAGCTAACTCCCTCAGCCGATCCTACACACCCTGAAACTTGGGACCCAATCTGGCCACAAACATTCCTGGGCATCACCCTGTGTCACGAGGGTCTAGGCAGACAGGCAACAGGAGGGAGCTGGACCTCGGCAGAGGTGGCTGAGCAGCATGTCATGCACACAGACCATCACAGACAGGCATGCCAAACCCACCAGCACCAACTACTTACTTCAAGGACCTGCTGCTCAATACCCGTAGGAATTCCAAGGGAAGGGAGAGAGGAAGGGAGTGAGAGCCAGGAGAAAAGAGAAGATATTGACAGACTTTAGGAAAAACATCTTTGCGTCATGCATGAAGCAGGGGAGCAGCCATCTTGGCCTCTTGGGTCTGACCTTGCAGTCTGGCTCCTTTACCATGGTGGTAGCGCTGGACTGTCACTCAAAATGTAACTCAGTCAAAGGGCTGTTGTTCAGACACTTGGCTGAGGGGTTTTGGGAGCAGAGGAGGTGGAAGCCTACCTGGCACAGAGGCCCATTCGGGCTGGTGATGTGACCCTTCCCCGCTCCTCACCTCCCCACAACCTGGTCCTCACAGATTCGTCCCCTCAGCGCTACTTTCCCCCTCTGGCTTGCTCAGGGCCACAGATTCTGTCTGGCCTCTCATATGCTTTCAATAACACTACTTTCTTCTGAACACCACACACAGTGCTTTCCATGTGTTAACTCATCAAATCTGCTCATCAACACTATGAAGTAGATTACTTCAACCCGATGAAGTAGATATTACTTTCGGTTTATAGGTAATAATAATAGGTCCTATTTAGAGGGATTGAACCAGACCCAAATGGAACAGAGAAAGGGAAGATTCTCTTTCCAATCTTCCATTTAGGATGTTTTTGGAGGGATCAACATATTCAGTAAAAAGTAGGTCATTACTAATTTCAGCACACTCAGCAGTAACTCTGAGCAACCTAACTTTTCTAGACAACAGGCTACCCAGAGAAACATGGTCAAGTGATCCCCATTCAGTGTCTCACAGACATCTCGTTCAGAGGACTGCATGTCTAAAAGGCCAGGCTCCCACATTGAGGAAAGTCCTTCTGCCCAACATGGCTGCTCGGGGAGGCTGACCTCAGCCTGAAGGCTTTCCAGCCGGATGATGTGCTGGTTGGTTGACGAGTTTTTCTCCCGAAAGTCTTCTCTGAGGGCGTGTACTTGCATGGAGAGTTGTCTCTCAACTTCTGATGCCTGTAAGCAAAAGAGACCATGGGGCTGACTCAGAGGTTGTACAAAGGAAGGCCGCTCAGAATTTTGCCTTTCATTTCTCAAACACCTCTTTGCAACTCTACTCTACAGGAAGTACAGGATGAGAAACAACCGGTTTCCTACCCCGTTTGCTTTGTTCTCTCATGCCCAAACAAGACTAACCCCTACTCCTACCTAAAGCATGAACGACTCTGTCTAGGTCTAGGACCACTTTGCTGATCAGAGGAAACAGGCCTAGAAAATAGTAAGTTCTCAAATGCTAGTTATTATCATTATGACTCTGCACAACACACAGCAGAAGCTCCACAAACATCTACTAAATTGAGAGACGGTCTCACTATTTTACATGAAAGAATAAGACCAATATACCTAAACCTTAGAAATTCCTTTATCTCCCCCATCCATTTCCTTATTGGGGGCCAAGAAAATAATCTGTCTTTACCTCTTACTCCCAGTCAATGTGGGCACTACTTAAAATACCCTGTCATGTCTGTTAAGATTCTTGCTGTTCATTTCTCAAGGACGTTTTCTGCACCTCTTGACTCTCTGGGGAGTGCTGGCCGAGGGGCTCCTTCCCCACCCTGATCTGTTTACTCTCTAACACAGAAACCCAGCAAACACCAAGGACCACTGAGTGTGTCGGCACCGAATATGCAGGAGAATGTTTTGAAAGAATGTGCCCTTGGAAAGATCCGAGCCCTGTCATTCTCCTGAGGGTCTGGCCAGCTCAGCCCACAGAAGAGAGTCCTGAGCACTGCCCTGGGGAGGACAGCCACAGGACAGGGTAACTCACTGCCTCAGTGCTTCTGGGAGGCCAAATGGGGTCAGTAAGCATTATGGGTTCTCAGGGGAGATCACAGCATGCAGAAATGGTGAGGAAAGGCTTTCAGAGGAGGCGGGTGGTAATAATCTTGAAACGGTAGGCGAGCTGTTCAATGAGGCTCTCACAATAATGGTCACACGTTCAATAGTTCCTTTTATCTTCAAGTGCTATGTAATCCATTGTCCATCTTTTTTTGGTCCCATAGATTCAACAAACATCCCCCCCTCCCCGACCCGCCACAAGAATCAACCCACAGTGTTAATTTTTAAACAATTACAAGACACACAGCAAAAGAAAAATCAAACCATCTCTTTTTTCTTCTTATTCTAAATTTAGTTTTAGACACTACCAGTTTATTTCCAAATCACTTAGAAACACAGTATTAGTCACTCCTACCTAAAAATAATATGAGCATTATTTACCCAGTGCTTACTATGTGCCAAGAACTGTGCTAAATGCTTTATCTCAACTGTCACAATCAAAGTGGGGCCTATCACCCTCACCCAAGGCAACAAACTCAGGGAGGTGAGGGAACTTGTCCCACATCTCAGTGAATGACAGCATCAGAATGGTCAATTTGGGGCTATCTTACTCTGAAATTAGGACTTCAATATTACCTTCTTATACAGTACCTTGAAGTAGTTTTTCCTATTTCTATCACTCACTACTGAAACCGACTTTATCAGTCCAATTTAGACTTTTTTTTTCTTCCTTTTTTTAATACTAAGCAATTTTATTTATGATTCTTGAAATTTCTTTGAATAGAATTTAGGGCCCATAAAGAAAATTTCCTCTTATAAATGCTGCAGTTTGGTCACCTACATGAAATTCAGTTGACTATCAGAGTTTCAAATATGCTGGAGATTACAAAGCACTGGGTAATTCAGGCAGCTGTGACCTTATTCTGAGCATCACCACCTTGACATGAATCATGAGACAACCAAGCCTAAGAGATGCACTGGGGACTACAAACACAGCCCAGCTGTTATCAGAAAGGCTCCTGTAGATGGTCTCCTCTCAAAGCAACCTTCCTAGAAATAAAATTTGTCTCTTCCCTCCAGGAATCATGACACCAGAGTCTCAGCTCTTAACCACTATGTAATAATGACTCTTTAAAATGTCTGACTCCTCAGATGTGCCCAAGGGTATACCGTTGACACAGGCTTTTGACCTACAGCTCTCATTTGAATTTCCAACCACCCGCCCAGAGAAGCAGGAATTGCTGGCCTCATTGTGCAGACAAGGAAGGAGGTGGAGGCCGAGAGGGAGTGGCACTGGCCGCGCCCTCCTGGTTCTGGGCTCGCCCACAACACCCTAGCCACCTCCAGCCAGGCGGCCGGTCACCTGTCTGTGATGGTGATGGAGAGGAACACATCGATCAGACATAAGCACCATCTTCAAGGAGCTAATGCACCTTCCAAAATATATTATTTCCTCCTTTTTCAGAGATGGAAACTGGCACAGATATTTTAGATCTAACAGAATGAGTATTAGCTGTTTCGTCACATAAATGAAATAATGATGGCTAAAGTTTGTCCATACTCTTATGTTCTAAATGCTTTCTAAATAAAGTGTCAGAAAGATTATAAAGTCAATTTTACTTCTATAATGAACACAGCACACTGGTGCTTGTCAGTGCTGGGGCCGGGATTTGTACCCAGATCTGCAGCTCCTACCCTCACATTCTCAACCCCAACACACAGCACTCCCTTTCTACTCTCCTTTGCTCCCTCTCAAAAAAGCTTACAAAATGAAAGTGACATCAGAGAAACAAACTTGAATTTATTCTAATTTAAGACAAAGGGTGAATTATTAAAAACCATTTGTAATTTACTACAGTTGAAAACTGCTGCATTAGGACATGAATTTAAAAATAATTAACTTTATTTTTCAATTTCTTATTTTTATTTATTTATATTTTTTGGCCACACCATGTGAGATCTTAGTTCCATGACCAGGGATCAAACCTGTGTTCCTTATAGTGGAAGCGCATAGTCTTAACCACTGGACTGCCAGGGAAGTCCCTATTTTTCAATTTTCAATTTCTGTAACAGAACCCCATTGCAGAATATGGGTTTGTTTTCAAAGTACATTTTGTTGATTTTTCCCCAATCTTTCTGTGTGTATGTACATGTGTGTGTACAATTAAATTACTCATGATCATATTGCTTATATAGATTTTTCTTTTTTCACTTAGCATCAAAATATTTGATATCAAAAACAAACATCAGTTGTCAAAAACATTTCCACATTATTTATTACTGTGTGTGCGTGCACTATAAGCTGCTTCAGTAGCGTCCAATTCTTTGCAACCCTATGGACTGTAGCCTTCCAGGCTCCTCATGTCCATGGGTTGCCATGCTCTTCTCCAGGGGATCTTCCTGACCCAGGAAAACAAGCTGTGTCTACTGCATCTACTGCACTGGCAGGCAGATTCTTTACCACTAGCGCCACCTGGGAAGCCCAATTATTTATTATTATACTTCTTAATCATCACTTTAAATGGCTGCATAATATTCCATCAAGAAGATAAGTTATGATTTCCTTTAGCACTCCCTTATTGTTAGGCATCTGGGATTTTCCCAGATTTTGCAATTATAATGAATACATGTCACTGTGATGGTGGTAGTAGAGCTTTCCTACTAACAGAAGTAGAATGGAAAGCCTGAGTTTTCCAGTGGAACGTAAAAACTGAAAAAAGTAGATGATTATAGTTTAGAAGAGGAAATCTACACCAATTTGAGGCAAAAATGGGTTTATGATTAGCCTATGAGTAACTAGAAAATTCAATTAACCAAAAGTCTCTATTTTCTTATTTTCTATTTTTCTTATTTTCTTATTGTTCTTGATAAAACTTTCAAATTTGGTAATGGGTGCCATCAGTCTAATGAGAGCATATTATATGATAACCCCCCTTTTTACTGTCTTGGGTATTTACAGTACTGAAAGCAACAGCCATTTAATAGACAGTAAGTAAATGCAAAAATGTATGAAAGTCTTTTGTTCTCACTAGGCTTCAGTGTGCCAATTCCTCCCGAAGCCTTCCAAAAATAAAACTCAGAAGTTAAGTTTGTTATGTATTTATATTTTACTTAATGTAAAAGTTAGTTAAGATTTTTACCAATACCTTTCCAAAGGGAAGGTTTCATTTCTGGTAATATGTTGGGTTAGGTTACTTGGACTGACCTTCTTACTGAAAACAGCTAAAAATACTGGATAAAATTGAAGACTTCTTAAAAGCATCAAAGAGCTGACAAGATAGTGATGGAGTCATAAGAATGCTTCACACAGGCACATTATTACAACCAACCAATGGAACACAAACAGTAACAAATAAACCTAACTACACCACAAATGAACAGCAAAACCACAAGTAAAGTGGGTGGAGAAGAAAATAACTTAGCTAAATGGCTTTGGAAAACAATCCTCTGACTCTGTACTGTAAGGTTCAGGAAGAAAGAACTACACAGAGCTACAGAACTGTAGGTCATAACTTGCTTCTCACAGATGAATGGGTTAGCAATTCTAACATTAATGTGTTTAATAGAATTGAACAAATAAGTAAATGTATCATGGATAATGAGAACCAGGTTCTCCTTTGGAAAAAGAAGTTACAAATAAGGAAAGAGGGAAGGCTAACATGAACCTTGTGGTAGTGGATTAGAATTGAAGACATTAGAATGAATTTATGGTGTTTAACACACACACATACACACACACACACCCACACACATATGTAAGTGGAGAGATTGAGAAAATGATTATATGCATCTGTTTATGAATGAGGTAAAATTTTACACACTCATTCCCTAATTCTGTCTTCCACAAGGGCCTAAAAGTAATGACATCTTAGTGCACACATTGGTTTTTATACACTAATCTCTAAGAAATGAACCAAACAAAGCTCCTTGGAGAAATGGCTTGTTTCAGGGTCGGGGGAGGAAAAATACAAGATGAGCTTAGACCATCTTAGGATGGCAGAAAGAAAGGAAGTGCTCAAAAAATGAGAGAGGTACACTGAATGGACATAGAACTCAACTTGAAGGAGCTCCCAATGGCTAAGGCTGGGACCATTTGATCAATAAAACAAATAATGACAGTGATGAATTAAAATGCAAAGAATAAATATTCATGAGTCCACAATGGTAAGTAAATAATT